AATAAAAATTACTGAAATCGAGTTGCTGCAGTATGAGGAACTTTATTCTATTCAAATCTCAACTAGTGCATTGATGTTTTTTCCAGGAATCAAAGTAGACGTCATATCGACCTGAGATAGACTTCATATCCACGTTATGACGTGGACATGCGTATGTATGCAGACGTCATACCGACTTTGTATTGGGTCTTTTATACGACATGCTATGACGGCATTAATGACGTCAATTGGATTTGACATTATACCGTCATAATGACGTCATTTCTATGTCATGTTTGTTGGTCGAGGTGCTTCAGTAGTGCCCTAAAAATGCCGACATTATGTCGTCGCTGTTCACTGGGTGAACAAAGATGTACTCGTTTGACATCGATAAAATTAAATGTAATAAATAAAAATAGATCAACAGTTTGGTTTCAATACTGTTCTGATCGATTTACATACGGCAACTTATCCCTACATAAAACTCAGAAGTTGACAACTTTTTCTTTGTCATGCCTGTACAAGGTATGTCGTAAAATAAGCAGGACTTTTGAAAGATATCCTATATAAGTAGCGGTATCTATTATCGGAGACTAGCTTTGATAAGTACATCTTTCATTGATGCCCTGTCAAAATTGCATAAGAGTCGAACCACTTCACGCGGAGTTATCAGTCGAAAAATGAGCATCGAACAAAAAGCCAATATTAAGTTAAATGTTAAACTTGGTAAAACATTTACCGAAACGCATCAGATGTTGATGCAAGTGTTCTACGATTCGAAGGGAATTATTCACACAGAATTCGTGCCACCGAGCCAAACGGTTAATGCTGTGTTCAACCTTGTTGTTATAAGGCGTTTGCTGTCGCGTATCGGTCGTGTTCGGCCGGAATATCACGAAGAAGGAAGCTGGCGCTTGTTGCACGATGATGCACCATCTCATCGATCGACGCTTTCCCCAAATTCTCTTGATATGGCACCGTATTTTCTGGCCATAAAGGGCTGACTTAGAGGCCATCCAGAAGGCGTCGACGACCATTTTGAAGGGCTTCCCGGACAATTATTTTTTTCTTTGTCCTATTTACTTTGGGACAGACCTTGTATAATAAATACTAGTACGGATTCAAGCAGCCATCGCCAGTCTAATAAATAAAACTCGTATAATCGATAAGTTGAATACATTTACGAATGAAATAGCGACTAGATTAAACACAGTTTTTATTTTATACATACATTGTAAAATCGACAGCCAATGTTTGCTCTGATACAACAAATCACTTCAAGCAAAATGAAGAAAAAAATATAAAACATTTTGATTAAGCAATATAGATAACATTATCATGTTGGATATAGTATCACCTCAAGCGATTCTGAATACTATTTTAGCGCCTAATTTTAAATGTTTGATCGGTAGTAGATGCGGAACAATACAGCCGTTATTATACCCAATGTCAACGGCAAAACCACCGGTACAAACCACTTCATCAAACTGAAAGAGAAGAATCAAATTTTGAATACTCTGAGAAACTCATCTGGGAAAATATTCGCGTTCTCCGAGACGCATAGCGTTTTCAAATTGCATCGTGATGTCATGTAAACGGCGTTATATTCGCTTAGCGACCTCAAAGCGCTATGTGTTGGAAAACGGAGATGTGTGCACAATGACATTCCAGTGACCAGTCGGAACTCAAGACCTATCGATTCAATTTTAAATAAATATTTAAATAAAACCAAATACAAATACTGTAGGCGCTCCTACAATTGTAGGACGCCTTTCTGGCCTCCTTGATTTTCATAGTTTTTCCTATCTTTAAGGCAGGCGTATTTCTAGATTGCTACTGTTTCATCAGCGTAATGACCAACGTTAATTCATGGCAACGTGAAGAATTTACCTTCAGAGACTTAGTTGCAGTTAGAATTAGATATAAAAAGGAAGGCGGTGACAGTTATCTGGTCGTATGTTCGGCATACCTTCCTTACGATTCAAGGGAACCTCCTCCGTCTAAGGAACTGGGAACAGACGGGGCAAAGAGCTCATGGAGTTCCTAGGGTCATCGAACCTTGAGGTTCTCAATGTTGGTAACACGCCTACTTTCAGTAACACTGACAGAAAAGAGATTATCGATAGAATACTGGGTACGCTTAAGTTAGCTCAGGAAATTCGGGACTGGAAAGTTTCCCTAACACTCTCTCTATCGAATCACAGGTATATTATACTGTTTAAGACTGATGGAGAGATTCCAGATAAATACGCTCGGAATCTTAGGCATACTAATTGGGCGTCCTTTAGGGCAGATCGTGGTAAGCTTGGTTTGTTTCAAAGGAACCTTCGTATGGGCTCATATAGGAGCAGCTGTGGGGTCTCTGAGCAAGGAGTTTCGTATGAGGATAACTGCCCGTTAAAAAGTAAAAGCAACCTTCCGATCCAAGGAGCTAGAGGATAGGACTTTTTCGTAAAGTTAGGCACAGGACATGCTCTCCCCAATGGGAGGAGTACAAGATGTTGCAGGAATACAAAAAGGAGATTAGAAGGGCCTCCAGAGAAGGAGAAACTTCTGTCAGTCCATTAATGAAATTCCTGCTACAGCTAGAATACTATGTAAAGATACCAAAGCAAGCTTGGGATCTCTGTCTTCCGAAGAAGGTACTCTGAGGATACTGGATACGCACTATTCCGGTTCCACGGTAGCGCAATCAGTTACAAAGTGCATGCCATTGCGCAGGCCCTCTGGGGAGGACTAGCGCATGGCGCAGGGAGATTGTCACCTTTATAGGATGGTATGGGCGATCGATTCGTTTGCTCCATACAAAAGTCCCTGTCTGGACGGCGTATTTCAGCCCATGTTACAGCCCGGGCGGGACTCGGTGTTCCTTACTTATTGCAGGTGTTTCGAGCACGTGTGGCCACCTAGGAGCTGGCGCTGGAGAGGTGAGTCGTTCATTCTAATCAGTTTGCATACCCAGCTGGGAAATCGACTGATCTGGCCTTACATAATCTGGTCGGTAGGCTGAAGAATACTCTAGATCAGCGAGAAGTGGCACTCGTGGCATTTTTAGACATTGAAGGTGCATTTAATTGTACTACAACCGACTCTATCAGATATGCCTTGATTAGACACGGGGTTGCATCAATCCTAGTCGATTGGTTCCTATCCACTCTGGAGGGTCGGATAGTAACAGTTATGAATGACGTTTGTTGCAACGTCAGTGTAGCTCAAGGCTGCCCGCAGGGCGGAGTTCTGTCACCCCTACTGTGGTGCTTCGTGGTGAACAAACTCCTCGTTACGCTCAGAAGTGCGGGAGTTTAAGTTCAAGCATTGCTGACGACTTAAACATAGTAGTTAGGGGTCGTTTTTGTAGAATGGTCTCCGAGATTATGCAGGGCGCCCTGCCCACCGTGGAATCGTGGTATAGGGAAGTCGATCTTTCTGTCAACGCTCGAAAGACCGAACTGATCCTTTTGACTAGGAGAAGAAGGTTTGACGGACTTGTCTTCCGACCTTCTTTGAGACTAGACTAGTTCTATCAGAATCAGTAAGATATCTAGGAATTATCCTGGACTGTAAGCTGAACTGGAGAGAGCGTGTTGAATACAGGGTTAACAAGGCTCGCAATTCAATGTGGGCTTGCAGACGTGTTGTCGAAGTGGGGTGGGGGCTGAAACTCAAACTGGTACACTGGCTCTATACGACAATAGTACATCCATCTCTCTTGTACGGCTCCCTGGTTCGGTCGCCGTGTATTGGAACCGAGACAACTAAGGACAAAGCGTTAGACTTGTATTAGTATTACAAGCGCAGTGCGGACAAGGCCATTGGGTGCAATGGAAGCTATGCCGGATCTCCCACCATTGGATCTAGTGGTCCGCGGAGAAGCGAGAGTAGTCGCACATCGACTGTGAAGTCAGGGCATCTGAGCCTACTTGAATCCTGTCAAGGCGCACGGTGTCATCTTAGTCGAACTGCAAAGGGCGGATCCTGTCCTTCTGAGCATGGGTGATCTGATGACCCCTAAATATCGCTTCAGCCCAAAGTTTAATGTGGAGTATCTAACGACGGTAGAGTCGGAAGGCATCCGAAGGGAGTTGGCAGGTCTGGTACACGGACGGCTCGGTCACTGAAGAGGGCGCTGGCGCCGAAGTCTGTGGCCCTAGAACCAGGCTATTTCTGCCTCTTGGTGGATACACCACTATTTGCCTGGCGGAAATCTTTGCATTTCTGGCTTGTGTATCCCGCATTTTGGAGGAGGAGAGCCTAGGAGAAGAATAACAACCTTCTCCAAGAGCCAAGCTGCAGTGAAGGCTCTAAGTGCCTGTAAAATTACTTCGAACCTTGAATTGCAATGCAGAGAGGCTCTGGATTGTCTAGCAGCGAGACATCCGGTAGCGTTAGTGTGGATACCGGGGCATGCTAGGATAAAGGGAAACGATACAGCGGACGCGTAAGCCAGCAAGGTCGTTGGCCCTGAGCCAGCTTTAGGGGTGTCCGCGCAAAGAGTAATAGAGAAGAAGACAACACTCTTAGAAATGGAAAAGCATCTCCAGACATCTCCGTCACGCACGGGAACACATCGTAGGACGCTTTTGCTTATCCTTAGATAGAGCCAACCTAAGGTTGCTGGTGGAAGTGTTATCTGGCCATAATATGATAAGGCGCCACCTGTACGTGATGCCTGAGGATCCCTTGGGTGAGCGCCAGGGGGTAGAGGAAGAAACCTCGGCGCACGTTCTGTGTCGATGTAAAGCTCTGAACTACTACATGGACTCGAAAACGTTCATAAACTACAATATGTCCAGCAAGGGCGAAAATAGTGAGAAAGGCAAATGTTTTCAATGAAAAGTGAGTACAACTGAGATGGATCGAAAAAACCAAGTAAAACTAAATAAAGGAAAAAGTACGCACTCTCCAGTTGACGAGAAGGGCTAAGTACGTCTCTGCCCGAAATCATACCGCTCCAACAGAAAATGAAATCAGCTGATGCGCTACCGAGCAGACGCCGGCGGTGGTGCAGACCAGTAGACCACGAACAGAGGTAACAAATATGACCATCGTGCAGAAACCACATTGATTGTCTTACACTTAATGGCACATCTTCTAACAAGGAAGGCAAAATGTTGCGTAAAAAGTCTAGGTATTGCATCCCGTCCAATCGATTTGGGAGAATAAATGGTTCAATGAGCATACCGTTCACCATGCCAGCCCAAACATTCACCGAAAATGTTTGTTGAAAATGTGCCCGACGGACAGCGTGCGGATTTATCTACTGACCAAACATGAGTGTGGCGAAAGTTATTCACCCCATTACGCGTCAACGTCTGTCACCAATATGCACTTCAACAAGTCCGGATTATTGTCATGTTGATGCAACAACGACTCACAAAACCGCACTCTTGCTGGAAAATCGTCAGGTTGAAGGACTTGTTCACGTTGGACGTGAAACGGATACAGCCCTTCTTCACGCAGCGTTTGCCACACTTTAGTTTTTGATACTTGCACTTCTCTAGCCACGTCTCTAGTGCTTGTTGAGGGATTCTCGTCTACGCGATTACCTCTACACGCGTGATCGTAACCGTCGGTTGAAGGTTGCATACTGACCTGACACACTGACCCCGACCCAGTTCTATCGTCGGGTTGAGCTAGTGTCCTAGTACCACTCGGGGATGTCGCGAGTCGCGGCTACAGGACGGTATTCAGATATTTTTGATGTTGCAGAGCCCTTTATCTCGGTTCCCTTAAGACATTGGTGTGTATGGTACTAAGAAAAATTGCTTATGTTTTCAAGATCTACACGTCGTGTAAAGAAAAACCCCAACTTTGCGGACACCCTGTATATTATAACGTGTACGAAAACGTTCAATAACTTTGAATTAGAAACTACCCATCAAGATAAATGAGAAAAATAACTGCTTTATTCCAAGATTTCACAAAATTGCTCCTAACTCAGAAATATTTTGACTTTGTAATAAGGCATATGTGGCCCAAATCGGGGTGTACTATCACTCGTTAAAAGCTTTGTAACGATCTTCCGAACAAAGTCAAAATGAGTCCAAGCTCCGCGGTTATACCGTGCATTTAAAACTAGTGAATAAAATGAACGATTGGAGGAAAATGTATACATGTCTTAAATATAACGCTAGTCCTTTAGAAGAACAGTCAAAAATTATATCAAAGCCCATACATGCTTTCTAGTGCATTATAAATTATAAATAGAATGATAACACTCATATCTGCAAAGGTTTGTGTATTTCAAAATGGAAGAGGTATACAGAGTGTTCAAAAAATAGAGGGAGATATTTTAGAGGAATATGGAAAAAAGTTTCTATAATCATGGGTCCGGAAATGCAGTTTTCAAGATACACAGCGATAAAAAAATGTTTCTATCAATATCTTAAAAATAGTCTGTTTTAACTTGACAATAATATTTGTTGTATTAAGAAGCTAATTTAGCCCTAAATAGATTAGAATTATTAGGTCCAGTGACGCCCCGAGGGGCACCATAGCTAATGATATTGTCAAAATTAACAAACCAATTTTGTCAAGTGACATGCAATAAAACGGTTTATATTTTTTTCCTCCCGAAAACGAAGTGAGATACGAAAAAATACAACAGGCCAATAAGTTGTATTTTTAGATGCTTAATCAAACAACTAATATTAAAGTTTCAAAAAAGGCAGTGGCGTACATCTTTTTGCCAATAATATTCGCTAAGGTGCCCCCCGGGACCTAATAATTTTAATCCATTTTGGGTTAAATTAGCCTCTTAATAAAACAAATAATAGCAAATTTCAACAGAATGGAGTAAATATTTTTTAAGATACTAATAAAAAAAATAAGTTTATCACCCTGTATCTTGAAAACTCTGCATTTCCGGACCCATGTCTATAGAAACTTTTTTCATATTTTTTAACAAGGAATATCTCTGTCTATTCTTCGAACACCCTGTATATTAAAGATTTTTGAATAAAAAAACAATATTAAAATATTAGGTAATATTTTATTATGTTACGTCTAATTTACAGTAAATATATGATAACCATAGCATATTAAGATACCTTAATAGATTTGAAAAAATATTAAATGCACGACTGTCGTATTTTAATCTTTGATATAGTGCAAAAATATGTATATCAAACTTTCGAATACAAAAAAAATTAAAAATTATCACGGATACAAAGGGGAAAAACGTTGAAAGAACTTAAAAAATAATTAAAATATCTCATACCATACAGGATGTTAAAATATTGTAGCTACCACACTCTCACTTTCGCAGACACGCTGTGGTTGCGTTCAGAAAATATTTAAAAAATTAAGTTCCCTAGCTAAAACGCAGATTTCTTAGATTCAACCGTTCAACGGCTGAAAAAGGTAACAATCATTTCGTTAAAACAGAAGAAACTCTAAAAAGAATCCATTCAGGAATGCACATTTATCTCTACGATCTAAATAGAGTAATCAGTTTACGATTGTTCTGATACAACGGAATATTACGTCAAATCGATAATTCATCAACCATTTTTAGCACCTAATATAAAAATGTTCATCACTATATCTTCTAACATCCTGTATAATATATAACAAGTCAACAATAAACTAATTAGTCCCTATAACCTTAAATGTCTTAAAAAATTCGTTTAGGTCTGTCTCCCATGAAAATGGGAAGGTTTACGATTGGAAGTAGAAGCGATACAGAATTGTGGCTAAGATTCCGATGACGATAGGGACAATCCAAGATTTCAATGAACTGAAAATAGAAGATATATTTACTACTACTTCGTCTACCAATAACTGTCATGAAAATTTCGTGACAGTACATTTGAAATGTAGGAAAGCAGGACGATGGGCAAACAGTTTTACAAATAACTGTAAATAAAGAAAATGTTCAGTCGTGTGCACCTAAGCATTCCATAGCACATGTCAGTTGTCTGCTAAACAATAACCTTCCCAAGCATTCAATATATCAGTCACAAATACAGCAACAATATAATTAAAAGTTTGATATTATAAGCAGTATTTCGAAAAAAAAATGAATATGGGTTACTGTTACATTAGGTTTTTTAAATATATATTATGCAAATGATGTTGCATGCAAAATATAATAAGACCAACACCACAACATGCAAAATATATAGTCAACGCCAAACAAAGTGGCGTGCACGTCATCACGATAAAAATTCCCCGACCTAATGCCTAGGTTTCTATCACAAACAATTGCTCTATTGCAGTTTCATATTAATGTGATATATAAATTGTAAAATGGTCATTACTCTCTTATTATGGTTAATAGTCATATAAACATTGTTATTAAAATATCACATAAGTTGCTTTCTGATAAATTTAGACGGATTATGCGAAATAAAATGTTTTGCAAACGCTCCAATCACTTATCGACATGTAAACGCACTAAACCGATTTCGCAGCGTTGACACATTGTCACCTTGAAACTTATTTAAACTGGGAACTGACATTTGTATTAATTTTGACACTGAATCAATTTGTGGCATTTCAAATCTTTATAAATCCTTTGGCCCCGCATACTGTAAATCAACAACTGTTTGTTTCAAAACAAAATTATTCATTTTACGAGTAGATAAAGGCAATTTTGGTATATAAAGATGCCCAAACAGTTAAATAGTCGGTGTAAGGAACTCGTGGCCTCATTAATGCACTACTTTGAGCAAGAAAGGGACAACAACGGGCCTTTGTTACCTTTAAATGCTAATAATTATATGTAATGTATATTAATAATAGTGAAATTTTATTTCATTTTTTGTAGCGTGTTGCTGCTGCTTTAAAAATTAGTTTAAGGACAGTTAGTCGTATTTCCGAGGGTGTGAAAAGTGATGCAAATTTAGAATCGCCCAAGAAAAAGCGGAGTTATATTAAACGTGTAACCAACACAGCGACATTGGATACAAGTGCCATTCGAGAAGTGATCTATAATATGTATCACAAAAGTAAGATCTTATTATAATAACTTATCAGAAATTTGCATTCATTTTTTAACTAAATTATAATGTCATATTACACATGGTTTCAGAAGAACAAGTTACGATACAAAACTTTATGGTCTCGATTAAGAGATAGGGCATTATTTGATGGTAGTGCCACGTCTTTAAGGCGGTTGCTTAGAGATCTTGGATTTAAGTGGCTTAAGGACAATCCGCGACGAGGGCTCATGGAACTACCAAGTATAGCTTTGAAAAGGGTGGAATTTCTAAGGCAATACAATCAAGCCAAGGTTGAGGCCTTATACCAGTTTGTCTTCCTCGATGAAACTTGGATATTTCAAAATGGGACCATAGGTCGCTCTTGGCAAAATGGAAACCAAAAAAGCGTGAAAGCTATTAAAACAGATGGTAAAAGGTATGTACTTTTACACAATTTGCACTATAAAATTTAAAACTAATATATTTTAGATACATTATATTACATGCTGGAAATGAAAATGGGTTTATTGAGGGTAGTGAAGCGATATTTTCTTCGAAAACAAAATTGAGCGATTACCATGGAGAGATGAACCAGGACAATTTTTTGAAATGGTTTCAACATCAGTTATTAGAAAAATTGGAGAGTCCATCTATGATTATACTGGATAACGCCCCTTATCACAGCATGATATTGAACAAAGTGCCCAACAATGCATGGACAAAAAAAAATATCCAAGACTGGTTGACAAATCAAAACATACCATTTTTAAACACAATGTTTAAAACAGAGCTATTGAGTATTGTTGCTCGGTACATAATGCTTCTTAGTTATATATATTTTGGTCGACAGTTTATATTTCTTTTGTTTATTCCTATTCTTAAAATAACTGCTTTTTTAGAAACAAACCACCTAAAATATACGTGATTGATGAATTGGCGGAACAACATGGGCACAAAGTTCTTCGTCTGCCTCCTTACCATTGTATATTTAACCCTATTGAGTTAATTTGGGGCATAGCAAAAGGTTACTATAACAGACATATTGGTAGAGATGGTAACAGTGAAAAAGACTGTTTGGATATGTGGAACGAGGCTCTACAAACGGTTACCCCAGACATGTGGAAAAATAGTGTTCGACATACTGAGCAAGAAATTTTTAAATGGTATGAAAGAGAACGAATTTTTGATCGACCAGACATCGAACCTTTAATAATCAACTTTGAGAGTGATGAAGATTCAGATTCAGACAGCGCTGAAGAAAGAAACTCCGACTAACTTTATTGTACAGAAAAAGCTTACACCAGTAGCTTACCTAATTTTAGAATGCATTTTTCTGTATGAATTCTGTAAAATAAATACCATGCATAAAATTTGGAGGACCCCATTTGGATTTTTATTCAGTACCTTTAAGCTATCAATTAAATATGGTAGTTTCATAGTGTCATCTGATCAGTAATTGTCATACTTAATGATTATGCAAGTACAGATCTATAATTTTATTATACTATTATTTTTGTTCTCATTTGAGGTTAATATTGCTTATAAACCTAGATATGTAAATAATAAATTTTATTATTTTACAAAAAGTTTGGCAACAATGTAAATTTTTCAACACACCCACCTTGATGACGTGCACGCCACTTTGTTTGGCGTTGACTATATGTCAACTGTGTTTAGCGAGTAGTATTTCCTAATAAAAAGTTTCTGCTGTATATTATTCACTGCACAATTATAAAATAAAAACGTTTATAATAAATCTGGACTATTAAAGATGACATTCAAATATCTAAAATCTACAATGCAGCGCTAATATACTTGTCCACATAAATACTAAGAATTTTGGGAATAGACATTGATCTAAAACATATTGATTATTTTCCAACAAAATTTGAAATCCTTGATCGCATACCATGTTTAGCACATATGAACAGTCAAAGATCTGCCATTTGCTATTATGGAATATTTAACAACGCAAGAATGAATTTTGGTCGTCCAAAAGTATTATGAAAACAGACGATCTTTATAAAGTACTTGTCGCAAGCTTCGCGATGAATTTGGTCGACATAATCGTGCCACAGAGCGTGGAATTCGGTGGATTATCAATCGTTTTGAGGAAACTGGCTCAGTTGAGGGTCGTAGAACATATCAACATGCCCGTCCGGTACGTACACGTGAATCAGTGGCCGCTGTGAGTGGAAGTGTTTATGAACAGCCATAAACTTCGATAAGACACCGTTCGCAAGAATTGAACATCAGGCCAACAACATTATGGGGGATTTTGCATGTTGATCTCCACCTACACTCATACAAGATCCCACTAATGCAACAAATGAAGCCAACGGACCATCAGCAACGGCGTATTTTTGTTAATTGGATGCTTGAAAAATGAGGGATTTTCGGCTTAAATCATTTTTTCAGACGAGGCACATTTTTACTCGAGTGGCCACGTAAATAAGCAAAACTGTAGGATTTGGGTTTCGGAAAAACCACACGAGATCCATGAACAAGGTCCCCATGATCAAAAAGTAACTGTTTGGTGCGGATTATGGGCTGGTGGCATCATTGGACCGTTCTTTTTCGAGGATGAAGAAGAAAAAGCTATTACGGTCACCACCGAAAGTTATCTGGTATGATAACGGAAAGACTTATACTGGGTGGCTCAATGAAAAGGTCCTACCCCCATTTGAGACTCTCCTGGTATATTTTGGGAAAACGTCAATTTTGATTACTAGGGTCACGTCTTTTCATCTATAGCCGTACAATACATGGTGATCCAAAAATAAGATATTGCGTGACACTTTAGATTTTTAAATGGAAGCTCCCATTTTTTTTTATTTTTAGATTTTCGATGAAGTTTTTAGTAACTTTTGTATTATAAAGTTTATACCTATCTTCAATCGTTGTGAAGCTATTTGCGTTTATAATAAAATTCGACTAACTTAACACTGATAATAATGGATGCATTTAGCATCCGTCAGTGCCATCGTATATCATAGAAAAACATTGTTAAGGTACCTACCCAGCTGTGATAAATATTGAACAATGACTTATTCAGTTCAAGAAAGGGTAAACATAACAAAACTGTATTACCAAAATGGGAGCATTGGACGAGCTACTGCTCGGTTGTTTAATGCGTTACATCCAACGATGAGAATGACGCTAAGTTGATAAGAAAATTTGAAGAAGCTAGATCTGTGTCTGATATTCGCCGTAATCGCCATCGAAATAATCTAACAGTTAGAAATGAAGCCGCAGAAGTAGCAGTTTATTAGCTTTAACAGTCCACCTGAGTAAAATTTTAGGATCAAAAACAATTGACAAACAATACGCTGTCAAACTCATAGGAAATATTATTTCAGTTGTACAAGAAAGACGCGCAAATTCCAAAAAACGCTTAAGAATACTATTCGCATCTATAATGAAATCACATGAAACCCTGGGTATTGAACTGACTGTGCCAAGAATAACAAGCAGGCATATGAACAGACCGAACATAGTTACGTCTGACAACGAAAATCATTACAGACTGAACCTTTATGTCCCTTTGCTAGGTAATATATTACAGGATTTGATATACCGGTTCAATGAAGAATCTTTGAATATATACAAATTTAGTATTTTCTTTGCATCAGTACTTAATTAAAAAACTGAAGATGAAGTAATGGATACATTAGAAACAATCTCTAAATATTTGCATGGACTAAATAGTGACGAAAACAAAAATTTATTGATTACCATATTAAAAGCAGAATTTGAACTTTGGAAGTCACGCACAAAAGATATTATATATTTCCTTCAATTAATAGATGCCTACAATTATTGATTTCATTGCCGGTAAGTGTTGCGACATCCGAAAGAAGTTTCCCCATCTAAAGAGGATAAAAACTTGGCTGCGTTCCACTATGTTACAAGAGCGATTAGTGGGTTTAGCTCTTTTGTCTATGCATAGGGATATTAAAATAGACGTGAATACAATCATAGATCGGTTCGCCAGCAAAAAAAATAGGCACCTTGATTTTGTAATATGATAACACCTGAACTTTGTCTAAGGTTGTCTCTCGAATCTATCACCCTTCTGTTGGCCAGTACATAAAAAAGCAGATAGAGTTAAGGGTTTACTTACGTTTAAACCACCACGGTGATCTTTTCCAAAGTATTCAATCAAGATATGTGGTTTTATTTATTGGCCAGCAGATTGATATAAAAGTCTGTTTAAATTATGATCAAATCACTTTCTAAGCTTATGTAATGATTGTTTTATTTTGAAACTGTGAACTGATGTAGTTTCATAGTTTATAGTTTTTGTTTTTTGAGACTGGCTAAGAGAATGTAGTTATGCAATGAATATTTTTTGTTTTTCTCATGATTAAGAATTTTATTTTGATTTGCATTCAGTTTTATACTTTATAGAAATCATAACATATTTGTTATTATTTTTTTCATTAACGGACGTATTTTGACATGTAAGAAAATACAATAGCGCCACGAATTACCGAAATAATAGAAATGAAGTTAATTATAATGAAAATGATCACTTCCAACAAGATGGTGTACCGCCGCACTATGCGGCTCCAGTACGGCAGTTTTTGAAAGCTCATTTCCCGAATCCGTGGATCGGCAGACGAGGTCCCATCGAGTGGCCGCCGAGATCTCTGGACTGAGTCCTTTAGATTACTTTCTTTGGGGGAATTTGAAAAGTAATGTTTTTAATGCGAAGCGGATTACGGCTAAATGTAGACAAATAACAAAATCTTATTTTAGCATGGGGGCAAATGGACACCACTTTTCAGCACTTATTACCACATTGACCTACCTCTTTATAGCAAATTAATTTTTACTTTAACTTTATGTGCGTGTAAACTGTAACTTGTTTTTTGTTTTTTAATACTCGGTGACTTGTTTTTAATTTTAAAGTAAAGTCTTGTTACTGTAGGAACTATATTCTTTAACTTTATTATAAAGTCAAATAGCTTTACAACGATTGATGTTGACGTTAGAGCTAACGGGTCATAACCGCTCGCTTAGTGCCCTAGATACATAAATGATTATAAATACGTCCTTTTCAATGTAAGCAAGGTATCGCGAATTTGCGTAACATGACAAAAATGTGTTCAAGCCTCAATCCCAAGCCACATATCCAACAGGTACTGAAGCGGGTGCAATGAAAATGCAACGAGCTTACCTTTGTGAAGAAGAAGAACTATCACTGGAGGAACCCCATTCAATATTTTTTGATTTGATTTCTCTTCGGTCGGCTTCTATGAGTTCGCCGATTTTGTATTTGGTCATCAAGTCCCTAGCGTCACTCGAGTGGCCCACATCTTCAAAAGCCTCGCTTGCATCTTTGCCTGCTTGCTCGAGAAGGACTTCCTCTCCGCCAGGATGCTGTGAAAAATACACTAAACTGAATCCAAATTCAAGATGAGATGTAAATAATAACAGTTAGGGCGTGATCTCTCGGTAACATGTGGGGAAAACGCCTCTTATTGGTCAATTCGGTATTAAATTTCAAGCGGTCGCCTATCGGAATAATGCGCGGGGCAGGGGCACGGCAGGCAGAGTTGCATTCAGGCCACCGACCGTCGCGTGTATCACTGCGTGCTCGTGTTTTCGTATTCACCTTGCTTGGTTGTTGTTGTTGTTAAGTGTATTTGAGTAATTTGTTAAGTTTCTGTTTGTTATTATTATTCCTCGTTATTATTTGTTTTGAACCAATCCTGAACATGTCCAGTACAGATACTGCTGACGAGGCTGTAGGCTACTCCCTTAGCCCTCCCAGAAAGCGATAAAAAAAAGACATCTTAGCGTAGACATGAAAGACGTCATATTGAATACATTCAAGATAGAGCGGAAGGAAGACGAAACATCAACTAACCCGAAAATAGCTCTTTAAGTGGCAGATAAAATTGGGGTATGCCAAATTACAGTGTACAATGTTTTGAACGAACATAAGAAAAAGCATGCCTTTTCCAAGCCAATGACGGGTAAAAATCGCAAAAGTATCATAAGATCGTTGGATGACGCTGACAAGCATGCGATTCGGAGGAAAGTGCACGAGTTCTTCTTCAGAAACGAAATACCGACAGTTGATAAAGTACTACGGGATGCTATGTTACCAAATTTCAAACGTTCGACTATTCATAAACTTTTGAAGCATCTTAATTTCGAATGGAAGAAACGAGGTCGTAACAGCTTACTTATGGATAGAGAAGAAATTGTTCTGTGGAGGAGAGAGTACCTGACCAAAATTAAATCATTCAGGTATCAGCACAGGAAGATCTATTACCTGGACGAAACCTGGATTAACGCTGGGCACACTACTCCGAAGGTATGGGTACTGACAAAACTGTGACTTCATCCACAAAGGCATTTCTAGATGGACTGTCGACCGGATTGAAAAATCCAGCAGGTAAATAGATCGAAGTAGTTCAAGGTATCAATTTTGCGCACAAGACGTGCATGTGTACTTAGCGGATTTTATCTTTCTAGGCAAAGGAAAAAGGCTCATTATTTGCCACATTGGGGGTGTAGATGGCTTCGTGGATGACGGCTTATGGTCTTTTGAGTCAAAAAATAACCACTGACTACTATGAAGAGATGAATGGGGAAGCATTCGAGAAGTGGTTTTCAGGCATTTTACCACGTCTCGAAGACAATTTTGTGGTTGTTTTGGATAATGCTCCCTATCATTCTCGCAAAATAGAAAAAATCCCAACTTCAGCTTCTAGGAAATTAGATATTCAGAGCTGGCTCTGGAGAAAGTGGAGGTCGCAATGTGGGAGCTGGACAACATAATTGAGAGAGATTTTGAATCCATCATCATAAACATTAATGACGATAGCTCTTCAAGTGAGTCTGAGTAAGTTTCGCGTTTTTGTTTCGTCACAGAATACATATTATGGGAATCCTAGTTATAGTGAAATATTAACTTACAGATAAACTACAGACAATGCAAGTCCGAAGTGAACCTTCAAAATCTATTTTCAATTGATTGAACAACCTTATATTAATTCCATGTACAAAAGTGTCATCTCTACCCCTCGTTGACTACGGATGCATTGTGCATAGTGAGCAGCTGGTTACCTCTGTATGTATTTCTCCATGTTGTCTAGTTTGAAAAATCTGTAGAAAAACTTAGCACCCCTTCAAGAATAAAAATTTGATTTTGCGACACCCTTAACTATAACTACTTCACTATATTAGATAATTTCGTTAAATACTGTCATCTTTGTTTTACAACACGTTGGTGGTAGTCCGTCATTCGGAGGTAGCCCTGAATGCGGCCCTGTACGCCGTCCTTGCTTTTGGCAATCACGCATCCATTCTATCTTGGGTGTAAATACACTATAGATGCAGTTCTCGGATCGATTCGACAGTGTAAACGAAATTAACGGAAGGATTTCACATTATACATAATAATTATACACAGGGTGTTTTCAAAGTTGAATCGTTTATTTCAACAGCTTGTAGAACTCGTCAAAAGAAGTTGATATACCAAGAATCACCTATATAAAAGTTGCATAAGAGTTAGTTTACATTATAAAAAATTATTTAACGAAAAATCACTAACAAGTTAGATGGATACCGTTTTAACAAAAACTGTTCAAAATTGTCCAGATTTGTTCGATTAACGCAAAATCTTGCTAGACGCATCCAACTCTTTTTACAAGCTTCGAAAATAAAATCCTGGTGTCCAAGAATTAAATCACGAGCATTTTCAGTGCGCTGTTGAAGTTCTTCCAGAGTATTTACATATACATTTTGAAGGTGTTTTTGCATCCCGTTTTTAATTCTTTTATAGACATAAGTTTGATGAAAACGTTACCAAGATTTTTTTTATTTCGAGATGATATGCCGTTGTATTCACTCTAAAGAATCTATACTAAGTGACATATAAATCCGAATACCCAGTTTAAATGGTTTTATTTTAATAAAATTTTATAAGTACTTAATGAAGCATAATAAGTAAATGATAAAAATTTCAAAATGATTGCACTGCTTTAAAGCCCTTTGACCTTTAATAATGTGTGGATGCACCCTGATGTGCTACGCATTCTCCAACGCGCCTAGGCATGCTTCTGATCAGGAGGTCAATGTCCTCCTGTGGTATCTCATTCCAGGCAACCACCAACTCCTCTCGAAGTGCTTCTAGAGTCTGAGGAGGACGTTGCAAATTGAGCAATCTCCTACCCATCATATCCCACACGTGCTCAATTGGGGATAAGTTGGGAGATCTTGGTGGCCATGGTAACAATGTGACATCATTTTGTTGTTGTTACCTCTGATGAAGATTAAAGGTGACCTGGAACCATAAGCTATAGCACCCCAAACCATAACTCCAACAGTGTGATGAACATGTCTTTCAACAAAACACTGTGGAGTCCTCCTTTCACCACGTCGCCTTCTAACCCCGGCACGACCATCGTGCATGCCTAAACAAAATCGAGACTCGTCACTAAAGACAATACTGTTCCATTCCTGATCCCAGAGTGACCGTTGTCTGCACCACTCAAGGCGATTACGTCGGTGTTCTCGAGTTAAAGGGAGGACCCAGTGTGGCCGGTATGAAAACAAGCCAAAACTTCTCATTCGTCGGTAAACACTTCGCATGCCAATAGGTCTTCCGTGTTCAACTCATGAATGTTTAAAAAAGTAATCCTTTTTTGAAACATTCATATCCATATACAGGGTGTTTCTTACATGAACCGACAAAAAAATATGGATAACTGGGGACGCTACTTGATGATTTTTGGTGGAAACCGTAATGCTCTAAGGGCTACGGTTTCCGAGATATAATTTTTGTTTTCTTTTTTTGCTGAATTACCTACAATGGCGCAGCACTATCGTGATAACTTTTTTGTTTGTCAAGACAATAACACAAGATTCGAGTCGATTCTGTATAGCATTCAGCAATCAGATGAGATCAATGTACAAAGCTTCTCCATAAAATGACTTATAACTTTAAATTTAAAATTCGATTACAAAAAACTACAGTTCTGGTGATACTTAGTTTTATTCCAAAAAGTTCGGTGTTTCTTTGCCTTTCCAACGATATGCTACACATCACAGAAATAATTTGTTTAGTGGTCAAAATTACAGGAAACAGTGTGTCGAGCTAATGATTTTTTGTGCGATTTATACATTTTTATGTAATTTGAATCAGTCTTTTCAAAATGACTGCCTCCACTTGTTGAGAATAATGAAGTTAGCAAGGGCCAAGCAGTACACAGATTAGGAATACCTCTTATCCATGTAGATTTGAAGTTAATGACATCCCATACCTGGTTTACCGTAATACGTCATAGGGCATAATAACAACTGGAATTAATGTCTAATCCCATAACCCGACAGGTATGTATTCCGGGTATCGCAGCTCATTAATTTCAGCTAAACTTGCCCGTGTTGGATTCCTGAGCTTACCTGATAATTAAATTTCAATTACGATCCTCATCATCTCATAGATAAAAGAGTGCATTAGGAAAGTAGGGCTAGTCGAGCTTTGACTATCTCTCATACCACAAGTGTATTTCCGTTTGATTTTTTGTTTCTGTTTTTGGTATTGTTAGTGTTTCCTCCGTCATTATCAAGTTTCATTACACTGACAACAAATTTTAGTTTTTTAATTGTATCTTGTGGGAAAACTGCACTTCTTTGTTAATTTTGGGGCGCTGAATCCAAAAATGACAATGAAATAAAAAAATTAGTTGGGTTTAGAAAAAAACTTATTTTTAAGGATATATTAAAAAAAGTAACAAGATTCATATACTTATAAGAATCACTATATGCGCTGTCTTTTTGCTGTTCTTTTATGGATCGTTTCTGGAACATCTCTACCAAGAGTCCAACAGTAGTCTGCAAGCATGGAAGGATTCCACTTTCCCTGGTACCTTTTTTCCATTGTTGAAATATCCTGATGAAAACTTTCGCCGTGCTCATCACTTACGGCTCCGCAATTGTCCGGAAGAAAGTCCAGGTGTGAGTGTAGGAAATGTATCTTAAGAGACATATTACAGCCCATCTTTTGATACGATGACAGCATATTTTTGACAAGGGTTTTATAGTTGTCAGCTTTTCTATTTCCCCAGGAATTGGTGACCACCAGACGGAAATCATTCCAAGCAATTTTATGCAATACCTGTTAAAGTGTTTTCAAACTGTGTATCTTTCAAAATATTTCGAATCTGTGGCCCAACAAAAATACCTTCTTCAACCTTTGCCTCACTTAGTCTTGGAAATTTCTGACGCAGGTATTGAAAAGCTGACCCATCTCTATCTAATGCCTTGACAAAGTTTTTCATTAGGCCCAACTTGATATGCAGTGGTGGTAATAAATTTTTTTTCGAATCTACTAATGGCATATGCTGTACATTTTTTTGACCTGGCTCTAGGAATTGACGAACAGGCCAGTTTTGTCTGGTGTAATGAAGTGCCTTTGCCCGACTGTCCCATTCACACAAAAAACAGCAAAACTTTGTGTAGCCTAGCTGCAGCCCAAGTAAAAGTGCAACAACTTTCAAATCGCCACAAATATGCCATTGGTGCTCATCGTATTTTATGCATGTCAATAGGTACTTCATACTGTCATATGATTCTTTCATGTGAACTGCATACCCTACAGGAAGAGATGGTAAAATATTTCCAATATGCAATAACACTGACTTTAAACTCAATGTTGAACTGTCTATAAACAATCTCCATTCTTCTGGGTTATAGTTTATATTTAAAGCCGCCAGTAAGCCGTTAATGTTACTGCAGAAAACCAAGTTATTCTCCATATTGAAAAATGGTTCTAAGTCTTTGTGGCGTTTACGAAAAACACATACCGAAACATCGTCTTCTAACAAGTTCCACTGCTGCAGTCTTGATCCAAGTAACTCTGCCTTACATTTTGGAAGTTCTAAATCTCTTACAAGATCATTTAATTCTGACTGTGTTATTTTTAGCGGTTGGTGGCATGACGTGCTCGGTATAAAATCAGGATCTCTTGACGTTGATGGCATATCTTCTTCCTGACGAATCACTGGATCGCCATGATCTGATTCGTTTTCTGATTCGCAAGTGTAGGATTCTGGGCGTTTTGGAATAGGATTTTCGTCACTGTGAGGCACAGGTCTCAACGCAGATGGTATGTTTGGGTAGTTAATAACCGATTTTTTTTTCTTGGACATACCTGTGGCTTGTCCAACACAAGGTACCATGCAAAAGTAACAATCATTAATATGATTTGTAGGCTCTCTCCAAACCATTGGGACAGCAAAGCGCATAGACCGTTTTTTGCCATTTAACCAGCTCCTCAGACTTGAAGCGCATGTATTACAGCAGATGTGGGGTGCCCACTGTTTGTCTTGATCACCTAGTTTACAACCGAAATAAAGCTGATATGCCTTTGTTATTAGTGGAGTAATAGACCATCTCTGAGACGCAAAAGTCACATCACCACACACGTAACAAAACTGATCTGGATTGTTTACACACTTTCGAGACATCTTGCATGAACGCTGTCAGCCAACTGAGGAAAAAATGGCTAATATAAAACAATATAATGTACACGTATGTATAACGTAACACAATCATGCCGATTACATCATCTTTCCTTGCCGAATATAAAAATGTAGCACGTGCATTCTTGTGAATTACAGTATATTAACACTCACAGCAGGAACACATATAATTGCCGTATCTCTAAAACTTGAACTAATATTGAAAAAATAAGTTTCATTCCGGTTTTAGCACATTAAAAATAGTAATATTTTGTTGATTTTATTTAGGATATTTTGTGGCAGTTGATCAGTGTTATTGTCATAATGCCGAGGTTCAGTAACGAGGAATATGCTGATATGTTGCCGGCTTATGGCAGTGCTAACTGCAATTCACATGAAGTGCAAATACTTTACCAGCAGCGATACCCTGATCGGCAGTTACCTCACCATGGGACCTTCGCAACAACATATCGGCGACTGAGAGAGACTGGAAGCGTGTATTTTCAAGAGCCTATAGTGAGTGGTCGACAACTCAGTATTACTACTGATGAACAAATCCTAAGAGCATAGGATGCGGATCCTACCACAAGTATTCGGGTTGTGGCTGACAAACTTGCTGTCTGGTCTGTGTTACAGGCAAACAGGAACTATCCATTTCATGATTGTCCTGTACAAGGTAATGTAATTTTTAAGTTTTGTCAGGTTTATGCAACATTTTAATTACCATTGTCATAATCACAGTCACAAGCATAAGAGTTGAAATTCTTATTTCTTATGAACACGTGTATACAGGTTGTCGAAGTCATAGTCATAAAATACTCTATTGACATAAAGTTGTGCTAACCGTATGCGTATTTAAGTTACAGGTCTGGACGAAGGTGACAGTACGAGAAAACAGACAGATTCATTCTTCACACGGACGTGGACGACGGTAGCTTTTTGAAGAGGATCTTGTGGACAGATGAGTCCAGCTTCAACCATGACGGAATCGTGAATTTGCACAATGTACACTATTGGGCAGACCGGGACCAGAACCCACACAAGAAAAGACAGTGCTCATTCCAAAGACGATTCAGCGTCAACGTATGAGCCGGCGTTATTGGACGGACTCTGACCCTTATTTTTTGCCAGACCGGCTAAATGGTGTAAATTACGTGGAATTCCTGCAGACTGCGTTGCCTGATCTGTTGCTACCAATTTTACCCGACGCAACAATTATTTTCCAGCATGATAGCTGCCCCGCACATTACGTCCAGCCCGTTCGACAGTTTTTGGACAATGCGTTTCCGCACGCCTGGATTGGTAGGGGTGGTCCTATATCTTGGCCACCACGGTCTCCAGACCTGACACCTTTGGACTTTTACGTCTGGTGCCGAGCGAAGGAATTGGTGTATGTGACAGAGGTGCCCAACAGAGAGGTGCTAATCCAAAGGATTGAAGCTGGCTTTGGTCAGATGAAAGAAGAGATCCTGCTACACACAGACACCGTCGAAATACGAACAAGATATCGAGCATGTCTCAGAAATGAAGGCATTTTGAAAATAACTTATGTTAACATCAAATTAAAACGTGAAACATTGAAAAAATAAATTCTTTATTCCTGAACCGAATCAGTGGTTTTCTCGTCTATCGACCGCAAAACATCTTATTTCTATGATGTCTAGTATCTCGTTGTGAAGGCAATAAACCACAGAACTTTTGTAAATAGAACTAATTTGAAAAAAGGTACAGGTTTTTGGTACTCGAATTTTGAACTTAAAATTGCTTATTCACTCTGCGCTATTTTACGACTTTGAAAGGTCATAAGTCGTTTTATGGAGAAGCTTTGTACAAACAATTGATCTCATCTGATTCAGTATGCTATATAAAATCGACTCGAATTTATCTTGTGTTATTATCTCAACAAACAAAAAAGTTATCACGATAGTTCTGCGCCATTGTAGGTAATTCAGCAAAAAAAAAACGAAAAAAAGACATATCTCGGAAACCATAGCCCATAGAGCATGACGGTTTCCACCAAAAATCGTCAAATAGCGTCCCCCATTACCAATATTTTTTGTCGGTTCATGTAAGAAACACCCTGTATACAGGGTGATCCTTAATGATATGCGAATATTTAAGGGTGTGGATCTACATGAAAATTTAATGTTAGTTTGCTTTACAAACTATGGTCCAACAATGTTTCCTTACAAAAACTCGGGGTGTTGAAGTTTTAGGAAAAAAAAATGGAAATTAATATTTTCAGAACCGCTTCAGATATTTCACTGATATTTAGTACGTAGTGAAAGTTAATAAAGTAGCATATTTGTCCATGCAATGCCAAATAAAAATTATTTTTGAATACCCGTTCAATTTAAAACAAATGATCTCGCTTGAATTGTTTTCCTTCGATGCGCCATTTTTGAGTAAAAAAGTAAAAACCGTTCTATTGTCCGGGAAAATTAATGTAATACACACATCATCAAAAGTGTTGGACCCCCCTGGCGTACTGGCAAACTATAGCCTTCTAATTTCAATCTTTGATATATTTTAAATTGGAGATATTTTTACTATATTTATTTAACAAAACGTTAAGTTAATTTCATTAATATGAAAAGAAAAAGAAAGTTGAACAAGTAAGGTACCAAAAATGTTATTTTTAAAAATCAAAATTAAAGAAAAATAATTATTCTAAAGAAAAATAAAACATAATTAATAACCAGTTCGGTGTCCTCTAGATCTTAGCACCGCGTTAACACGCCTTGGCATTCCTATTATTCGGTGGTTAATGTTTTCTTGGGGTAAATTATTCCACTCTTCATTTACTGCTGCAGCCAGCTCATTTAAGGTTGAAGGTGGATCTATTCTGTTCCGTACGGCTCGGGCTATAGTGTCCCAAATGTTTTCAATGGGGTTCATGTCTGGGCTGCTCGCAGGCTACGGCAATCTCACTATTTGGCCCCTTTCTAGAGCCCGCTGGACTCTTGTCGCTCTATGTGGCCTTGCATTATCATTCATACAAATGAAGTTGTTACCGAATTCATGTCGCAAAGGTTGAATAATGGGTTGTATGACATTTTCTTCATACATTTCTGCAGTCATTGTCCCCTGGATCTGAATTAAAGGACTCTGGTGGTTAAACATTATGCCTCCCCAAAACATTATTGATCCGCCCTGATCTGGACACAAAGACTCCTGTTGATATAATCTACTTAGATTTTTCTAGGGCTTTCGATCGCGTACCACATAGAAGGCTTCTGTTTAAGTTGGAATGTATGGGGATAAGAGGCGAGTTGTTACTGTGGATTAAGGCTTTTCTCACCGGGAGGACTTTCTCTGTGCGCGTCAGTGATAGCCAGTCTCACCTTCATCATGTAGCAAGTGGAGTCCTCAAGGCTCTGTCTTGGGGCCAGTGCTGTTCCTTCTGTATACAAGTGACCTGCCCGCATTGATTTCCTCCACAAGTTCAGCTTATGCCGACGACACCAAGATTTACAATACTGTCGTGAATTCTGCTATGCTTCAACGAGATCTTGATATTGTTTGTCAATGGTCAGTCAGTTGGCTTTTACCCTTAAATCTAACTAAGTGTTGTGTCCTTCACCTCGGGAAGACAAATCCGCGATTTACATACAAGATGTCTGACCACAACATCGAAGCAGTTTCCAGCCACACTGATCTGGGTGTTGTAGTCAACGATCGTCTTTCCTGGTCAGAGCATATTCACCACGTTACATCAAAAGCCAAGAAACTTCTATACATGCTGGAGAGGTCTTTCAAAGGATCCGATGTCAACACTTGCGGCTACATTTACAAGGCATTCGTGAGGCCAATTCTTGAATTCGCTGGCCCGGTATGGGACACTGTGCTTCTGCGCGATAGAAATCTCGTCGAATCAGTACAGCGTCGGGCTACTCGTATCCCTTTTGGAGCACGAAGACCAAGCTATGAAGATCGCCTTGAATTATTCAACCTGACCTCATTCTCTGAGCGAAGACTTCGTGGCGATCTTATAGTTACGTTCAGGATACTTCATGGTTTGATGGGCACCAACCTCATGCATCTATACCGTCTGTCGCGCAGCAATCTACGCGGACACAGCTTCAAACTGCATAAGGAGCTATTTAAAACAACAGTCCGACAGTGGTTTCTTCCCAACCGCATATTCAACACCTGGAATAGTTTACCTGAAAGGGTGGTTGGTGCTACTTCAGTTAATAGCTTCAAAGTGCAGTATGATAGCTGGAGAAGTGTACAAACTTTATAGCTATGAACTGTCTTTTTTTATTTTTTTCTATTTGATGTATTTGTGTTACGTGTCCGTACACTATATTTACTGCATGAGCTTATAGTACTGTGTACTCTGCTCATCTCAATTATCATAATAATAATAATAATAACTTCTCGGGCCAAATTTTGTTCGCTGTTGATGTCCTGGTTCTCTCCAAACGCTTATTCTACGGTCATCACTTACCAGTCCAAACCTAACCTCATCTGTAAATACCACATTTCGCCACTGTGGTAAAAGCCACTCCTGATGTTCTCTAGCCCACTGGAGATGTGCAGCAATTTGTTTACGAGTAAGACATGGAACCCTTAAAGGTCTTCTAGGGCGCAAATTTGCCATTCGCAATCTTCTTCTGATGGTAGAAGTGGAAATAACTCTTCGAAAGGTATGTTGAATATGCGATCTGATAGCTGTACTTGTTGAAAATCTATTCCTTCGGGCAAATAGGGCAATGTAACGATTCTCCATATCATCTGTTACTCGAGGACGCCCACTGCGTGGCCGATTTTCAACTGAGCTAGTTTCTTGGAATCTTTGAGTTGTTAGAATAACCGAACTTCTTGGGATACCCAAACCCAGTGCTATTCGGTGATTTGAAAATCCAGCTTGGAAGAGGGCTACTATTTGTATTCTATCAAAACCCGAAATTTCAGCTCTCGGCATTTTAAAAGTTACAGTATAAAATTTTATTTTAATACTTTTTGCTCAAACACTACCGTTAAACTGACATTTCTATAAAAATCCAAACACATTTTTATCTCAACGGTTTTTTGCGTTTTTTACTTGCTAAATATATAAAGATTTTTTGTTCACAAACATAATGTAGATAACGTACCTCTAGACGGATTTATCCAACACTTTTGATGATGTGCGTAATTGAAGAATGCAATTTAGCAATAAATATCTAGTTGCTCTGGAATATGTCACTGGCTTTGACATCTGACAAGTCCCTGTTATTCAAATCTGTTTAGTTTTTACAATCTTGTTAATAATGGTGAATTATTCACATGCAGAAATGGCGGAAATACATATATGGCCTTGCCGACTGTAATGGTGAGCAAGCCAGACGGATTTAACACCAGAGATACCCCGATCGTGCTTTGCCAGATAGTCGACCCTTTTCTAATATTCAGCGACGTCTTGTTGAAACTGGTTCTGCCCGAAAAGGAACACCTGAAGGTATACCTCTAAGTGTGAGAACACCTGAAATTGAGGAAGCAGTGCTGCACGAAGTCGAAGAACAATTTTTGTGGTTTTTTTGTTATATCCTTACCATATTTTAAGAGTACAGGCATTACTTCCCATTGATTTTCCAAGACGTGTAACCTTTGGTCAGTGGTATCTTCAAAAAATTACACAAAATCCGCAATTTGAATCAATGATTGTTCACGGACGAAGCTAATTTTTCTCGAAATGCCATTAAGAATTTCCACAATAATCATTTGTGGGCAGAAGAAAATTCCTATGCTGTAACCGAAACCCATTTCCAACACCAATTTTCGGTTAACGTAGAGGAATTAAGAGAAAGAATACTTGCAGCTTGTGATAGAATAAAAAACACTTCAGGGATATTTAAACGAGTGTGCAATTCCATGAGGAGGGCGGAAGCATGCATACTAAGTAGTAGTGCATTTTCAACAATTTTTGTAATCATTTCGTTGGTTTTAATATTATGTTTATGTTGTCAATTGTTGTTGTTCATTACCCCGAATGTGTTTAATGTTTTCAACTAGATTAAAAATCATTTTGCAAGTTAGACAATATGACGGTTTTTTTTTACTCAAAAATGGCGCATTGAAGGAAAACAAATCAAGAGAGATCATTCGTTTTAAATTGAACGGGGAATTCAAAAATAATTTTTATTTGGCAAAAAACCATTGGCGTACCATTTTTTTCTTAAAAAATATCGAAGTCAATACCCGTACGCACGCCACTGTTAAAGCTAAAAATTATTTTTGCATTGAAAAATATGCAACTTTATTCACTTTCACTACGTACTAAATATCAGTGAAATATCTGAAGCGGTTCTGAAAAAATTATATTAATTTCCATTTTTTTCCTAAAACTTCAAGTTTTTGTAAGGAAACATTTTTGGACCATAGTTTATAAATGTTAAAGTTAACATTAATTTTTCATGTAGATTAAATTATTAAGGAACACCCTGTATATATATGCATTGTCAAATCGCTGTGGAAGACTATATTAACTAAATGCAAATAGAAAGAAAAATATCAAGTATTAGTAATGTAGATATGATTTCTGCAACTTCCAATCAAGAAATTTTTGAAATTGTCAAACAGAAAAGGTTCAGATTATCCTCGAATTGAAAGATTAGTTAGGTTAATATAGCGGAATCCACAGCAACATCACTTTTTTAGATTCAACATTGCAGTTCCGCCCCGTAGCAGACATTTCAGAAACTTGAAAATATTTTCCAGGTTTTTCGCTTGGCCGTTTTAGTAATAACTGTTTCTTCCGCAAGCATCTACGATGTACAGGTTCCCAGATACAGTACCCCGCTTCTTACTTGGCCACCTTGTACATTTCATCATTGGTCTAAAAAGTTTTACGTTTCAGTTTCGGTTAAAAATCCAGTTTTGGTCGGTTACTACTAGCTACGCGCTGAACTAACCTGGTCACCTGTAAATGATCGTTCGGGACTATAATTAATTCAAACTGTAAGCTCCATTGCAAATCTATTTAAATGACACAATATAAACTTATCTTATCTAGAGTCGTTTTTGAGAGCAATTCAATAATCTATCATTTTTTTTGACCTACTAAACAGAATATTATTAACATACACAATGTAACTTCTGACCTTCCTATTGACCTAAGCCAAAACAATGAAACCTAAAACGAATTTTATATTACGAAGATATATTCAAATTGGTAACGATTATATCATGCCTGTTACTTTAATGAATAAAGTCATACGTAATATTGAACTTGGCATGTTAAATAGCCAGTCAAATGAGATTTGCTGAACGTTCCTATAAAGAATCCTCAAAAGTTATTTCAAGATTAAAATCAAAGTAGTAAACATCTTTCAAAAATGGTTCTGAAGGAATGTTTCAACACAATTGGAGAGAAGTTATTGCCAGTGAATCACTGTTTAGTGTACGACGAATTTCCTTCGAAATCAATGTCCTCCTGTTTCAAAAGCTCAAGTCATATACATTCAAAATTTTTGAGTTATATACATGCGGCCAATTATTGTACTGCCAGAACCGAGAAGCTCTTAGAAGCAATCATATATGAACAAATCATTGAATATATCGAAGAAAAAAACATATTGACCAAAATTTCAAGCAAGATTCAGAAAAAAAATATTCTATTGAAACAGCAATTCAAATGGTAGTGAAGTATGGATGAAAAAAGGTTTACAGTAATATTGTTCTTGGATTTCAAGAGGGCATTTGAGACTATTGGCAGGCAATACTCTATCAAGCATTGAAAACATTTCGGTAGGTGTGCCACAGTGTAGCGATTTAGGTCCATTACTATTTATTTTATATATTAACAATATTCCTGATGTTTTATAACACTGCAAAATTCAAATATTTGCTGATGATACATTAATATACAGTAGCACTCAAAAGTATTTTGACAAAGTGTAACTAATTAAATACGACAAAAATAAAAACAATATTGAAATTTATTAAGACGTATGTTATTCCTGTTGACCTGAGTCTAAACAATGAAACCCAAAACGAATTTTACGTCACGAAGATATATTAAAATCGGTTACGATTATATCATATAACTGTTATTTTTTAATAAAGTCATATGTAATATTGAACTTGGCATTATAAATAGCCAGTCAAATGAGGTTAATAAATTTTCCTTAATTTTCGATTCACCAGATTAAAAATTGTCAGGTTAGATGGCGAGTGGAATAGCACAATATTACATATTCCCTCTTTACCTTATTGGTACAAGCGGCAAGTACCCAACGCCTCAAAATCAAACAAAATTTTCAAAAATGTCTCCCCCCTTTGGTGTTCAATTCTCACCAGATGCAATGTAGAGTCCCCAGGTTTCACTCTGCCCTGGGGCCCCACATGCCTCGAGACGTCCCTGTATACTGCCACCAAGAATACATTATTTGTTAATAATTAGTAGTCTCACTGTTCAACATATGATTACTAACATTATAATGATCACATTTTCTGAACCTGGTAATATCGCAAGATCATGTATTATTTAAAAATAGCATGCGTACAGCAAACAGCAACCAAATAAATGGCGCAATTAAATTATTATGAAGTGATTTTTTGAAATAAAGTCACGTAGGTAACCTGAATATCTGCTGTAGGTATGTAGAATAATGAGACATTTAATATGATGAGATAAAAGGAAGATGCTGATGATATAAGCTTGCACTTTGCAGTACATTATACATATGTTATCAATTTTCTGGTATGTCTTGACCATGAAATGCTGGCTTGTTATTTTGTTCATCTTTTATCAAAATTACATAACTCGCAGTTATAGACTTTGACAAAACAGTTAGCTGCTTATTTATAAAGAAAATTTTACTTAATTGATTATATCTGAAGATATATGCAAAACTAAAGTGACCGCATAAATATTCCACAGTCCATTTACAGGACAAACTATTTAACTGATAAAATATACAAGCATGAACATAGCGCAAATTGGAAAATCTGATGATGACTAAAAAAGATGGTGTGTATTTTCGATTTAAAACCTCCATTTCTAGAATAAGAATTTGATGAGAATTCAGAAACTTCCATAAAAATCAATACATGACAAGGTTAAGATCCAGCATATCAAATTCCAAGAAAGTGTAATAATTTTGGCTAATCAAGTAACTTAGTTCTGGATGTTTGCAGAAAATGTTTTTATTACGGACTGTATGATGTTTTGATTGGGCTCAGCTCAGTTAAGTAGCAGTGAAACACTTGTATAGACTTTAGGTAAACTTGTAATAATAGACTATGTACACTAGATAGGGAAAACAAAATTTGTCTGACGGTGACGCACAAGGTCGTACAATCGGCCGCGTTGCCAATATGTTCCACCAGAAAATGTTTTCACAGGTTTCCGGTTAGGTTACTGTCAAACCCAATAAAGAGGTCTGTTCGAACATTTAATTTAAAAGTTTGTTTTCATTTTGATTAGAATTATTTATTTCAATTTACGAGTTATTGTTACATTTTGCGACAACGAGCGGTCAGAAAATCTAACAAATACTATTACGCAACACATATTATCACTACCTGCGTGTACGCAGGTGAAAAACATTTCGAAATAAGCGCTAGATGGTAACTGACCAAAATCGCTCATCTATGATCATGGAGGTGGAAACCTTGCCTTGGAATGTTCGAGATGCGATGTTGTCAAATGAACCAATGATACAATGTTGCAGAATCTGTGGCGATCCTGATCTTTCATTTCGACCTAAAATGAAGCGCCGGTAGAATCGATCCTGAACAGATTCGACACAATTCACAATTCAAAACTGTGGACGCTTCAAATAAAACCATTATTTGGGCGTAAAGAATAAACTATCGCATATTTTTAACATGCATCTTAATTTAAGGAACTGGTGTAACATATTGGTAACGCGTCAGCGTTGCTAGGCAACACGGTGATGAGCTTCTCCATCCACCCAGCTTCTATCTCTCTCTACCATATGTGTCTATACACACTTATCTTTGGTACACATTAAAGTCAAGCCGTCAGACAAATTTGGTTTTGAGTGTATACAAGTAATGTACTTGTGGAAAAAACCTAAACTGAATGGATCTAAAGTTACAAAGTACTCTGAAGATAAACATACTAGGTAAAAGATTGGTGGGTAAAGCTGATGGTAAAACCCCAAAGTCAGTAAACAACTGAAAGTAATGAAATTAATAGGAAAACTAAGATAACATTTATAACCTTCATGGGTTTTCCTAGGGTTCAACCTGCATAGATGGATAGATTTTAAAAAAATGAAGTGATAAAATGCGAATAAACCAAATTAGTGAAAATGTAGATGCGCCCTTTGGGGTCTTACATTTCACAAAAGACATGTATTATATAAAAGAAAAGCATATTTGGCCATACAGTTCTGGGGGGAGGATTGAATGTGACATTTGAAACACCGCCATTTTTCCAACTGCTTATGGATTTGCTACTTAGATAATAATTTGTACAGTCATCCTGTCACTGCATATATCTTATCTCATTCCACAGATTAGATGCATTTTTTTAAATATAGGCTAATATGCCAACAGTAGCTATTTCATTCCTTTCATTCAGTAGAAGAAGCAGCTGATTGATTTTGTTCAGGCTGGTTCAGCAACAATGCAGTGTTTATAAATGTACAGGGTGACCCAAACGTGCATGGATAGAGCATTTTGCTGAGACACACCCTTTCAAAAATTGTTCAGGATGCTCCTGCACTGTCCCCTTATTCACACATATCAAAAATGATCAGGACTATACAGTGTGTCAAATGTTGGTGTATGGGTTATTATTATGTTGTTTGCTTCTTCTGGTTGGCTCAACAAATTTAGAATTCACCACAATACGAGTTTTTAAGCGATTTCGGGAGAAGAAGCTTCAGTTACTGCTGAAATTTAATTGTTTTTGAAACAATTTGCTTATTTGATTAAGCGATATTTACCGAGAGACATCTATAAGGCCGACGAGACAAGCCTGTATTTTAGGGCTCTACTCAAAAAAATTGACACTTTCAGTTCGTCTCGTTTAACACAATCAAATATCCACACAGAGGCTCATTGAGTATGTAAGAGCCCCTTCCCACTTCAGTTGGCCCACTTCAAGATTTGTACCAAAATATGCCTTTATAAACTAAACATGATGAAACTATTTACTTCTAAAACAATTTATTTTCTTAAAAACATTTTAGATACACTCTAGTCGTACAAAATACATAGTTGAAATCACTTTCACCTTTATTTTTTATTACGGCTGAAATTCTTTGGGGCATAGTGTTAACCAAGTTTTGGCAAACATTTGGTGTAAAACAATCCAATATTTCTTGAAGCTTTTGTCTCAGTTCAGTGATTGTACGAGCAGGATGTTGTCGTAGAACCTTTTTCATCTCGTGCCACAAAGCTTCAATAGGTGACAGATCTGCACTGCTAGAAACCCATTTCAAAAAAGGTACATTATTTTCTTCCATCCATTTTATAGCCTTTTTTGAGGTATGACACGCTGCACCATCTTGCTGAAACACAAAATCTTGGCCGGATGTCAAACATTCTTCCATCACTGGTAAAAGCGATTCTTCTAAAATTGCCAAATATTTGTTTGTATCCACATTTCCATCAATAAAATGAAGTTTTCCTACTCCTTTTGATGACATACTGCCCCAGACCTTAAGGTCGCACGTCCCTTTTTTTCAACTGTGCGTTTGGAGCAGTATTATGAGCACTTATTGTCTGATTATTTCAGGGTGTGTATAAAAATGACTGATTTATGATAATCTTATGTTTTTTTGTCAAAATGAAAACTTTTTTTTGCCAATTTTTTTACAGTCCCAGCTTCGAAACAAATAATCGTAAAGACATGAAATTAAGTGATTGCATTGTGAATCAATAAAGGAACGTCCTTTATCGCTCATTTTCCACATATAATTTATTTTTCGTACAAAAATTTTATTTTTCTTTTGAAGGAAAACGATTTTTTGAAAGTATGTGGATAAAAGACATAAAGAACTGAAAGAACAAGCCATCAAAGAAAAAATCAACTCATTTGTTCAAACGGTTTTTGAGTTGTAGATGTAATTTGACAAATATTTTGGCAAAACCACGCCTCCCGCTGACCACGCCCTCGGCGGAAGATTATTGGCCCTATTTAAGACAGGTGCGTCGTTCGCCATGCTGACTAGTTACCGTGTTGCCACGCGTGTGATTTATTCTTTGAGTACATAAGTGTTGTAGCTGTGACTATTTTCATTGTTTTAAGTGTATTTGGTGCTAATTGGTGTTTTGTTCTAACGTTATTCTCGCAGTTAGTTTTTGTTAAAATGCCTAAAGCCCGTGCTCCGCTATCAAGGAGACATACAGGAGGAGGAAAGAGGTGTCTACTTCGAAAGAATGCTCTAAAAGCAAGGTAAGTGTTGCTTTATAGAATATACAGTGTGGCAAGCAATAATTTCTCTAAAATCATTTTTTTCCATTTGTTCGAATGACTTGACTCGGGTTTGACAAATTCGATTTGTATGAAAACTATATACTCGAAACAAATTAAATTTGGCAGGTATTTTAAGTAGTAATGTAGCAACCACACATACATGGCACGGCATTTGTATTTCATCTGCTGTTATTCTAGATTTTATTATTGTTTATGCTATTTTTTCAAAAATAGCATCCGGCAGAATTCCTCGCGGTATGCAAGTACGAGAAAGTACAAGATAACCGATTCAAATAAATAAAAAGGTACAAAACAACCGGTAGTTAGTACATTATAGTTGATTTGTATTTTATTATTGTCATTGTTATGTCCACCTTTATTTCAAAGCTCATGCTCCGATCGAATATACATGTCGTCAATAAATTTCTAACATTTTGAAAATTTTAAAAGTTCCAATCATTCTTAAATTTTTGAATATTATTGAGATTTTAAAAATTGTGAAATTTGACAATTGTGAAAGTTGTGAATATTTTATTAATTGTGGAAATTCCGAGAATTTTGAAGATTATGAATTTATTGAAAAATATAGAAATTCTGTAAATTTGAAAATATTCAGGATTTTATAAATTTTGAAAATTTTCGAAATTTTCCAAATTTTTCAAATTTTCAAAATTGCATAGTGTGAAAATTCAACATTTCTGAAAAATTTGAAAATCTTGTAGATTTCGAATATTTAGAAAATTTTCAAGATTTTGAAGGTTTTAAAATTTTTCAATATTTTGAAAATCATACATTTTATAAATCGAAAAAGTTTTGAAAATTTCTAGAATTTTGATGATTTTGAAGATTGATAAATTTTGAAAATTTCTAAACTTTCGAAAATCATGAAAATTTTTAAAATTGTAAGGTTTTAAATTTGTAAAATTTTGAGAATCTTACAAATATTTTAAATTTTGAAGATTCTAAAAATTTTTAAAATTCTGAAATTTTGAAATTCTTTGAAAATATATATGATATACATATATGTATGTCTTAGTACTCGAGATAAATTTATCAAAACGGTGACAAGAAATCAAAAAGCTGATAAGAAATATTCACCCCCCTCCCTTCCCCATCTGGAGGATATCATTTATGGAAGCCTTTGTTAATGTCAGCTTATTTTATAGATAAAATTATAAACAAAAGATACCCCCTACTTCTGGGCTATTTGAAATAGCTTAGGTTCCTCAGTACAAAGGGCGTTACCTCGCTTCAACCCTTGCTTGGGGGTGGAATTTCCAAAATTGCTTTGTGAGTGCTCATTTAATTTATATGTATGAACCAAATATACATGTATATAAAAACCAATATTTATATCACGAACTAAAATAATAATAGTTTCTTGATGCACATGGTCACATTTACCCCCATTTCAACCCCTTTGTCTCCAAGGTCTAATCTATATCTGTTCCAAAATGCATCGGAATTGGTTCAGCCGTTTTGGCGTGAAAACGGAACATACAAACACACAAACACTCACATTTATAATATTAGTAGGGATGCTCATATCTGTATCTAGCAGGTATATATACTTAAGTGGGATTTTGAAGTTTATTTGTCTATATGTATGCATTTGGATTGTTGGGTCCACTGAAACTGTATATATGTGAACTTATACTACCTATGATGTCTATTTTTTCAAAGTAGCTTATATACATACAGTGCTTTTCAATGGTCCCTCTACTTTTTGTTTGAACGGGTCACGTTAGCTAGCTGAAATTCATGGGTGCAATAATTTTGGAACATTTTTTAAATGGACTGAAATGTCAGGTGCTACCTCATTCTTACTAGTGCTTTATTCTAGAATATAACATTTCCAAGACTGGCGAACTGACAGGCTGTCAAAGTTGACGGGTAGTTGTATGAAAGGGTGACAATTTACCAAAATCCCATATAGCCTGGCGCCGGCAGGAAGACTACGCGCCGTTCTGGCAACGTCGTGTAATCACACGGCGATGGGTAGGCGTCTTCAGAGCCCAGTGGGCCAGGCGTTCGATTTAATCATGAATTTCGTCATTGTACTGCCACCTTGCGGATATAATTTTTTTTGGGGGGTGGGCTGAATGCCTTTAATGGATGCTGGAAATTTCACTTTTCTCTTCAAACAGTCAACATAGAATGCTTCATTTTTTTTTGCGAATAACTCTACTGTGACTGTCACCAACACAAACTTCGATTCAGGCCTCATCACTCCAGTTTATTGCACACCAGTGTTGAGGTATTTAATACACTTTTTTTTATAAGAAAACTTACCTTGCAAGTGCTAAATCCCAGTTTGTGGGACTCTCTATGAGTTGTGGACCTCAAAATTCTCCTTCCAACAGCGTCACTCCACAGAGCACTTAATTGTAAATAATTCGCACGTCTGTTTTTCACGATTATTCTTCTTAATGCTCTTCGGTCTGCATTTGTGATATTACTTTTTTTCACATATCATGGCTTAATATTAACTGAACCAGTTACGTTATATCTTCTAACAATATTTCTCACACTGTACCATGATAAGTATAACAAAGTTGCAATTTCAGAGTTTGATTTCCCAGAATTTAAAAATTGAATTATCAGTAACAGAATTTTCTCACTAATAACGTTTCCTCTACCCATTTTGAAAACCTTAACTACCCAAAACTATTTTAAACATATTCTGACAGCTGTGATTAATAAAAACAATTGGCATGGCTTTTATTTTTCACAGCCACCTATGTGTTATAGACTTATTTTGCATTGAAATGAAAATAGGTTGATATGCTGTAATTGCAACATGTGTTATTTTTATGCTGCAAATTTGATTAGGGAGTGATAAAGTTGGTGCTTTCTACTATATATTATCAAAATATTCATTGTTAATATTTTAAACCTATAACACCCTGCTACATTTTTATTATTTGTGTTTGATAAGAAAAAACTAAGATTTCAATAGTTGGGCCAACTGAAGTGGGAAGGGGCTCGTATGTATGTTTGAGGATGTGGATGAATGGAATTCCTGTAGTTTTACTTTTCTCTGCCAAAAACCGCCCAAACACCTGTCAGATCTAGTAACCTGGGAGCTAGACATTATTAATGAAAAATGGAAAAACAAACAGAAGAGATTATTTAATTAATGGCTGAACTAAGGGATTAAAGTGGTGATAAGCTGTAACAGCTTTAATTTCAACAGCTCAATGTTATCGGGACTTGAGTAATACAAGTGGGTTATTTTCAACAGAAATTAGCAAATGAACAGATAAAATAACAATAAAAATAAGTTCAAACAGCAGTGCTGAAAGACATATAACAATGATTACATTCAAGGCTTAAGCATGACATCATGAATTTGCGTTTTATGAAAAATACATTTCCGCATTTTAGTTGTGGGTGTACTCGACGATTATTGTTTTCATAGTTAAACATAAAGGTACATAGGAATAAGTACTAAGAAATGTGATCAATGAAAAGAGTAAGAAAATGAGATTGCTGTATCATCGTCATGCACGACGGTGCCGAGTGACGATTACTATCATCAAATGTGAAGTTGCTTACCTCGTTCAAGAATGCAGTAACATCAAACACGTTGTTGTGGATGACTACCCAAGTGCTTTTGTTGTCGCTATGCTTCTTTACCTCTTCTAGGGAAAATTGTTTGGAAGTCATTTTTCGAATGTATAATTTAGTTCGTTCAGTACGTGACACGAAACTGGCCGGCGATATGCGCACCGATACTGTACGTACGCTCGCAGTACTTTAATTTTTCTAATTCAATATCCTTGAATGCCTAATCTGTGACCCGTGACGTTAACAGCAACAAAATCACAAAACATATACACTGAAGAAGGTGTAATTCCATGCTATTCAATGGCAACACCGTGACTTTTATGGTTGTCAGCGGCCATTTTTTGAGGGTGCGACACTGTTGCCAGATTGTGCATTAATATCCCGCGACGTTGCCAGCTCTACATATAAATCTAAGATTTCTATACTCATATATACAGGGTGACTTTGAAATTGAGTCATTAATTTTCCGATAATGATTGTAGAAGGAAGATAAACCAAAATATGTGTGTAAAAATAAAAAAAATTAAAAAAAATGTTACCTTGTTTTATAAAGTATCCCCCCGACAAGTATTTCAGTGCGGACCTGTATTTGATCGTGAGGTCTTGGAGCACCGGCATGCCGTCCCCTGTGAGGTCTTAAGTCACCTGATTCACGAGCCCGTTGTACTACATTAACAAAGGCACGAGGGGTTGGTTGCACTCGATTGGGAAACCGATCCGCATAAACATGTGCCATTTTTTATTTCGTTTGAGCCACGCAACAGACACCACTATTCACTCACGCGTTACCGACTGACACTGACTGTATACAACTGAATAAAATAATTGTAAAAACATCGTTCCAAATTCTTTCGCCTTTTTGTTTCCGATGCGATGAACCGATAAGGCGGATTATATCCGTTGTTGCCAAACACGAGCACATAATATTATTATTGAGACAGGGCGGTACTCAAACTTTCAAAGGGCTATAACTTTGTTACTTTAATTTTACCAGAAAAATGGTAAAGGAAAAAAACATTTCTTTTGATCAGATCTACTCACTGTTAAAATAAATGACTCAACTTCGAAGTCACCCTGTATATATATACAGGGTGACTTTGAAGTTGAGTCATTAATTTTCAGATAATGATTGTAGAAGGAAGATGTGTAAAAATAAAAAAAAAATAAAAAAAAATGTTACCTTGTTTAATAAAGTATCATCCCGACAAGTATTTCAGTGCGGACCTGTATTTGATCGTGCGGTCTTGGAGCAGCATGCCCTCACCTGTGAGGTCTTAAGTCACCTGATTCACGAGCCCTTTATACTACATTAACAAAGGCACGAGGGGTTGGTTGCACTCGATTGGGAAACCGATTCGCATAAATCCGTGATGCATCCGGGAGCATTTGACTGCCCCCCCGTAAATAAGAATCATGTCCACAAGTTCAGCATTTTCGTAAACATGTGCCATTTTTGATTTCGTTTGAGCCACGCAACACACTACTATTCACTAACGCGTTATCGACTGACGAAAAACATCGTGATAAACGTTTCAAATTCTTTCGCTTTTTTGTTTCCGATGCGATGAACCGGTCAGGCGGATTATATCCGTTGTCGCCAAACACGAGCATATAATATTATTATTGAGACAGGGCGGTACTCAAACTTCCAAAGGGCTATAACTTTGTTACTTTAATTTTACCAGAAAAATGGTAAAGGAAAAAAACATTTCTTTTGATCAGATCTACTCACTGTTAAAATAAATGACTCAACTTCGAAGTCACCCTGTATATAAAGAGAAAATTATCATGCGGATAAAGGTATATAACAAAAATAGGAAAATAAGAATAAATTTAATTATTTTCCTATTTTTGTTATATATATATATAGGTGAAAAATTAAAGCTTCCGCCTTTTGTTGGGTACTTCGACAAAATTTAAGCAAAGAGGACTCTTTATACTTTTTTAATTCTCTCTAGCTTTCAATGGACTTTGCCATCATCATCAGGAGCTGCAATTACAATGATAACAGTAGCAACAAAAGTGTAAAATGAATTTAAATTGACTCAACTTACAGTAGTATGTGAGGATGTTGCTAATTGTTGTTTACGTATAGGATGAGGGAATCAATTTAAATTCATTTTACACTTTTGTTGCTACTGTTATCATTGTAATTGCAGCTCCTGATGATGCTGGCAAAGTCCATTGAAAGCTAGAGAGAATTAAAAAAGTATAAAGAGTCCTCTTTGCTTAAATTTTGTCGAAGTACCCAACAAAAGGCGGAAGCTTTAATTTTTCACCTAACTGGTCTAGACGACAATGACCACGTCTCAAGTTATATATATATATATCTGTACCTCAGAGCCAGACTGGTCTAAGTCCAAATAAGTAGTTCTGAGATAATTGTATTTCAAACATTTTTCTTGCGTTATATTGTATGGGACGTGACATGAGTCAAAAAGTCGTAACTTCCTTATTATTACAGAGAGATGGACGCCGCATGTAGCAAATGAAAACTCACAATAGTATCGTACCTGTTAAACTCATTTTTGACAAAAATGGACTTAACCTAGTCTGGCTCTGGGGTACAGATATAGAGACTGCATTCCGATTGTTTCACCAAAATGTCTTCTCACGTGTAATACTTTTTAATTTGTTCGGGTGGATTGATATTTTTGACATGTAACGAAGGTATCTGTCGTTTTTCAACAAGCCCAATGTCCCCGTCCTTTTGTTTTTATACTGATTACAAGTTCGATCTTCTCTACGTTCGGTTTGGAACACCTTGTGGCTGTAATCTCACCGACGAAATCCTGATGAAGGCTCCATAGAGAATGCCGAAAGCTTGATTTTGTCGTCAAGAGTCAACTTAAGCCTAAAAAATTTGCCAATTTCCCAATTAATTGTATTTTGTGCCCAACTGGTCATTGGCTTTGGCAATGACTACGGCTCACGTTATATATAAATATATAGAAATTTGGTGGGAGATCTTATAACAGCATGTGTTATTAACATTTTGCGCTATCTTGACGAATAAATGCTTTTTTGTATGTTAAAATAGCAACATCAATAACACAAGCTGTTATAAGATCACTCATATCTACTTACTAATCTGGAAAGGTTCAGAAAAAAAAATATACTGCAAATACCTAAATATATATTTGTTATATAAATCTCATACATTTTTCTACAAACAAATCAGTATTATCATTATGGTCCAGATGTTTGCATTCCCCAGCCTTTGTGGGCACCTGCATAAATCAAAAATTAGAAATACATTGAATTGTGTTGATATGTTTCTACAATTCACAGATTTCTTTTTTTATTAGACCAATAACATGATTGTCCATGGGTACCCACAGGAATTTTTCTCAGATGTGCTGATCATCATCAAGAGATAACTATTACCACAGCCCCCCTGAGGGCACCCATGTTATTGTTCAATAACAATACTTTGCTTTGATTTCATTAAAATTCTAGTGAGCTTTACATATCAACCCTACTGCTCTGACAATAGCTGATTTAAAACGAAGTATGAAAACTAACTTGGACAAAAAGCAGTACAAATCATCATTAGTTATTGAGTCATATAAAAACTTACAAATGTTGTGTTCTGCAAATTCATGGTGGACGATGCCTTTGATGATAAAAAATACAGTGAGCATCGTTTTCACTTTGGAGTTGCTCATTCTTCCCTTTTTGGGCGAGGAGACGCCGTCGTGCGCCACTTGGAAGATTGCCTCTTTGTCTCGGGATCATACTCAAAGATCCACGACTCGTCACCTGTGATTACGTTATTCAAAAATTAGGGGTCTCTTTCACACATGTTCAAATTTTCTTGGCACACTTCCACTCGCCGCAATTTCTGGTCGTCAGTGAGCACTTTTGGGACCATCTTCGCGCACACCATGCGCATGTTCAAATGCTGTGTCACAATGTCATGAACCACAGATTTTGGTAAATTTAACATCTGGGGGAGAGCGACAAAGGCAGCAAATAAATTTGGGGATGTTTTGGAGTTCAGGAGAAGCCACAGAATGTCCTTCCGGTCTGATTCCAGAGAAACATCTATGGAGCAGGAAAGACTGCTGCGGGCAAAGGCCACATCTCTCCCGTTCTTTCTCAGATTTGAGTGTACCTCGTAATTTGGGAAGCTAAGATGGTTAAACAGTACATACTCTGAGATTTTTGTCTCCAACAATAAAAGCATCGCGGGACGATTGGATTGCAAGTAGTGATGAACAGCATCAATGTTGCTATTAATCCCGCAGATACACAATTTTTGACAGCAGACTAAAGTCGAGATCGCGATTTCACATCAGAACGCATTTCCATACAATCCAATCCAATCGACTTGATCTAATGTAACGACTGAAAAGTACACGAACACGCCGAAAACGAGGCAACCAAGAATTTCTTGGAAAGAAGTTTTTAAGGAAACTAAATTAACTACCTAACTAATTAATAAAAGTAAACCAAAGATAACTTACGATTTTTATCACCATTATGTTTTACATTACTTTAATATAAGCTTTGGATCTCCAAAGATCGGATACTTCGACGGCCGAGAACCATACGGTTCCAAGCGACAATTCTAATATTTTTAGAAAAATGAATTTTAAAGTTTGTAGTTCGATAATATGTGCTTTGTTAGGGGAAATCGTATCTAAATGGATATGAGATCTATGTATATGTTTTTAACAACAAAACTACTCTCAGATGCCTGTTTTTAAATACTTGGAACTTTGTGGCACTTTAAGCTGTGTATTTGAAACCTAATGGTTCTCTAATATTTGATTTTTTTTTGTTTGTTTTGTTAGGCTTATAAAAACTAAAATTAACTAGTAAAATGGATATTTTTGGTTACACAAATAATCAGTACCTTAAAGACAAAGACTTTATTACAAAAGGAAATAAAAACCAAAATTCTAACGAACAAAAAATGTAATTTCCTTTTAAATCGAGGATTTCGTACCAAACTGTTCGTATTTCTTATGAGATTCGGAAAGCAAACTTTTCATGCAAAGCTGGTCTTCCAAAATGCAAAAATGCTCAAGTTTTTTCATAAAAAAACGGACACTACTTTAATCACGTTTACGTTGCACTTGAAACCTTATGGTTCTAACGATACGACATAATACGCACTTGAAACTATATTCTCTGTTTATCTTGGCGCCATCTATTAACGTATTTCTTAGAGGAAACGATAGAGAATGTTCAATAGAACATATTTCTGCAAAAAAGTGAATTTTATAAAAATGTTCGCTCGGCCCTCGACTTGCCAGACATGGGACAGAATACAAAACACAATAAATGCAGAGCAGAATGCAGAAAATCAAGCCTCTTAAAGCTTTTTTAAGTCTGCTATTGTTAGCAAAGGAAATGATAAGTTTAGCATTTCAACCTACCAACTTTTCCAGTATCAAAAAGGATTTAAACATGTAAAATGCGGTTATTGCAACATCCATCTCAGTTTTACAAAGTATCATATTGAAAAAAAAAATGTGGTATTGTGCGTTCCCAGTTCACCCCTATGCTTTGCCGCTTAATGAAAAACAACTTCTATCAGAAAAATACGTACCGGCCGCCGATCTATGGCACTATCTTCGGAGAATCCGAAAATATTAAAGTTCCACAAGAAGTATCTGGTAGAGGTGATGATGCTTATGACTCCGGTTCATCGTTTATGTAATTAGAGTTATTTTTGTTACCACCTGTTCAAGTTGTATTGGTTTTGTTCTCTGACTATTAACACTGTTGGAACTAATTTGTCCATCATTTCAATATAATGTTCTGGGCAAAAACGAGATAAGTACAAATTATTAACAACAAGAAAATAAAAGTTTGGATTCATGTTTCCATGTTATTTCGTATTGATCAGGTTTTTTATCATTTTCTCTACATCCTAAAATAAAATGGTTTTATTGTCCATATTTAAAAAAATATATTAATTTTTTTATTTCCCAAAACCAAAGGTCTTCAATTGTAGGCAACCTAAATCTGCGTCCCTCGTGTGCCAGCCTGCCTAAGTGTACGCTTATGTATGGCGGGTATGGAGCATAAAACACATAATTCATTTTTTTAGCTTTATTTTCGGTTCTTACCTCTTTTTCGGTAAAACATCTGGAACTATCTGAAATATTTTAAAAAATCGTGGAAAATGCGTACGTTTTCGGTAAATAATGCCTGCTTCCGGTAGAAATACCGATTTTTCGGTTGGTTCTGCAACATTGCCAAAATCGCTCATCTATGATGATCTATGGAGGTGGAAACCTTGCCTTGGAGTATAAGATGCGGTGTTGCCAAACGAACCAATGATGCTATGTTGCAGAATTTGTTGCCATCCTGACCTTTCATTTCTACCTAAAACGGAGCCGCGTTAGGACCGATCAGGAATCAATCCTAAACAGATTCAACACAATTCACCAATGTATACGCTCAAAATAAAACCATTAACGTATTGGCAACGCGACCTTCTCTTTCTAACATATGTACCTATACACACTTCTCGCGCCAAATTTGAAACTCACCGTACGCTCATAGCCATCTTTCCCAGAAGAAAACGCTTAATCTAGGCCATCTGAAGAAAATAACATTTTTATTTAAAATATAAATTCTGCATAAACTAACAAGTTAATAAAAATACATAAATACACTTTATAGTAGGTACAAATTAAATAATATTATAAGGGGTAAGGGATCGGCCAATGTCAGTCGGAATAGTCCATGGTTTTGATGTATTCTACCGCAGCACAAAACTGTGTCCACCAATAAAGCTCCTCCCCTGAGAGTTGGCTTTGGAAAAAGCTGTTTACGTATTGGATCGTGGACAATAGGTCATCGGGATTCACCTGTAACATATTAAAAAAAAAAGATGGCAATATGGAAAAATGGAAATACAAGCTTTAGACTGTAGTGTTGCAGGACGAAAAGCGGCAATGACTATTTCCCTCGTCTTAATTTCTACCTATCACAAACGCGCAATTTTGAATTACAAATGGTTTCTAGATGGAAAAATTGTATGACACCACCTGTCAGCAGTTTTTTCGAATCTGACCTGCGGCAAAACTTGACAGTTGTCACCAAAAATTACAATACCTTTGATAACAAGTATAATGGTCTCCTAGGACACCAAAAATAATCTCTCACTCATGAAATAGTCTTGTCAAATACCATTCGGGCATCTATTTTTTTACTGTGAAAAAAATCGAAAAAACAATGCTAGTATTTTTTTAACAAAAAAACATTCGTGCAGATGCAAAAATCCTCATCTTCGACTCGGATTTTCGTTGCCACCAGCACCCATGCTTCTTGTTAAAATATTACTTAGCAACGTGTTTCTTCGACTTTTTTTTGGTAAGGCATGGATTTATTGTTTTTGAGTAGCATACAAGGTCTGTAAATTAAGTGATGAGACTGGCAACTCGGCTCGAATAAGTTTTTTTTTTGTGAAACACTTTTCCTATTGTGTTTTAATAATGAATAACCCGATACACATACACTGAAGACAGGATATTGCGCATGTGGACGGAGCTTCGTGACGTCACCCGGAGAGTTGTCGGCTCGTGGTTACCAGCGGCAGGATTGTCGTAACGTTACTACAGTTCACGTGTATCGTGGTTAATACTATACATGGTGTCCGCAAAGTTGGGGTTTTCCTTTACACGACGTGTAGATCTTGAAAACATAAGCAATTTTTCTTAGTACCATATACACCAATGTCTTAAGGGAACCGAGATAAAGGGCTCTGCAAAATATCTGAATACCGTCCTGTAGCCGCGACATCCCCCAGTGGTACTAGGACACTAGCTCAACCCGACGACAGAACTGGGTCGGGGTCAGTGTGTCAGGTCAGTATGCAACCTTCAACCGACGGTTACGATCACGCGTGTAGAGATAATCGCGTAGACGTAAATCCCTCAACAAGCACTAGAGACGTGGCTAGAGAAGTGCAAGTATCAAAAACTAAAGTGTGGCAAACGCTGCGTGAAGAGGGGCTATATCCGTTTCACGTCCAATGTGTACAAGCCCTTCAACCTGACGATTTTCCAGCAAGAGTGCGGTTTTGTGAGAGGTTGTTGCATCAACATGACAATAATCCGGACTTTTTGAAGTGCATATTGGTGACAGACGAATCTACGTTCACGCGTAATGGGGTGAATAACTTTCGCAACACTCATGTTTGGTCAGTAGAAAATCCGCACGCTGTCCGTCGGGCACATTTACAACAAACATTTTCGGTGAATGTTCGGGCTGGCATGGTGAACCTAGATCTAGACTTTTTACGCAACATTTTGCCTTCCTTGTTTGCCTGCGTCTGCTCGGTAGCGCATCAGCTGATTTCATTTTCTGTTGGAGCTGTATGATTTCGGGCAGAGACGTACTTAACCCTTCTCGTCAACTGGAGAGTGAGTACTTTTTCCTTTATTTTTTTTTACTTGGTCGCCCTCGTTTCAATACACATTACCTTTGTTATTTCAAGGGTAGTTGTTTCTGAAAAGGAAAACCCCAACTTTGCGGACACCCTGTATAGTGCGCTTTGTTGGTGGTTTTGTGACCTGTTCTATTAGTTATACATACTTTATAATATAGCCTGTGTTGTTGATAAATTGTTGAAAATGCGGTGTTCTGTTGTGGGATGCAATTCCGACAACCAGTCTAAACAGAATCCTTGCAAAGACATGGAGTTCTACAGATTTCCCCAAGACCCAATCCTTAGCAAAAAATGGCTGCATCTTACAAAAACAAAAGACAAAGTCAATGTAAAAAGCGCTAGGGTCTGCTCGAAGCATTTTTGTGAAAGTGCCTATAAGGTCAATGTAAAACATACCTTTTTGGGTTACACCCCTGAAAGTTACCGTGCTCTTAAAGACGATGCCATTCCTATGGAAAATTTACCCAAGTCTCTATCATCACCTGGACCATCTACATCTGTTGTTGGGGAAATCGGAAAAGTGCTTACGAAAAAAGTCAAAGGGCGTTTACTACATTCAATGGGGACGGAATAGTGACAGAAAAGCACAATTTTATAGGCGAACTTATGTTGAAGAGCAGCAACATTGACTGCCCTGAAAAAGCTTTTTATTTATTTTTCAGGTCAAGGATGTTCTTCCGGATCGAAGAACTGAATAAAAGTTTGAAAGACCAGAAACATTGTGAAAGGAAATGGAGAAAAATTTTGGCTTAGACTAAATCATTTCCATTTATTGTTATACCGCCAGCTTACTGCAAAAAAATGATAACTCCATTTTTCTACTTTTCGAGTTGCCTACATTTTCACACTTGCATGTAGTTAGTACTTAGGATGTTCTGTGAAATAAGGATGAATAAATGTAGTGCAGTATTAACGTCATGAGCATGTTAATCCTGCTCCACAGAACATACTAAAATACAGATAATGTAGAAAAATCTTGTTTTTACGGTAAAGAGATGATACACACTCTATTGTGGAGCTAGAAAGCTGTTTAAGCTATAGCATGTGAGATAGGAATTACATGGTTGAAATGTTTTATTAAAATCCACCATTTTGTTTTGTATAAAATTTTAATGTATCTAGTGTTACTCGCACCGCTAAGATGAATCCAACGACACTTCATATGTGAAAATCCGTCCAGCCGTTTGGCCTGTAGGTGAAAATATTCACGTTATGTGTACTATCAGGTTTTGCTTCAATCTTGGGCACAGTGCAGCGGAAACTCTTGCTAAGCTTCAGCACGCCTACGAATATAGTGTTTTGTCAAGAGCTCGGATTTTTTGGTAGTTTAAGGGTGGATTTCACAATTTAACAAACAATATTTCCGCACCAATAGGGTACGAGTACCAAACAGTCCGTTAAATATACCCAATCAGCCTCAAGATAACTCCGTCAAATTTTTGGCAGCAAATAGCATCAAAGTATTCAAAATAAAACACTGTAAAATATGAAGTGACAGCTTGCCATTGAAATCTTTTCAGTTTATTAAATATTATGAAATTATGTAAAACTGAGCCAAAATTTTAAAAAATGCTTGATGTCTGAGTAAAACCCATTTTTTCAGATTAGCTGAAGGTTTTCCATGTTTACTGCAACTTTTGTAATCCATATGTGATTATATCACCTACTGTGTGCTTATAGTTTATCCTATATTTGCAAACTTGCACTTCCAAACCCTTACATGAAAAAGCCTTTTCACTCAAATTTTTGTTAGGTGTTGCATTTCAACACATTCATACACTTCTGTCCAGTTCCTCAACGATATTTTAACCTTACTGGCCCGAAACTGTTCAACAGTTTCAACATTCATACATACAATTGCAGTTGCAGTTCTTTGTGTCCCATTCGCTGAGGGGTAACGGATGGTCAAATGTACACCTATAACATAAATCAAAATACATGAAAGTTGTCCTGTTTTCTCTGTACAAAAGCATCATGTTGGAATCAAAAAGTGGTCTTGTTTATAATACAGTCGAATTTTCATGATTTTATTCAACATTTTAATAGAAATTACTGATATTCTGAGACCTTTGACAGCTTCCGTCAAATTGCATTTCGATAAGGTATTTTCCTATTGGTCCATAATAATAATGTTGGTGAAATCGGCCCTAAAGGTATTTTCAGAAGGAAGAGAGTCGTTTAGAGATGAACCACGAACCGATGTATATACCGACAAAATCCAGTATATTGTGCATTCAGATCGTCGGTTGACAGTTAAAATGATCGGGGAAGAGTTAAATTTGACTCACATCACCGTTCATCAGATTAAGAACAACTGGGTGTTGCATCATGATTATGCTCCTACTCACATAGCAATGTCAATACACGACCTTTTTGGCCAGTAGAAACATTCCTGTGGCTCCTCAGTATCCGTATTTATCTGACTTTAGTACTTGTAATTGTTTTCTCTTCACGAAGTTGAGAAAACACCTCAAGGGAACTCATTTTGGGACAGTCGAAAACATTCAAACGGCTGTAACCCACCCGTTGGAGGCTATTTCGGTATCGGAGTTCTAGCACTGCTATCAGGAGTGGAAGAACCGTATTCAGCGCTGTGTGGCTTCAGAAGGAAGTTATTTTGAGCGTGACATATGAAATTACAACTTTTATTAGCATAACAAAAATTCAAAAAATCAGTCTCATCGCTAAATTTACACACCTCGTACATCTGAGTCTAAACTTATAGCCATAAAAACAAATGAACTAGCATGCTTAGTGCCATTATGTTTATACAGACTCTGGTTGATTCAAAAGTTATTACATAAATGTCGAGGGAATCAAAACGTCTTTTAAAAATTTTGAGGAGAGACAATTTTTTGTAATATCTAAGTTGAGATTCGGCAGATCAGTTGCAACAGTTAGGACTTGGAAAAATGTATCTGTAAATAGTACTATGTTGCCACTAGGTGGACGATATAATACAACACATTGTAGATGGGTTTAAATTGAATTTTACACCACATACCTCAACATGACTCTCGACTTACAAACCCTCATATTTAAGCTCGTACTACTGGTGTCATTTTTTTAAAATATAGAGATACCTCGATGTTTATTGACTTTTCTACTGAAATGTGAAGCAAGTTTGTGTTGAGCAATATTTATGTATTTTATACTTTCGTGTGTTAGATGATAGAAGATCACTGTCATAACTTGTTTAAAATACCTTACACGTTTGCATGAAATACAGAATACAGTAGAACCGTTGCCAGTTTTATCTGTAGTTTTATCGCTAAAATTGCCGCATGTTTAGCTGAAATTGATTTAAGTTATTCGATTTAGATTTATGGAGTTATTTGACTATAATGCCGGTAGACCGTTAAATATTTTCGAAATGAGCACTTTTTCGTTCGATATCAGCCTCTACGCGATATGAAGAATTATGACCTTTAGTATTTATTTTTGCAAGGTCGGTCCGATAAGTACCTAGCCTTACCGTCCGATGGCGCCACTATCGCAAGTGAAATTTACTATCGTATACGGCTACTGTCAATATTTCAGCCAAATCGAACTCGTAGTTTTGTTTTGACTCAGTGTGGAAGCGGACGTATTCGCGGATTTCAGGAAAATGGAAAAATAGCAATATCGGTCGGTGATTCGAATCTTGTTTTTGGAAGGAAAATCGCGCAGAAAGAGCGCTTGAATGCTGTGTACGGTGACTCTTCTCCTTTGATAGAAAAAGTCAAAAATTGGTTTAACGAGTTTCAACGTGGTCGCACGTCGGTTTTTGATGAGCCACGCCCAGGTGCCGAAGCCACCAAAAAAACAGTAGAAACAGTGGTCCTCCGAAAGTGCTTCGAAGAAGGCGAAGACTGTCCTATCAGCCGAAAAGGTGATGACCACCGTTTTTTGGGATTCACAAGGTGTGATCTACATCGACTACCTGGAGAAGGACAAAACAGTCCAGGGTTCTACTATGGCGAGTTATTGGGCTGATTCCATGCCGAATTGCAGAAAACACGGCCCCATTTGCCTATTCCGGTTCCTATTCTTATTTATCTTTCTTCTTTACTTCATCTGAATCCATTTGCTATCTTAGTTATTATTGGCGTTTTGCGAGGTCTGCTGTTCCGTAGATTCCTGAGTTTTTTTGCCGAGTTTTTCCAAGTATCGCGCTGATCTAATTATGTAGGTTGGCGGAGTTTTGCGAGTCCTCGGTGTCATCTTTGTAAAATATCATATTTTTAACTCTATGTAGAATAAGCATAATCGTCTTTATTAACAATTATTACATTATAAAAGGGCAAAGTTTAGTTCATATAATTATTCTTCGGCTTGACTTGTCGGTTAAGTTTTTGCAATTACTATCCTATAGCTCTTTTATAATGGTCGCAGTATGCTCACTTAGCATGTCAGACTGGACAATGTCTAATTCAACACAGTTTTTTTTTTACACCGAAGCAACCGCGCAGGCTGAAGCCTAAATAACAGGACAGCGCGACTGGTATGAGGATTCCAATTAAATTTTGTTAATCCAATTTTTGAACTACCTAAGGGTACACACACATATGCGGTCATGGAAATATTCATAGTGTGTACATACCTTGATGATGACGTAGACCAGAACTGGCGTGAAATCGTCAGCGGTGGCCGCTACGCCGTTTGCCTGCGACAGCCCCAACAGGTCCATGATGCATTTGGCGCAGTGTGCGACACACTTCACCTTGTCCCTAGGCGTGCGACAGGCAGATAAGGCTCTGAGTGCGTCCTGAGCGGGTAGCCATGGGGCCTCGCGTAAATACACGCGGTCTATCAGCAGATCCTTGTGTTCCGGGGTTACTGTGCGGGAGAGTTTGTCAATGTGCTGGTGGAGGACCCTGAATGGAAAATGTTTAGCATATACAGTATGTAGAAAATGTTTCAGAAAAATGAGTGAAAAAGCACGCCCTGTTTCGAGAGAATGAGAATGAGCTAGATCTCTACTCAAGACAAAAGTGGAGCGAATCGGGATAGTTTTATGGGCTTCTCAAAATAGTGGAATTTAGGAAATGCTTCGAAGTTTTAGAAATAATTTGTGGTGTTAGGTTTTTGCGACAACTAGTAGAATTATACAAGGACCGGCACAAAGGTCGGATGTTTTTGAAATCGCTAATACTCTCCGCCTGTTCGGGTGAGACTGCCGTTCGACTGGGGCGTTCCTAGCATTTTTACCAGTAGACATTATGGAGCAGTGGATGGTTGAGCAACCGCGTTTTCGCGTACTACAGTTTTGTCCAACATAATGAGTCATTCACGGCTGTACAGCGTGAGTTTCGTCGCCACTTCAATATTCATCGGAATCGAGCGCTTCCTTCTCGAGACACCATCATTCGTTGGGTTCGATCACTTCGCACACGTGGTGACCTGATCAATAGAAGACAAGCAGGAGCTCCACGAATGGTTCGAACCCCTGAAAATGTGGAACGTGCCGCTGAACTTCGCTTCAGTGATCGTCCGGTAAGGCGTATTTTGCATATGGATCTCCACTTTCACCCCTACAAGTTGGCCATTGTGCAAGAGTTACAGCCTTGAGATTACGCACAACGAATGAACTTCGCACGTTAGATGGAAGCACTTATCGAGCAAAATGAGAACCTCATTTTGTTCATGTGTGATGAAGCTTACTTTCATCTTAAGGGCATGGTTAACCAGCATAATTTCCGTTATTGGGTCAATGAAAATCCGCGACAGTTACATGAAAGACCTCTGCATACCCCAAAAGTGACGGTTTGGAGCACTGTATCGCAAACTTGCATCATCGGCCCTTACTTCTTCGAGTTGCGGCTGTTGCCGTGAACTCAGAGAGTTATGTCGAAATGATCACCAACTTCTTTTCAGCTGACTTGCGACGACGACATTTTCCATTCCGACGTTTGTGGTTTCAACAGGATGGGGCGACCGCCCACACAGCCGTGGTCGCCTTATTTCCAGGTTTAGTGTGATGTCCATTGGCCTCCTCGGTCCCCAAATTTATCCATCTGCGATTTTTTCCTATGAGGACACCTCAATGCTCGTGTATACGAGCACAAGCCCCGAGCTCTGGACGAGTTGAAGGAGGCAATTTGCGTGGAAGTCGCCCAACTTGTGAGATCGATGTTTAGAGACTCTACGCGAACTTTCAAGAGCGCCTCCAAAAACGGTCACCACATGACTGATGTGACTTTCCATAAATTTGTTTTTGAGTAAAAATTACCATTTTTGTGCCGGACCCTGTATATTTGAGTTCGTGTACATTCGGAGAATCTTTCTTCAAACGGGTCTAAGTGGCAATTTTCCTAGGGTTTCCTTTAACACTAAACATGCCATAAACCGTCAAAAAACTCTTTATGAACTTTTGCGTTGAAAGTGAGCACATCCTCTTATCGCTTTTACTGACTTAATGTTTTTTTTATCAATTATATACAGTTATTTAATTTATAAAATTATTATTTTCGTATTTGTATTTTGTTTATTTTGGGTAACACTTGTTACACGTGTATGTACAGTTTCTACCACAACCGGTCATTTGACCCGCTAAGTAATGACCAGTCACTCTACGTCAATGTGTACTATTTCTCCGTTTTCTTACCTTTTCACCATACTAAACAAAAAGGTAGTAGTATAAATGAAACTCACCTATCTCTATCTTTATCCCCATCTCCGTTTGGATATATTGAGTTTTTGTATGTTTTGCTCATAATAAACCGTTCCAATGTCAGTTTGATTATGTTCTCTCTCTTGGTGAATACATCTGAAATTAGATCATGAAATCGTAATAATAACTGACGAATAATTATGCTGGGATACAAATACATGCAAAAAATGAATGCATTTCTTATAAAACTGACTAGCACAAGTTAGTCGAAAAGTTTAAAGTTATAATAGCATTAACATCATTCTATAGGTATGTGTAATGTTATACTTTTATCCAATCTTGTTTCATTCTACTCAATTAATTCATTTTCATGTTGAGACTTCTGCATTTTTAGTGGTATATATTGTTTTTATTGTTTATTTTGTGGAGAGACATTTTACGGGTTAAGTCGTAGAACATCTTATGGTAAACTTCGCTCAATAAAGATGTTATTATTACTATTATAGAAAGTTTATTACTTACCATTCCAGAAAGGACTTCCATTCATAATTAGGTAAAGCTTATCATAGAAATTCTCTAGGAAATCACACTTTTCATCTGCTAAATTCAACTGTTTAAATTCTCGACAAAACTCTAAAACAGCAACTTCTTGCTGGGATAAAAATTCTCTTACACATAAAGCAGCTAAATACTCATCGCATTGGTTTTTGTCATGGGCTATCTGGTCTCTCAAGCTAAAAAAAGAAAAACGACTAATGTCCACTGAACCGATTTATTACAAAAAGATATTAGGGTGTCCAAAAAAATGGAAGTTCTTTTTTTAAAACACATACCCTGTAATTTGCTAGTACAATGTCAAAACAGTTGTAAATAAAGTTTTATGTAACTAGAATTAGGGCAACCCGTGCCCAGTTGCGTTGGAACATGTCAAAACTTGCCTTTTAGGCGCGCGCTAGCTAACGTATTGCAGTGCTCCTTTGTTCTATTAGTAAACGCACTGTTTTCGTTCAGTCAACATGTCGAAGGAATTACGTGGTTTTAAAAAGGGGATATTTTTAATAGGGGACGTAAAGCATCAGATAACCGGTTACCCTCTAATGGACAAGTACTAGCGGTTTTGTTCTATAATATCCAGGAAGTGAAATTAAGTGTAAATGGGCGCACATTCGTGAATGCATTATTTACTGGGAAAAGGCACGTATAACGACTACATCTCTACCTAACTGTGGTAAGAAACTAGTTACCTTATACTAAGTTTGGAGAGATTTTCAAAAAAATGTAAGCAAAACACAAGAACTGTTTAAGCAACGTCGATAAGAGTTTGTTACGAACTTGGACAATCTGTTTGATATTGCGCATGCCGATCTCCTTCAATTGATGAAAATAAATGAAGATAGGATCTTCTTGCAGAAGCAGAGAGAACCAGGTCGCCCTGGTCATTTAGCTCGGTGGACAAGAAATTAGCCAGAAAAGAAGAAAATGTGCGTTTCAGGATTACCGAAGGACAACAGCGGCGTATATGAGAATTTACTGAAAAAGTAGCCGTTGCTATTTGCTAAATAATGAAAACATAAAGATAAACAGTGTAGCCACAAACAGAAATTTCAGTTTAAGAAATGTGTGATATTGAATAAGTTTGTTGATGAAGGGGATGACTCTGACAATAGAGGAAATTACGGTGAATTGTTAACATTCATTGCCAAAAAAGAGCAAAAAATCTAGAAAGGTCGACTGTTTTTTCGGACGGCTTGAATTAGTCATAGCATAAGTCGATGAGGTATATCAAGTGCCCCAGACGCTCAGTCCAGGAATGTTTACCTTAATTTAAAGAAAAAACTTATATTTTTGAGCTAAAGTTTAGTCTTACCGTTAAGTACGTGTTCTCGCTACAATACAAACGATGCAAAAACAATTAGCTACTTTTACTCGAGACAGACTAAGTGTGCCTCCATACTGAAGGCGCGGTGACTGGGGCCTATGGCGGGCACGACGAAAGGTGGCGTGTGGTGTCCACAGTGACACGCGAGCTCCTGTGCTGGTTCGACGTATTATCAGAAGTCCCAAACTATAGACGACGATTTGGTATTTTTACTAGACAGTCAGATCCTGAGATGGGAGGTGTTGAACATTCGAGATGGTGTGCACGATGTAAATAAATACAGAGAAACAACTGTTGAATTTTTTCAGCTGGATGAAAAACTGAGATTATACCCTACCAAATTTTTTGAGTACACTCGAATGCCCGTTACATCCTAGGTTAGGGTTAGGTTTCTTCATCAATAACGGTCCTCCACTGCGACTCTTTGGTCTATTGTGGCTGACTACATCCTATCTAAAATATCTGTGCTGCGGATGTTTACTAAACCAAATAGGTGGTTTAGATTAAATTGCACTTATAAAAAATTCAGTATCCGCCATTACAATACAATAATACCCCGAGCGACAACACCGCAACCACGCGTTAGGTCGCTTACTGATTAAGCCCGTAGTGTGGCTAGAAAGCACGGAACTGGAACGTTTGAAAACTACGCGCGCTGCCTCGCTAGGTCCCGCCGCCCTAGGCTTCTGCCTCAGTCACTACACTACGGACGCAAGGGCGCGTTTCATAATGTTTGATATTTCGCGCCCGTCGTCGCTACCGCGCTAGGCTCGCAATATGGATGCACACTATGGGATACGGGTAATTTTCTACGAAATTGTTTTTTATCTCCCAACCAACGACTATTTTATGTTTATCTCATTAATACGTCAAAAAAACTACACTTACCTATCAAGATAGTTATTGCAAATGAAAAGCTGCTGTTTAGAAGCAACCAGATAGCGCAAATAGGCTGATCGGAGCGCCATGTCCTCGTTCATGGAGTTGATCAACTTAAGGCAACTACTGTCGTTCAAAAGGTTGACGCATCTGATCGCCTCCTGGATGCGCGCAACGTTAGACCACTGGCGGAGGCGTCGAGCCTTGCCCAGTTCAAGACGTAGCATCGTCTCGATTTTGTTCTTAATGCTAATAGGATCATTCTAAAAATAAATAAACGGGCATAAAACATCATGCAATCGCTAGTACAACAGAAAATACCGATCAAATGTCTCCATGGAGCCAAAAGTCAGATTTATAGACCTTCATTGCGGGGTGAAGCTTCTTTGAAAACAATGAAACACTGACGCTTCCTTGAGAAACTTTCATGGGAGGATTTAGATTTTCATTTCACAGTAGGCGGTAGAAATTCTCATCACCATCTCATCGATGTCAGAGATATTTTTCTTTGCTGGTAATATATATTTAGCATTTTGATGATAAAATTGGGACAATTTGATTTATTTGTGGTAAACATAAATAAAAAATGCAAAATAATGTGTTTGCTTCCTCGAATTACAGCGCAATAATGAGAACTGAGAAACTGGAAATAGGCAACCGTTGCACCCTACTGCTCTACTGGCTGCTACGTCTGTCAGATTCAGCTTAAATATTTGTTCAAAAATACTTTATCTAAAATGAAGCTCGACGATGGGGTAATGACAAATGAAAAAATAATAGCAGATCGAATGAATACCTATTTCATAGAAAGTGTCAACGACATTGTAAAATCAATTATTGACGGGGATCCCAACCAATGTCCCATTAGCTCAGATTATAATGCATCCTTCAGTGAGTTTAGAACAGTAAACATTAATCGTCTCAAGAAGATTATATCAAAAATTAAATAAAATCAAAATAAGAGTGAGATTTTGTCTAAAAGTGTGCTTAATGAATGTTTTGATATTATTGGAGCAAGAAAATTAATCCTGATAAATTACTGTTTAAAATATGGAGAATTTCCAACAAAACTGAAGTGTTCTACCATAACTCCTGTTTCTAAAGTTAAGAATTCTGAGTTGTACACCAATATGCGGCCAATAAATGTTCTGCCAGATGTTGAAAAAGTTTTTGAACAAATTATTTACGAACAGACCATCGAATTTATTGAGGGAATTAACATTTGAACCAAATTTCAAGCTGGATTCAGGAAGAAACACTCAAGTGTAACGTATGTATGGACAATCGGAATCATACAGTTACATTGTTTTTGGACTTCAAAAGGGCCTTTGAGACTATTGACAGGGATAAATTACTTACAAAAAGAGAGAGACATAAAATGTCTAAGCTTACCAACTGAAACCCGAGGAAGGTTATAGGCATGGTTTTATCCGCAAAAGTATACAGGGTAGAGCAAAATGTTCTAGAACAGAGGGTGAAGTTTGAAAGATTCAGTTAACTGCGATCTTGTCCTTGACGTTGACCATGACATTCAAGATCATTTGAAGGTCAAGACAATTTCCTGTATAAAACCCATAGCTTTGACACCGGAAATGTGAAGAGTGGGAAATTTCATGCCAAAGTTTGTCTTTGCCCATGATCTGGGTGTTTGAGGGTGTCCAAAAAGTAGGGAAGCGACACTTGTTGTCATGGCAAGATAAATCGATTTTTCTGCCCGAGAGTGGCTATAAAAGATTTCCCCTGTCAAACAAATCGACAACCTGTATCCAGTAGAACACTTGGTGCACGGTAGCCTATATTCAGTTTTTCATTTCTCTATTTTTTATTCATGTTTAGCACAAATAAACCGAATCGGCAGATTTTTTCCTCAAGGAAGCGTCAGTGTTTCACAGTTTCCATGGAGATATCTAATAACCATTGTATCCAAAGAAGCCTCATGCCCCAAGGAAGGTCTATAAACCTGACTTTACTTATTTCCATTAGAGATCAACCGTTATAGGGTTTTCACGGGTACCGACACCTATACAGGGTGTTTCAGTTTATTGTTGCATAACTTTAAGATTCGATAGAACTTTTAAAATTAATGCATTAAGTCTATATAAACATGAGTCGAAAAATGCGTGGCTTCCGAAATACAGGGTGTTTAAATTTACTTTCTAAAATAGTTTTTTTAAATATTTTTGGGTACGACAAAACGAACCACGGGCATAGTTTTACTGTAGCCGCTAGAGGGCGCTCTCTTCTGTACCTGTAGTGTATTAAAATGACCGACAATTTTTTCTTAATGCAATTTTTTGCTTTCTGAATAAAAAAACTGATTCTTCGCACTTTTCAACATAAAAAAGCTCTCTTGTGAATTTTCGTTATAGTTAGCCGTTTTTGAGATATTTCGATTTTTAAGGTTCGATGCATTTTTAATTATTTATGATAAAATAACGTTAAAAATCTCGATAATTTTTAGAAGTAGGCTGTGCCTGCAAATATTTTTGAAATTTAAAGCAGAAAAAGGTTAAATGTCAATTAGTAGTTTTTTTGTCTGTTGAAACCTGAAACGTTTTTTTGAATGCACGAAATTTAGTTTCTTTTACCTGTTTTTTTTTGTAAGTTTTATAAAAATGCCATTTTTATTGTCCAATCAAGAGTTAGCGGATATTCATTTTGTGTATGGCTTTGTAAATGGAAACGCAGCAGAAGCAGCCAGAGAATACGCACGAAGATTTCCAAACAGACGACATCCAACTCGCTCAGTATTTGTAAGAGTGCATCGCCAAATAATTGAAAATGGTTTTGGAAATCTCCAAAGGGATCAAAACATACATGTTCGTCAGCGCAGAATTACCCGTATGATTCTGCGTGAGTTTGATAGAGATCCGACCACAAGTGTTAGGAGAGTTTCTGATGCCTTGGGAATTTCAGCAAGCCATGTTCATCGTCTTCTTAGAAATGACCGTAGACGTCCTTACCATTTGTAACCTGTGCAAGGACTACAGCCAGGGGACGGAGAACGAAGAATCACATTTTGTCAGTGGATTCTTGATAGAACTGATAATAATAGGGAGTTTTTAAGTAACGTTTTATGGACCAATGAGTCATGCTTCACTAGATGTGGAGTGGAAAATTTTCATAATCAACATATTTGGTCGTATGAAAATCCGCATGCAGTTCGGGAAAGAAATTTTCAGCATGAATTTAGTGTGAACGTGTGGATTGGTATCTACCGTAATCGACTATTTGGACCCTACCTTTTGCCTGCAAGGTTAAATGCTGCGACCTTCTTGGAATTTTTAAAGCCGGAACATGCAAATATGTGGGATGATGTTATGTTAGATTTAAGAAGATTGGCTTGGTTCCAGCTTGATGGTTGTCCAGCTCATTATTCGAGAATAGTTAGAAACTGGCTGGACGAAAATTATCCAGAAAGATGGATCGGCCGTGGAGGACCAGTCGCCTGGCCTCCACGATCCCCTGACCTAAATCCATTAGATTCTTTGTGTGGGGATTTCTAAACGAAAAAGTGTACCAGACTCCCGTAACCACAAGATATATGCTAATAGACAGAATCAGAAATGCATGTGATGAAATAAGGCCTTATTTGAATAATGCTATACCACGTTCGATCATTCGTAGATGTGAATTGTGTATTGAACAATTGGGTTTACATTTCGAGCAACTACTTTAGATTTTGTATGTTTGTCCTAACTATCCAATAGCATTTTAGTTGTAAATAATTAATTTAATTTGTTAAAAATAATACTGGAAAATTAAACAAATTAATATTCTGTTTTTTTGAGTTTATTTGGAGTTAGGAATTATTGCTGTGTTTAAAAACACAATCTAAACGATCATCTTAATTACTTGTAATGCCCAAATCGAAAATGTAAAAAAAATATCATTTTCCCATAAATAATTAAAAATGCATCGAACCTTAAAAATCGAAATATCTCAAAAACGGCTAACTATAACGAAAACTCATATGCAGAAAACTACGAAGAATCAGTTTTTTTTGTTCAAAAAGCAAACAATTGCACTAAGAAAAAATTTTCATTTTAATACACTACAGGTACAGTAGAGAGCGCCCTCTAGCGGCTACAGTAAAACTATGCCCATGGTTCGTTTTGTCGTACCAAAAAACCCTTGTATACCAATTTTTAGTGTTATACATAAAATATTGTTCGAAATATTTAAAAAAAAAACTATTTTAAAAAGTAAATTTAAACACCCTGTATTTCGGAAGCCACGCATTTTTCGACCCATGTTTATATAGACTTTATGCATTAATTTTAAAAGTTCTATCGAATCTTAAAGTTATGCAACAATAAACTGAAACACCCTGTTATCAGAGGCGCCTATTAAAAGTTTTGATCAGGTTAGAGAGGCGAATTTTCAAGCAATTTCAGTAAAAGACGTATGTCTATGAGGGACTCTGACTTGTTTCCAAGTCTTAAAACATAATATACAAAGTACATAATGATTGGATCTCGTTTCACTTACCTTAACATAATGTGGAATTTCCGACGTATTACTTAAAACTAATCGTAACTTATTCTTTATGTCATTAAAGCTATTTTGTTCTTCGCTACCGCTAATATCTACATTCTGACTCTTCGCAGATTGTTTCCTTGAATCACAGTTTTCTTTTACAGATGAATTCTCTGCGAACGATTTAGATCTATACTTAGCTAAAATGTCTTCAGATGACACTTCTGAAACAATAAAAAGGTGGTATTAACTTTTCAAATCTGCAGATACAGCTAACAATAGATAGCAACGAGATAGTTACTTTTGTTATGCCCCAAAACTACAACACAATGTCACATTTTATTTCAACTGGTTACCACAGAAACATAAAAATTCCTAGGAATATAATTACTAACCATTATCATTTTTGACGGGAGATTCAGATCTTCTTTTGTTTGTCCCACATTCGTCCAGCCCATCTAATCTGTAATCATCTTGGTTTCTGAAAGACTTTCCTCGTTTATTTCTGAAACCCATACGTAACTTTCCAAAAAAGCCACCTCTTTTTGAACGGCTTCCATCTTCATCCAAACTGTGCAAAAAATATTTACATTCATCATTAAAACAGTATATTTATACACAAGTTTCTTCACGGGTTTGAGCATTAAAAGTCAGCACTAAATGCCATTAAACAAATACTCAGGTTTAGAGTTTGGATGCTCCTACACGGTATAACCGAAGGTTCAACCCACCTCTCGTTACACTGTTTCACAAATAGAAATTTGTTAATTCTATTCAAAACTATCATCAAGCTGTTAGAACAAGTGATTATTGTCGTTGAAATGCACAAAATCAAGACACAATGCAATTTTATACAGAGTGTCCTGAAAGTTGGAACTTTCCTTTTCAGAGTCAATTTCATTTGCAATACAAAAGTTATTTTGAGGCAAATAAACACCGAAAACGTAAAAAAGACATTGAAGAAAAATATTCACTACTCATTTGGTTTACCTCTTCCTAAATTTGCAAAATTTGGGCAATCTAGGTCTTGAACTGTGTTCAACCAGATGACTTTAGCACGATATGAGCAAACATATGCAGCTCTGATGGAAATAAACATCGAGGACGACGGTGACGTTCTGAATATATTCGCCGATTATCAATAGGATCTTGAAAAATCGATAACTACGTTATTGCTCTAGGAATGTGCCAATTTCTGATTTTCAATTGCGGTTTGTTTATAAATTAGTTTAGTCTAGACACTCGGCGACGCGTGGTTTGGATACTGACTCACATTGTCTTAGTACATCATACGTTTTTCATCCTGATGATATTCGCAGAGCAACGAATCTTGTTCACAAAGTGAAAATCGCTCTTCATGAATTCCGTAATGAGTAATGGAGCGACTTTCTGTCGGAGATGCTGGACTGAAGTATTCCTCTCTGGAAAGTTGCAAAGTATCTCAGAAACAGAAAGCGAGAACAACTCTCCTGCACATCCACGGTCCTGGGGTCATAGTCTTTATTACAGAGAAAAAGGTCGATGTTACCGCTGATGCAATGGAAAGTCAGATATCTCCAAACTATGACCTTGATAACAAGATTCGTCAGGAGATATTTTAGGGGCAATGACGTTAGTGGTAGTAACGCCTCCCGCAGTGATTTTTCCTCAGAGGTGTTTTCGGAAGATTCCTCAACTGAAGAGTTGCATGAGTTATATCAGCCGTTCCTGCTGATATGCCAGGAATACTGCCGACGATGCTACTAATTTCCTAGAAGACCTAGAGTTTACTTTATTGTTCTCAACACATTTTACAGTCAGTCAGATTTAAGCCTTTGTACTGTTAACATCATAATAACATTGTAATAATTTTGTAAAAGTACATTTTTGAGTTTTTGTATTTTCGAAAATAAACTTTTTAAAAAGCGATCTCGAGGCATCGATCTTATAACTCATGGCGCATCAGCGGTATTTCCCGAGATCCCGCATTGCACACCAGCACAGCTTCAAGGTCATATTAAAGACCTCAAGGTGCATAAAGTACCTCTGGAGAGGATCGAATCACTAGTAAGGCGCTGAAGCTGCTTTAGCGGGAGTCCTTAACTTATCTCGTGGCAATGATCAACGCTATGCTGAGGACCTAGTACTTCCCAGTGGCGTGGAAGACCGCTGATGTTATAATGGTCCCAAAAAGGTGGGTTCGATATTTCCCCAGGATTACCGTCCAATTAGTCTACTGTCAGGTCCTTCTAAGCTCGCTGAAAACTCTAGGTCACCTTGAAAATTTCTCGTCAGATCACAATGTGATTCCTGACGTATAATTCGGCTTTCGGTCTGAGCATAGAACGGAGTTACAGGCGGTTGGCGCTGTTAAGAGAAAAATCAGGAGATTCACCCGTAATGAAAGTACTGGCAACTTGCTTCTGGATGTCTCAAAGGCATTAGTCAAGGTGTGGCACAAGGGCTACAAATTGATCGCTAAGGGCTTCCCTTTCTGTCTCCTAAAACTTTTGAAATCCTTCCTTGAGGGTAGGAAATATCGGATCAAAATTAATAACGTTATGTCGATAACACGGCCCATCAAAGCCGGGGTCCCTCAGGGTTCAGTTCTTGGACCAGTCCTTTATCCACCTTTTATTCATAACGTCCCTTGCCCCCACCAACTGTGAAATCTATTTCTATGCTGATGACACTGTCCTGGTAGCCCAGTCGTGTTCGGGAAATCTAGTTCACGACAGGCTGCAAAGTACGGTGGAATGGGCGAACCGTTAACTGATCAAAATTGATCATTCGAAAACGCTGGCTATCTTTTGTACTAAACAACGTAGCGGCGCTCCGTCTTATGCCGGCTTCTCACTGCGCGTGTTGACCCGCGCCACGCCGCGCCGGCACGCGCCTCGCGCAGTGTGAAGAGCTTGGCGCGGGCAGGCGCGGCGTGGCGCGACCTATCCGCTAAAAGTCGGTAACTTCAAAGGCGCGGCGCGGCGTGTACCTACCCAGACAGACGAACACGATTGAACTCGTTCATTTCATTTTGACTCATCCTACGTTGAGGTACTGTGGTGAATATGGAGTGGCCGAATGAAACGATCGCCGAATTTTTAACTTTGTATGAAGGCGAACCCTCTCTGTGGAATTCGAAAAATGCGGAGCATAAAAACAAAAACGACCAGCATGATGCCTGGCTGCGAATTAAACAGAATTTAAAAGGTGGTACCATACCGTTACAAGAAATTAAAAAGAAAAGGGATTCTTTAATGGGAACCTATAGAAAATTAAGAAGTAAAGTTTGCCAATCAATAAAGTCTGGCAGCGGTGCTGATGAAATCTATAAGCCTGACTGGCCATTTTATAATGTGATGGCCCAATTTTTGAATGATGTGTATACTCCAAAGAAAACGAAGGATTCTGAGGTAAGTACTTTATTTACTTAAAAAATTAATAATTATTTTGCCAGGCAACCGCACCGTTTGTTATAAAATATTCTGCAAGCTGGTCTCTTATATTCTTGGCGGAAAGAGGTGCTCTTCTTGGCCGATAGCATATCTGATCCATTGTATCTGAAACAAAAATACAATAATTTTTTACTAAATTTTCCGGCAGCAAAGTTTCATTTTAAAACGCGCCAAACTTACCAATAGATACCATCAAATATATTGATAGGATTCTTAAAAATTACGTACCTATGTAATTATCTCAAAATACAAACAATGATTACCTTGACCGGCTCTTATTGAACGTTGACATCCACCAGCGTCTCCTCTTCTTGTTTTTGTTAATTTTATTAAGTAAACGATATCCACAAAATAAGACAAAAACGGCTGATGCAACAGCCATGCCTTCTTCTTCAGTGGCATTGCTTCATGGCTGGAGGTGGCAATTCGACTCACAAGACATAGTGCGCTGCGCTAAACAGACTGAATCAAACTGAGGTGTAAAGCCAGAAGGCACGCGCCGCGCCGCGCCGCACAAACGGGTGGCGCGGCGTGTCGCGTGGCGTGTTCTTGCGCGTGGAGCGGCGCGACGCGTAGTAGCACGCGTAGTGAGAAGCCACCATTAGGTATCAGCGAACGGAGCTCTGGAACCATGGGAAAGTTCTGCTAAGTATATCGGTGTCACTTTTGACCTGGCATAAGCACATTGAAGCGTTAAAAACTAAATTCCAAATCACGTCTGGACAACTCTACCCTATCTTATGTAGAACCTCCAAATTAAGTTGAACAACAAAGTTCGGCTATACAAGATGGTTAATTGACCAGCGATCACTTACGCAAGTGCAGATTGGTGTTTTCTCGCCAAAACGCATTTGCGTAGTGTGCAGGTTTTGCAGAACAGAACCTTGCGTACAACCTCTAACGCTCCATGGTATGTCTCCAATGAGACTCTTCACATTGACACCCCTCACCTAAGGCACTAAATCAAACAACAAGCCCAGCTACGTCATAGTCAAGCGGAATCGCATAGCAACACTGTTACGCCAATCAGTCGAGCAAGTTCGCAAATACACAAGGCAACGGCTCGCACTGTAAACAAAATTAAATCGTGCGACCTTACGTCGAACCAAAATCATCATTTTTCGTCAACAACCAATCTCTTAATTAATTTTAGGAACAATTTAAAATTCACGAATAGTAGTTAGCAATGCCAAGGCACCCCTCAAATTGACGTACTTATTTCTTCTTTGCTCTCCATTCTTCCTTCCTTTCTTTCTTATACCCTTATTTCTCCCTGCAAGGCCCTACAGACCGCATGACAGACAATGACGAATAGATAATACGTGTTGATGTAGGAGAGGAGGGCGGTAACGCCGTACTGGCTCATTTATTGCTTTTTGGAACCTCTCGGTTATTTTAAAGCTTTGTTATATATGTTACTGGAAAACATGCTAGTTATTCCTCAACCTATATGCTGTGTAAAGGAAAGTCCAAACTTTGAGGGCAGATCTTTCAAGATTTAGTTGATTTTCTGCAGGTTTCTCTTTATGGATGGTTAAAAGACAATTGTCCTTCCACCACTCAGATGTACTTACTTTCTTGTTGGTCATGTGATGTCTATGTCGATGTATTAACTCATCGACAATATACATGGAGTTTTAGTAGCCAAAGATTTATTGTCTGATATTAGTGGCTTAAAATGAAATGCGCCTGGATACATATTTATAGTACACCAATATGCAACCAATAAATGTTCTGCCAGACGTACAAAAAGTCTTTGAAGAAATTATTTACGAACAGACCATCGAATTTATCGAGGGAAATAAAAGTTTAACAAAAAATCTGGATTCAGGAAGGAACTTTCAACTGAAACGGCAATACAAATGGTTTTAAAGGACTGGAGATGTATGGGCAATGGGAAGCATACAATGACAGTGTTTTTGACCTGCAAAAGTCATTTGAAACTATTGACAGGGATAAATTACTTACAAAATTGCATTACTATGGATTTAAAGGAGCTGTATTCAAAATTCTACAAAACTACGTAATTGACAGAAGTCAAAAAACCAAAAATGGATCTTCATTATCAAGCTCAAAAAATATGTCTGTTGTTGTACCACAAGGTAGTAAACTAGGTCCATCACTATTAATGACATTTGTAATATTTTAGATTATTGTAAAATTCAGATATTTGCAGATGATACATTAATATACATATCAAAAGAAAATATAGATAATGCTTTAAAAATGCTAAATTCTGACTTGGCAAAAATCATAAATTGGTTAAATGTAAATAAACTAAAATTGAATGCTTCTAAAACAAAATGTATGCTAATAGGCAAATACCTAAATAAAAATACTATAACAGTTAGAATAAATGGTGAAATAATTGATAATATTGATTCAATTAAATGTTTAACTTTAAGAGGTGATTCCTTGCATTATTCTAAGCAAAAAAGTTCATTATAACTCATGTCCGAAAATCAATCGTTTTCGAGTCGTAAATAATTAAATTTTCACGCACGATGACCGCAACTGATTCATCGAATTGTTTACGTTTGTAATGATATTTTTGTTGAAAATATGCCTTGAATTATTGAATACTTTTACGCAATTTCTTGAGACTAATATTTTTTTAATAACGCTTTCAGTACAGTACATATACTTAAAAAAAATGATAGAACTTACCGGTACGTGGCGATACACACCACCAATTTCCCACGATTATCACTTATTTGAAACGATGCGATGCACGAAAAAAAAACGACATAAACGTAAATCACATAAAGTTACAGTTAAATGTATTAGTAATCACAACAACACGCGATGATCCATGCAGTGCAGGCAGAGTACGACGTTGCCAGTTATGTGAGGGATTTTGTTTGTCTGTTTTTCTTCGGAAAATTGTATTTAATAAGCAAGAAAATAATTTTGTTAAAGACAGTTAATAATTAATAAATAGATGTATTGATACATTTTACGCTATTAGGCATATGAATTTACATTATTAAGATGCAAAATTAATTCATTTCATGATTAAAAATAAATAAATTCAGCATTTTTTTGCTCCGAAACGGTTGATTTTCGGACATAGGTTATAATGAACTTTTTTGCTTAGAAAAATGCAAGAAAAGTTACGAATATTATTTCCCTAACACCCTGTGTATACATATATTACATAATATAGTACATATTCCAAAAAAATAGTTTATAATACAATTATTCTACCACATTTACTATATCTTGTCCACTGCCAATAAAGCTGTATTCTCAAAATACAAGTCCTGCAAACTAAAACTATGAGAATAATATTGAATAAAAATAAGTACACCAAAATAAAATCTATGTCACAAGAATGGCAGTGGTTGAATATAAAAAATTTCATATGATGGTTCTTACTTTTATATATAAAATAAAAAATCATCTTTTGCCACAACATTTAGAACACTACATAGAATTGAATAATCATTACCACAATTAATATACATGAGGAAATGTGGATTTTCATTTACAAAATTGCAATAGTAATATAACTAGCAAATCAATATTTCCGAAAGGATTACTTGGATTTAATAAACTAAATAATGATATAAAGGTTAAAAAAAAAATTAAAGGAATATTTCATGAACGGTGAAAATGCTTAGCGATGTAATTTTTTTTTCTAAACATCTGTATTATATGTAATTGTTGCAGTTACAGAATGTAATTGTAGCAATCATGCTAAATAAATCTTAAGCAAACAAACAAAATAAATATTTATCTGGAAAGTTATTTTACATATTTTGTACATAGAAAAGCCTGCCGTGACAGCCGAAACGTCAATAACAAATACTGTAGTTTAATTTGCCAACTCACTAAAAATGACATTGAACTATTCAAAGACAAAAGTATGGTATAGAAGAATTTTTTCACTTTCACCGTATGACATATTCCGATGTTTTTCTGGAAAAGTTCGGGAAACTGCATGGCATTTTCCAGTCCAAAATTATTACCAAAATGACACACAGACTCACCCTTTGTCAGCACTCATGTCGAAGCTGATGCTCTTGGGTATGGCTCCTGTGGAAGCAGACGGCTTCAAACAAGTACCAGCAACTGCTGCTTTCTTTGCCGTTGGTTGCAGAGGAGGCCTTTGAGCCTTCGTTCGATCGTTACTGCTCAAAATTGACAGCTCACTGGCGCTCTCGGACGGTGTCAATGTCACGTTCAGACTGCTGCCGGAGCTGTTCAGCCATTGCTTGCTCTCCCATCTGAAAATGCGCATACAAGTTATTTATTTTTTGAAAATACGTACCCTCAATGCGAAGTTTGAATACTTATGGAATTATCTGGTGATCCACGAATAACAACCATCTAAATTCTTTACAAATAATACAAAAACTATTCATAAAAACAATGCATAACAAACCTTTGTTATACTGGGTGCGCCATCTATTATTTTTTTTTACCTATAAGTTTACCATGTGAGTCAAAAGTCATGTGCATGCATAAATGTACTGTCAAAGGTACGCCATTTATAGTCATGGATTCGTTTACAACACAACAACGCATTTTGGTTATCCAAACTTATTACGAAAACGGTCTAAATATAAAAAATACTTGTCGCAAACTTCGCACTAGTTTTGGCCGACATGGACGTTCTACAGAACCTGGAGTTCGTTGGATTGTTAATCGTTTTGAGGAAACTGGTTCAGCTGAAGGTCGTAGACCATACCAACATCCTCGTCCAGCTCGAACTTGTGAAAACATAGCCGCAGTGAGTGAAAGTGTCCGACAAGATCTAACCACCGCGACTACGCACCTTTCGCAACAATTGGGAATTAGTGAGACCACTTTACGCCGGATTTTACACATTTATTTACACCTCCATCCATACGAAATCCAACTAACACAAGAAATGAAGCCCGCGGACCATCAACAGCGGCGTGTTTTTGTTAATTGGATGTTGGAAAGAGAAGACGGATTTTCGGCCAAAGTGCTCTTTTCTGATGAGGCTCATTTTCACCTCAATGGGTACGTAAATAAGCAAAATTGCAGATTCTGGGGGGCTTATAATCCACACCAATATCATGAACAACCTCTCCATCCTGAAAAGGTGACTGTTTGGTGCGGATTATGGACTGGTGGCATCGTTGGACCATTCTTCGTTGAAGATGCCGAAGAAAAGGCCATTACCGTCAACGGGGAACGTTACCGCGGCATATTAACAGACTTTTTGTGGCCACAATTGGATCGTATAGGTGCCGACGATCAAGACGGAGCAACGGCTCACACATTTCGCCAAACAATCGCCTAATTGCACACGAAATTTCAAGACCGCATAATTTCACGAAATTCAGTTGTCGGTTGGCCCCCGAGATCGTGCGATTTAACACCTCTTGACTATTTTATTTGGGGATTTTTTAAAGGAAAAGTGTATGCGAATGGTCCCCGGACAATTCAAGACGTAAAGCGCAATATTCGGACTGAAATTGTGGCCACAGACCCGATTATTCTGGGAAAAGTCATTGAAAATTTTGATGTTCGGATGTTGGCCTGTAAACGAAGCCGCGGTGGTCACATGACTGATGTTATTGTTCAGACATAAATGGCACAAACCAGCCTTCATTTATCAATAAAAATATTCGATTTCACCTCGTAAAAAGCGTGTTGATTTGTCAAATAGAAAAAATGTAATAGATGACGCACCCTGTATCTGTTATACCCTTTAAAATCGCTGTTTGTAGAATCAAAAGTTTTGGATATTATTTTTGTACGAGGGTGGATCAAATATAAACCGAAATTTAATAAATACTTTTCTTAGCCAATCACGAGCGGTCTCACAGTGTAGGTCCTTGCAGTGTAGTGTATTAGGAGTAGGGATAACGCGTGGTGTGAAGATAAGACATCCGATTGCAAATCAGTAGGAGACATCTGAATCGATTTCGGCGGGAGGGAAAGACTTTTTTGAATGATATCGTTACGTGTGATGAACCATGGGTGCATCATTACTCTCCCGAGTCGAAGAAAGCGGGTAAAGAATCGCGAAGAAAAGACGAAACCGGCCCCGTGAAAGCCAGAACCCGTCTCTCAGCCCGTAAGGTCCTCGCGATCGTCTTTTTCGACTGCAAGGGAGGGCTGCACATGGATTTTCTTCCCGACCGACTTACGGTTAATGCTGCCTACTACTGCCAGCTGTTGGAGGCAGCGAAAGCCGCATGCAGACGCAAAAGACCAGTCCCTGTCCGAAATGTCATCCTATTTCATGGCTATGCCAGGCCACATACAGCCGCTGAAACGAAGCAAAAACAGGAGAATACGCTTTGTGAAACTTTTGAGCATGGTCCATACAGTCCAGATTTGTCACCCTGTGTCTATCATTTCTTTGCGCCCATGAAAGATGCACTTGGAGGATTGCGATTTGACAACGACGGACATGTGGAGAACTTCGGGCGCAATTGGTTGGTCACTTAACCTCCAAGTTTCTACAAGCAAGGAATTTGTAAGCTTCCAAATCGCTGGAAGAAATGTGTAGAGCGTGGAGATTACATAGAAAATTTTGATTTATATTTGATCCACCCTCGTATTACAATTCCATAAAAACAAACACTCCATCGTTTATAAAGATTATAAATATGATACTAGAAATAAAAATAAACAAATAATTATAGTAACACCAAAAATGTAAAATATATAGAACAAGTTCTTTAATAAGAACCGTAAAATAACGGAAAAGTTCTAAATCAAATCACATTTTCCTAAATAACTCAGAACTTGCATTTTGTGACATAACACCTTTATCGACTTATGTTTAATTTAACGTATACCCTAAAAGTTAAGGCACAAAATTTATTGGCTTTAAATTTACCAAACACAAAATAATATCAAGTTGCCTTTGGGAACAAAAGCTTGCTTACTTACTTTACTGTCAGTTAACATTTATTTATTTTAGATATATAAATTAGAAATAAGAAAAAGTATCTACAAGTTGGTTGGGCGAGTAACCAAAGCTGAAATCTGTCGAATGTTCCAGAATGAAAACACTACACGGATCTATCCACAGGCAGCAGCGGTGGCCGCAGTAGTAGACTCTTCGTTCTTCTGATCAGTCGCTGTGCGCTGTGCGGGTTCAAGTCCCGTACCAGAAGAAATTTTTCTCTTGGCTATGGATGTTGTGATTGTCCGTAGGTGGTAGACGGTCTCTGACTGTCGAACGTGGAGGTACCACCTGGCGGATCTCGTAGGCGGAGCCAGAATGTGTGCATGTTGCATGCACACGTGTTCCCTCGCCAGAATCCGTGTGGCGTGCCCCCTTTCCCATGTATCCCCCTATAGCCCCACGGTACCCAATGGGTGCTTAGTCCTCAGGCCTTCGTGGTAGTTGAAGTATAAAAAAAAACAATCGAGATGGCGAATTTACGAAAAACTGAGAGAAATTGATCTGAATTCCGTCCAGGACCTCATGAGAGGCATTCGAAGAAAGTTGCGTCTGGTAGAGCAGAATAGGCCACACCACATAATTCGATAGTGTAGTTTAGTTAAGTATTGATTTGTAATTTATGATAACTAGTAAATGTTTAAACAAATTTCTTCATTAAAAAAAATCCGATAAATATCTTGTGCCAAAACTTTTAGGTCATACGTTACACATAAACTTTGTTGGCGTTACCTTTCTGAATTCTCATTCTTCAACACTTTGACCTCCAGGCTGTGGCTGCTGGACCCGCTAGAGCTGGAATTCAGACTGCAGTTGCTTAAAAGTATCTCGTTCTGTCGATCCTTGATGTGATTCTGCTTCAGGTATTCCGCGTCTCCCTCCACAAGACTGGTCGACCTCTTGGCGAGCCCGCTGGGACCGGCAGCGACATCATCAACGGTTCTTATAGGGGACTTTTGAATTTGAGTATTGACGGTCGTGGCTGACGAAGATTTGTTGGAGCTGGTGGTTTTCGTTTCGTCCGACTCGGCTAGCGAGTTGTCGATGATGTTGTTGTTTAAAGGCTGCTCCATTTGGTATACCTTACCTGTGAGCAAGCAATAAAACATGGTGATTGTGAATTAATCACTCTTGGCAAATGGACTTCGAGAAGATCGATAAAAAGTAACTTATTTGCAAGAAGCGTTCACATGTTATTAGCACTGAAACGACTGTCAGGTTGTACATGAGCCATGACATGTTTAGTATGTTTATTTTTTTTACGGCTCGCGCAGACAGAAAGCATTCCGTTCCGAGTTCTGCGTTCCACATTCTTTGTAGCTAATACTATAGAGAGTCGCGCAGACACAGCGGCAATCAGACCGCGCCGGTCAGTGTGAACGCTCGCGTTATTGCGTTCTATTGTCAGAAATACAAAGAACTCGTGGAACGCAAGATGGCTTCCATAGAAAAATTAATTGATTTAGTAAGGGAAAGGCGTTTTTTTTTACTAAAAAATGCAGCATGGCTTGAAATAGTCACGGAAATAGGAAAATACTGCCAATCTTTCTTTTGTAGATATAGCCTTTTTCCAGTTGGTGTCTTGTTTCTCTATTTCCTTTTTTATATAATCATGCAATTCATCAAAACTACTTAATGAAATTCGGAAGTAAATAAAAAATCCTTCTTCATCTTCAAGCAATGCAGGAAAAAGAAGACTAAACTCTCCTTTTTCATATCTCTCACGATTAATCGGATGCACCCAGTATCTCTTTTTCTTTTTGGACCCTTCCAAACTCCACAAAAGCATTGCTTCAACTTCTGTATACGAACTATCGAAGTACGTGTTTCACCTACAAGTAATCTTCGTAAAATGGAACGTAGTGTTCGTATCTGCCCCTGTATGTGTTAGAACTCGTAAGAGGAATTGACCGGACGAGAGCGGCTTGAAGACTGAACGCTTGCCTTTCTGCGCGAGCCCTTACAGAGGGAAGCTTTTATAGCTACTCTAAAGCAAAAAAACTTGACAGTATTGCCCTGCCAGCTCTTCCTGCCCGAAGTGTGAGATTTTATCCAGAAATGACATACTCACTAAAACCCCCCAGTCGTTGGCCACACATCTCACCACCGTAATGCTTGCAGCATTTCGTCATAGTGGATAGCGTTGCGCTAGGTTTTCATACCGGAGGTTTTAGTCATCAATTCTCTATCGTATACATACATACTTTGATACCTACGTACATGTACATTCCAGCAAGATAGAAACCTGCTATTGGTTCCTTGGTCTATTTTTGTACTCCCGTACCTTACTCAGCCTCATTCGTTCACTATTGGTTGAATGTCAACCAATTTTCCCTCGCGTATATGCGTGTCAAAATTGTCAGCAGTGAGCCTCTCGCCGAGCGTCAGTTTCAGCTCGTTGTGAAAGTTAACGCACCTACCACATTCGAGTAGGTGATCAGGAGTATCCTCCTCTTCGGGAAGCTATTGTAATAACGATGTCCTGTGAGGGACTGTGCAGTATAGTAATCTATCCGCACTACTCCCTTGACAATCCAAGTTTTTAATAACTTTAATAACCATCCTCCCTACCATAAAAAAGCGCTAATTGTTATTTGTTGCTATTTTCAATAATTGTTTCTACCCGAGCAGAAAATAGGATAGGTAACCCGAGCGATACGTATTTCTGCTGGTTGGCTTCATCAGGCCCGAAATGAATGCACATATGCAACTACAAAAGTAGATACACATGCCCACACATCCGGAAACGGGTGTAACCTGAGGAAACGAAGATGGAGAGGAAAAAAAGACACACGAAGTCCACTTTTTGCGGATTTTGCCCATTATTTTCCTATTTTTGTTATATACCTTTCTCCGCATGATAATTTTCTCTCTCTCTCTCTATATATATATATACAGGGTGACTTTGAAGTTGAGTCATTAATTTTCAGAAAATGATTGTAGAAGGAAGATAAACCAAAATATGCGTGTAAAAATTAAAAAAAATTAAAAAAAAATGTTACCTTGTTTTATAAAGTATCCTCCCGACAAGTATTTCAGTGCGGACCTGTATTTGATCGTGCGGTCTTGGAGCACCGGCATGCCCTCCCCTGTGAGGTCTTAAGTCACCTGATTCACGAGCCCTTTGTACTACATTAACAAAGGCACGAGGGGTTGGTTGCACTCGATTGGGAAACCGATTCGCACAAATCCGTGATGCCGCGGCAGCATTTTGTAAAGACTCCCGCCCCGTAAATAAGAATCATGTCCACAAGTTCAGCATTTTCGTAAACATGGGCCATTTTTTATTTCGTTTGAGCCACGCAACAAACACCACTATTCACTCATGCGTTACCGACTGACGAAAAACATCGTGATAAACGTTTCAAATTCTTTCGCTTTTTTGTTTCCGATGCGATGAACCGATAAGGCGGATTATATCCGTTGTTGCCAAACACGAGCACATAATATTATTATTGAGACAGGGCGGTACTCAAACTTCCAAAGGGCTATAACTTTGTTACTTTAATTTTACCAGAAAAATGTTAAAGGAAAAAAACATTTCTTTTGATCAGATCTACTCACTGTTAAAATAAATGACTCAACTCCGATGTCGCTCAAGTTTTTATCACCGAGTACTTTCCAGTTTTTGATTTTACTATTCAGGGTGTCAGTAAGAAAAGAAATGTCGATATAGGATGTTTGGCTGGAGGGTTGTCATGGTGGAGGTACCAAGTGTCCATTCTTGACTTGGCCGCAGATTTTTCATAGACTCTATGACTTTAGGTAGGCACTGTTCCGTGTGTTACTAAGCTGTGACTAGCTTCTGAGTGTCCAAAACGAAACGCTCCAGAATCCCACTCGATTTGAAAAATATAGCTATTATTTTTTCCTTAGCAGATCGGGATTTTCTGACAGCTACGGGTGTGTCCTCATCATCAAACACCCAAACTTTGTTTTGGGCCTTGGTCGGCACATCATAATAATACAGCCAAGTCTCGTCACCTATCACGATGCTGTTCACATACCGAGATTGCCCCTTATCAAACATTTTCAGCATCTTTCGGCACCAAGTCGTACAACGAGTCTTCTGCTCTTCTGTCAGACTATGCGGTACCCAGAGAGAGCAAAGTTCCTTTTACGTGTAAATGCTCAGGCAAAATTGAAGTTATACCGTAATTGCCCTTATCTCACTACGTGACCACGATGCCTTACCCTGACAATACAAATGAACAACTAAATGCTGACGGCTACTATGCACTCATGGACATGTCTCAACATGCAGTAACATGCAGCCTGCTGCGTCCGTTTGTTAAGTCATACTGCAAAACTTGTATAGTACCCTTTGTACTGTAGTTCATAAAAGTTTCCAATTCATTTAGTCTTTTTGAGTAAGCGTCAAATGTTATGTTTGGAGAAATATATACAGAGCGCAGCTCTATTTTTTTCATCTCTATCCAAATTTCTTGTATGCATCCCCTTAATAGATGTTTGGTTGCATATCCTAATAGCTGCGCCTGCATCTGATTTCACCTTTTTATTCGGCTCCATCACGTCAAATGAATTTTCTTTTGCGAACTGATCCAGTAAATCGTGTGCCGCTCTGCATCTGTTCAAGTTTGGTTGTATTATCTTTATTTGGTGTTGTCGGAGTGTTGCTTCTATCCATTCGCCAGTCTTTTCTGTTTCTGACAACTTGAAATCCCTCATCCTCAGTGTTATAAATCCGAAGTCGAGATAAAGCAGGCTCATCAGATTTATTTGTAATTGTTACAGGCGTGTCAGCTGATTGTTGTTTAGTTTTACTACTTCCCTGTATTTGTCCCCTTTCGCCGCACACGTAGCAATTTATCTCATTGGTGCAGTCTTTTGCAACGTACTTGTCGTTTCCACATTTGAAGCACTTCGGCCTTTGGTTCTTCTTTGCCTTACACTGGTATGAAGCGTGACCAAAGAGCTGACACTTGTAACATCTCGCTGGAGCGACTTTTTTCAGTTCGTACCTACGTCCAAGCACTTCAAGGACTTTTAGACTTGCGCCATTTTGTTGCTGCAGAGCCTCTTCCATAGCTTGACCGACCTCTTACGTATCTATGGTTTTTTCAAGGTTACATACTTTGATTGCAACAGTTGTTTCTGCTGCCTTGGCCACACTTCCGGCGCCTAAAATACCTTCGACCTACGTAAAAAGCTTTTCAGCAGCACCTTCCTTTTTTCTGTCAAGTTCAACTCAGTTTTACCTTTTTGTCGTCTATTTAACATTGAGCACAAATGCACCTATTTCTGGTAAATTTATTTTTTGACTCAATCTCCTAAGCGTATTAGCGCAGGAGTTTTCACCCTGGTCTGTTTTAATTATAAGGGTGTCCTTTCAGCGTGACTTGTCATCACTTGCTTCCTCCTATAAATCTCAATTTGCTTGCATTTACCCCCATCCGAGGTATTCTGCATAATATCGTGAGATTTTTGAAGCCCAGCGGGCTGATCAGGAGTTCATCAACCTTCTGCCTTTGAACTACTGTTAGAGCCCGCTTGATAGCTATATCCATCTCTGCACATGGAGGTCGTCACAATTTACGTATGCGACAACGCTGCTGTTTGTCTTGACGAGATATTTGATTTGCTCTCTCATTTTTAAGAGCTTTCCAGAGCAATGTGTTTAGCTGCCAATGCGCTAGCACTTCGTCCCATGTGTCATTTACTAGTATCAGCGTACTGGCGACCTTCAAGGAATCATTAGCTTGCCACGTCACACTTCAGCACTATGTCAAAAATAGCGAACAATGGGAAATACTCGTATGTACAAATTTAATAGCGAATAAATCATAAATATTTGCATACACAAAACATCCTGAGTAATTGGGTATTCTGCCTAATATCAGGGAAAAACGTTTCATGCAATTTATGGATTTTGACATTACTGTAAGAGTACTGTAAATGGCTTTTTGAGTATTGAGGATTAATCACTCACATGGCATAATGTTGAAAGATACATTTTCAATCCGTTCAACAAAAACGACATCTTTGCAGATAAGCTATTCGCAAACTTTCATCAAACAAAACCGTTCGAATGCTTCAGGAATTTTGAAATTAGATTACTTCCATATCAGTTATAGAAAATGAGATCTTTTACTAATTATATAAAACCACAATTACGTTTTTGAAAATGAATTACATTCTTACCGTTCACTCTTGCATCAACTTTATACTCTTGAAGACTGGACCCGCCGTACTTTTTGTTATTTGCAGCATGAGTAGCCAGGTTAACAAAATATGGACTCGACAGATTGTTTGCACTATAGTTATTGTTAGTCTGCCCTTGAGTGCTAGCCACAAAGTTGTTAGTGGCTTGGGCGTTATAGTAGTTTGAGGGAGTAGAAAGCCTTCTCATAATACCAAAGTCTCCATCAGTTTCAGATCTGAAAAAATATGTGTGTATAAATTTCACAAAACAAGAAGATACAAGATTGTAGCTATCGAGAACAAACATGAACTTTACAGAACCGTTTACGCGTCAACATATGGTGAATTTATGTAAGCAGCAAATCAAAACATTTTTTTTTTTAGTTAGGCGGTTTAGAGGCCGAATTTTTTATATTGTCATCATTCAAAGAAGAGTTGGAGATTATTGGGGTATGTTTCAACCGAAGGCTGCTGATCCAGGGTCATTTCATGAAGATCTACGGTTCGAGGAATATCAGTAACATAAATGACATTTTTTTTGTCACTGGTGACCTAGTTCTCCACATTAAAAAAAATGCTGAACGAAAGAGAAAACGAAAATAAACAATAAAAAGAAAATGAAAAGGGATTTCAAGTGGAAGATATGATAAAAATGAAGGATTATACAATTCACATATAATATTTGTTGAGAAATTAGGTGAATTACAAATAGGATAAAATTAAATTAAACCATTTGCAGAAGTTGTGAAGTATAACAAAGAAAAAGTAGAAAATCTAAATAAAGAAACTCACATTATTGAAGTTGCCACTCTTATCTAACATACAGAACACCAAGTAACATCCAAAAATACAAACAATAAAATTTTGGTTACTTTTACAGTACAACCAGGGAAAGACAATAATCATGAAACCAAACGATAAAAATCAAAACTGTTTACACACAAAGAAGGTACTCCTATATATATATATATATATAAATCCTGCAAAAATGAACGTCTCCATAAAAAATAGCGATCAGAAAGATGCGGCGGTGGAAATTGAATGTAATAATGTTGACGACATCAAAAAATTGAAATTAGAAGTAGAAAAACATGTAGGACGCAGTTATAGAGTGTTGGGCATAGAAAATTACCAATCAACAATTAATGAACAAAATCTAATTGCTGAAGCTGAGCATACCACAAAAATGGATATATTTTGAAGTGGAAAATATGTTCAATGAAAATAAAATGAAAGAAATTACAGTAACTGATTTCACAAAGTTACGAGAAACATTTTTACAACACAATATGCCTGAAATTTTCAATAATCCTGACAATTACTTTGAACAAATGATGAATAATATGGATAAATATATGAGAGAAGCTAAGGAAATAGTACATGAAAGAGTGATCCTAACACCCTGGTCTTCACAGATATTCAAGGAGTCTAAATTAAAACGCGATGACGACTACAGAAAATTCTTAATAAACCAAAATGAAAAAGATTGGAAACAATATACAAAATCAAGTAAAGAGCGTGTAGCAGTTCTCAAGAGGGAAAAGAAAAAATACTATGATAATAAGATTGATAGCAATAAAAATAATTCTAAAATGATATGGAAAACATTAAAGGATATTGTTTCTCAAAATAGAAAGACTGAATTATCTAAAATGCTTCTCGAAGACGGGACAGTGACAAAAAAAATGATTATAGCAGAAGGAATTAACATTTATTTTATAGGCAGTATAAATCAATTAATGAAGACGATTGATGAGGTTGATCCCAAATTATGTTCATTACAAGTATATCATAATTCATCAATGAATCGATTTAGGTCAATAATCTCTCAAATCTCTCAAAAAGATTCTTAATGATTGTTTCAATATAATTGGGGAGAAATTATTATTATTGGTGCATCATTGTTTGGTACATGGTGAATTCCCATCAAAATTAAAGTGCTCCACCATTATTCTTGTGCCAAAAGTTCAACATTCAAATAGTGTTCGAATTCAAAAATGTTTTAGGCTGAAATCAGAAAACCACTTTATGAATACTCAAAATTCATACAGAAAATGTATTCTAACGCGAATAATCATACAAAATTGACATTGTAGCATTAATGCTAAGTAAATCTTTAACAAACAAACTTACCTATCATCAGATCTGGCAACACTGTTCGTGTCATCTGACTGCGCAACACTGGCTACGTCATCGTTATCAACTTCTGTTGTAGAACGCTCTGTATCAGAAGCCATCACATCTGTAGACCAAGCACTTTCACTTTGTGTTTCTAAAAGATCTACTGGAGCAGGAGCCTCCTGAAACATTTATCATAGCCCGGTAAGGGATCACAAAAATTTCCAGAAACCTCGCAAAAATTATAATATGGATGAAAATTTGGATATACGAGAGTGGACCAAATATAAACCGGAATTCTTTTTAAATATTTGTTTATTCATAAAACAATACAAAAATGATGCTGATTATTTTTCTATGTAATCTCCTCCTCGCTCTACACATTTTTCCCAGCGATTTGGAAGCTTACAAATTCCTTGCTTGTAGAAACTTGGAGGTTGAGTGGCCAACCAATTGCGCACAAAGTTCTCCAAATCTCGATCGTTGTCAAATCGCAATCCTCCAAGTGAATCTTTCATGGGCGCAAGAAAATGATAGTCACAGGGTGACAAATCTGGGCTATAAGGAGGATGCTCAAGAGTTTCCAATGCATATCGTCCAGTTTTTGCTTCGTTTCAACAGCTGTATGTGGCCTGACATTATCATGAAAGAGAATGACATTTTTGATGGGGACACCTCGCCTTTGCGTCTGTCTGCGGATTTCGCTGCCTCCAACAGCTAGTAGGCAGCATTAACACTCTCTTGCAGTCTTGAAGATCTTTCCGACTAAGAGACGGGTTTTGGCTTTCACGAGGCCGGTTTCGTCTTTCCTTTGACATTCTTTACTTGCCATTATGAACTCGGGAGTGTAATGATGCAGCCACGTTACGATATGATTAAAAAAAGTCTCTCCCTCCCACCAAAATCGATTCAATGTCTCCTACTGATTTGCAGTTGGATGTATTTGTGATCTTCGGCATACCCAACGAGCACAGATTTTGTTGAAGCCACTTCAATAAGGTCACGAACAGCAGCAATTTTGTCACCAGAGACACTGGGTCTTGGACGTCGATTACCACTCACATTTTCTACACGTTCTGGTTCTCCCTTAAACCTTTTGGCCCAATCGAATACCTGAGTTTTAAAAAGGGTATCATCCCCATACTGAGCATTCAATCGAGCCAAAATTTCGCACGGTTTAAAGTTTTCCCTCGTCGAAAAGTTTATTATAACTTGTTGCGCAATGGACGGTGGAACCACCCATGGCTGTACTGACGCATTGACTGAGTGAAACAGCTCACCATGCCTTATCGCCAGTCCCAATACACTACACTGCAAGGACCTACACTGTGAGAGTGCTCGTGATTGGCTAAGAAAAGTATTCGTAAAATTCCGGTTTATATTTGATCCACTCTCGTAGGTTATTGAAGTATTGTTCTATAGCATAACGAAAAGTTCCCGGAATCTACGTTGGTTAGGGATTAACTTGTTTGAAAAACTTTTTTGTAAAAATCCTCTAGAGATTATATACACGGTGTTTCAAATTCGACCCTCACCATTGACATTGACAAACCTTAGTTGTTATTCCAGAAAAACATAAGCTCCTAGGTAGGCCTTGACATTATCAGATTTCATTTGTTTTGTATACCAGGTCAGACCTCAAATTGAACATAGGAACAGAGTTTGTAAGACTGAGAAGAAGATAAATAAATCGAGCAGTGAGCAAAGTACAAAGAAGAGTCAGGCTTTGTCTACAAAATAACGGACAATATTTTGAAACTCTGCTCATTTATGATTAATGTTATCACCATCAAAAAAAAATTCATTTTGTGTTCAGGTTTCACGATACACGATACACGATGAAACAACAAAGTTGGTGATAGCAGTAGAAAGAAGAAATGTTGAATTGAAATTTGACTACGCCATCTTGTAGAGGAGAATAAACAACAATGTCAACCTGTAATTTATTTTGAAATATCAATATTAAAACCAGGAAAAATAAAAGTGATTTTATTTTATCTATCGATCTAAAATTACATGATTCGAAATTTTAAACTCCATGATTTTAAACTAAAATGGTTATATTGAAATTTTTTAAAAAGTAAATATCACATTGTCACCTCAAGAATGAATTTTTCCCTCACAATATTCACCTGTCAAAGCTGATAGCTTACCTGTACAACCTCGTCGATTAGCTGGAGACTCTGTCTCTCATGTCTGCTATCGCCAGCGTCAATCGTCTCATTATCAGAAGCCAAAACGTCTGTACTCCAAGTTTCCGAAATAATGGAGATGGTCTCGTCACCTTCCAGCAACTTTTTGATTTCGAATTTGCAAAATTTGTCGTCGATTTCGGATCGAATTTGACGGGTTATGTTGCTTGGTTGTGGCTGAACTACGTTCTCTTGCCTGTAAATGGAAGGTAGTTTATTTATTTAATTAACAAATGTGGGACATCAAACAGAGAAAATCTCCAAAATAGACATCCACAGTTTAGTTAAACAACCTAAATTGTAAAGATTGTTATTTATAATCGACGTAATATGAAATATGTATATATTCAGTCCAGTAAAGAAAAAAAATGTTACAAATAATGGGAACGCAGTTTACAAGGGAGCGATCAAGTATTTAAACTTTATCGTTTCACAAGCAAAAATACCAGCAAATGTACCATATTTGTTCAGATTTCTTTGCATTCGTACCATTGGAGAGTTTAAGCCAATATTAGTTCTCCCGGAATATAGAAGTATGTACAGGTCTAGTCTTATCGGTACATTTATATTGATTTTCGATCAAAGGTAAAAGTAGTGAATTTGATTGTTCAAGAAAACATAAATCAAATAATATCCTCTTGGCCAGAGGTAAGATTTGCAATGTTCCATTAGCAAGCTATAATGGTGATTTATCGACAATGATACCCGCCGTGTAAGCCAGAATTCGCAAGAACTCATGTTGGAAAGACTTAATTCTCCTTATGTGGACTTCGTACTGTAAGTTCCAAATAACGGACGCGAAGGAGATATTACTACGTATACACGCATAATATACTGATAACAGGGCAGGGTTGTTGAAGTATCTAGAGTGCCTTCTAATAAAGCCAAGCATCTTATTCGTTTTATTTATGGTTTCACCTATATGGCTATTAAAGCTCCATTTCGAATCTGGTGTAACGCCCAGGTCACGAATATTGACATTCTCTATCTGATACGCATACTGAAATTTTTTTTTCGTGAATGTGAAAAGCATTTTTAGAGTTAAGTGGCAGATCTGACAATAATCGCCGAGTTTGTCGATATCAGGTTATGTTTTGACGCAGTCTTGAAGGATTTCAACTATACGACACATCTTGAAGTCACCTGTGTAAAGAAGAAACTAGCAATGGCTGAAACATTGTGCGATATCATTTATATAGATTAAGCGGAATAATGGACCTAAGTGGCTACTCTGAGGAACTACCAATAATGGAATAACGACTTTTATACGTTTTTTCTATACCGACGCAGCCGTGCAGGCAGAAGCCTGAATACCGGGCCACCACGGCTGCTATGATGATCCCAAAGAAATTTTGTTAATACGATTTTTGAACTGCCTAAGCTTAGTAGAACTGGGAAATGCTTCCTCTTGTAGGTTGTTCCACAATCTCGACATCCTCGGGTCAAAGGAGAGGTCGTATCAGCCTGTTCTGGATGTACGAAGTTCGACACTGTTAGGATGGGACGCCAAAGTCAGACGGGTCTGTCTAGCAGGCACATCGCGCGGCATCATCATGGAAGAGAACTCTGAGGAGGAAAGCCCGTTGATGTAGCGGTAGAAAAGGGCTAGATCGCCGACGGCCCGCCGTTGCGAAAGCGTCCCGAGACTGTCTGTTAGAGAAGAGCCATCGATCAGGCGGACCGCCCTGTGTTCGTGCCAGATCAGGTCCTCGGTGATCTGGATTCCGACCAGCCGAAATGAATGGCTCTTTGGCAGAAGCCGGCCATCCATCGAAACCGGATAAGCGCTAGGATGCTTTTTGTTCGTCAAGGTACAGTACTGTGTTTTGGAAGCATTAAACTGTACAAGATTGTTGCGTCCCCAAGCAATGTTAACCTCCAGGTATCTCGCCAGAGAGGAAGTCGTTGCTAGTCTTCTTTTATACAGCTCAGCGGCAGAGTACGGCTTGTCACTCTGAATTCCTGCATGTAGAGTGCTGTCATCAGCGAAGCTGTGAGTTGGGTTGATCGTGCAGGAAAGGAGGTCGTTGATATGTAATAGAAACAGTGTCGGAGCCAAGGCCGATCCCTGAGCAACACCCGCGTTGAAGTTGTGGGCTAAAGAGGAGAAGCCGTCAATTATGACGGATATCTTGCGTCCAGAGATAAAGTCAGGCACCCATCTCGCTTAAGAGGACAACGTTCCACAGCTGATCTAACGCTTTCGTGATCTCAAGAGCCACGACATGAGCCTCACCATAAGACTGGAGGTCCCATGTGAATCGCTGGTGCCGGAAACCATACTGTCTGTCGCTAATCAAGCTGTGGCGTTCGAGGTAGTCCAGAAGCTCGCGATTTATGCACCTCTCCATCACCTTACTTATAACAGAAAGCAGAGCTATAGGCCTGTAGTTGTAAGGGCCGGTCTTAGATTCCTTTTATGGGATGAGTTGGACATGAGCAAATTTCCAGTTTTTTGGCCAGGAATCAAGTCCGGTATAGAAGCTTTGTTGATGTCTTACGGTCTTATGCCTGAATGTTACCTCCCGCATAGTGTAGGGAACCCTTTGAATTGACGGGGGACGTCCATGGTGGAGTAGACAACCAAGATCTTGGCTAGCACTTCCGCCTTGGCCTTTGAGTCGAATACAATAGTTCCATCCTGACATGTAAGTGGTGGAAGGCTACTGTGTGAGAAGTTCTTTTCAATCTGCTTGGCCACCGTCCAAAAAGACCGACTGCCATTGCGCTCCGACATTACCCTGTGCCTAACTTTTATATCGTGCTGGTTTTTGGCTTTGCGAACCTCTACGTCATATTTGTTTCTGGACTCGACGTCGACTTGTTTGTTCTCTACAGTGGGGTTTTGAAAGAAGGTTCTGTGTGCCTTGATCTTCTGCTGGCGAGCAGTGTCACACGATTTGTTAAACCAGCCGTTGAACCCTGGTTTAGACACTTTCACTGTGTGAGGATGTATTCCTCCATTCCGACGTGGAAAATTTCGGTTATTGAAGAACAGACAGCCAACGCATCCGCGTCAGTGAAACAGACATCTCGCCAAGGAAAGCTAGAGAAGAAATCTCTGAGCCCCTCTCAGTCCGTAATGCCAAGTTTTGCGGCCTGTGCGAGTTTCTGCTGCCATAGCGGATTCTGACCGAAACTCAACCTCCACAACACCATGCTCTGAGTTACCCAGGGGGGACAGGACAGCAGTGCTGTGAGGGACAGGATGCATGGTCAGAAAGAGATCCAGCAGGCTACTGGCGTGTGACGAGATGCGGGGAAAAAAGGGCTCGTCACCAGCTGGGTCAGCCCTTGAGTGAGACGGAACGCTTCAACTGCACGACCTACTGCATCGGTCTTATTTGAGCACAACCAAAGCTCATTAAGGGTACTGAAATCACCGAGAAGAACTACCTCTGAAGCGGGGTGATTGATGTTCAGGAAGTTGATCTGGACGGCGAGGTATTCGAGTAGGTCATCCCAGTTATGGTTCGAGGGAGAGCGATAAAGGCAGCAAATCAATTTGGGTGATGTTTTGGAGTTGAGGCGAAGCCACAGAATTGTCCTTCGGGTCTGATTCCAAAGAAAGGTCCCTGGAGCAGGAAAGACTGCTGCGGACAAAAGCCACAACTCCCCCGTTCTTTCTCAGATTGGAGTGCACCTCGTAGTTTGGGAAGTTGAGATGGTTAATCGGTGCAGTCTCTGAGATTTTTGTCTCCGCCAAGAAAAGCACGGCGGAACGATTGGATTGCAGGTAGTGATGAAGAGCATCAATGTTGCTGTTAATCCCGCAGATGTTCGAAAAACAAATTTTATCTTCGATGTTGTTCCCTCAGGAAGCTATGAAAAATAAGATTGCTCTACTCCAAAAAAATCTGAATGCTTTGTATTCTGCCAGAGATACTATGCCAAGCCGTGCTGAAGTTGATAAACAGATCATTAAGTTGCGCGAGGAAATAAAAACAGCAAAACAGTCTTTAAACAGGAAGGTTCAAAAGGCAGTTGCCCAGAAGAAACACAGGGATGGTATGAAAACAAAGTTAGAATATATTATTTGTCATGAAAATCCAGAAATAAAAAAAAGACTATCTCTGAGGGATTCAGTGGGACGTCCTAATCTTGAAAGCAATCAACATTCACTATTGAAAACAATCGCGGATATAGCTTTATTTGGGAGTGCAGCAGATGATAGAAGACGAACGGAATCAATTCGCAGCGTAAAAACTCTTGGTGAACTCACACAAGAATTACGTAAAATAGTATTTGACATTAGTCGCAGTGGGACATATCTTCGTTTGATTCCCAGAAAATCTAATTCTGCAGAGGGACGAAGACATGTATCGACGGTCCCTGTTAAGCTCATTCGGGCTCAAACTGATCACCACAAGAGCCACTTAGATACCAAGTTCGCTGAAACATCAATCCATTATTTAGAGAACATAGCATCCATACTTGGACCAGATCAAGTATTTTTCATATCTCAAGATGATAAAGCTCGAGTCCCTATTGGCGTAACTGCGGCAAATAAGCAAGCACCTCTTCTAATGCACATGGAATATAGAATCAAAATGCCTGATCACGATTGGGTAATCGCTGAGCGTCATAAATGAATACCATCTGTTTAATGCTGGTATCAAAATCACTTTCAATATGCTAGGACGACCGCAAGCCGTTGGATATTCTGGACCAACATACATCGCTATTCGAAGTGGAAAGCATAGTTCATCTACTGCAAATACTCATGCTCAGGATTTCGAGACGCTTCTCGAACTTGAAGAGTTTCGACCATTAGCTAAAACTGACCATGGACAATATACAACACTTTAAGCGATATGATCTCGATGCATTGTTTTTAGCTACTAATGCTCCTGGAAGAAGTGCGTATAACAGAGTACAGCGCAGAATGGCTCCTCTTAGTCGGGAAATGGCTGGTTTAATATTGCCTCATGACCATTTTGGGTCTCATTTGGATGAACGTGGCGTTACAATTGATGAACATTTAGAAAGATCTAATTTCGAATTTGCAGGAAATGTATTAGCTGAAGTATAGAGTTCAATGGAAATTGATGGCTATAATGTTAATGCAAAATATGTTAGGGCAGGTGAACAAGATCTTCCTGATTTTCCAGACATTAAATCGTAATCAGAACATGTGCGTGAGAGCCAATACTTGCTTCAAATTGTAAAACGTAGAAATACAGAATGCTGTCGTCCAAGAAGTGGCCTATTTAGATTACTAGACAATAGGTTCCTTCCACCATCTGTAAAAGTAAAACAAACAGTTGATGACTTGGTTTTGGATGAAGGAGGGCAATTTCTTAATCTTCCAGTCAATTTTGCTCTACACTTAAGTGCTTCACTCAAAGATTTCCTGCAAATGCCCTACGATTATTTTTTTCCGACGGTAAAATTGAGGCTATCAAGTCGAACATGCAAAACGTGTGGTCTTTATCATGCTTCCGTCAAGTCACTAAATCGTCACATCGAAACACGCACACTGATAGGAAAGTTAGACCTGTAAGAGTCATCATGCTAATGAACTGATGTGCATTATTCAAAATTTAGAGCACCATGATGTTGAATGGCTCGATGAGAACGACGTAGACATTCCAAAATCCGATGAAAGCGAGCAAACTCACAACACTGAGCAGCAATCGAAGCACTCCAATGTCACCGAAAACTTAGAATCATGGATTCGGGTTTCATGGAATGAAGACTGTTAATTTGAATTTAATATATGTACCAAAAATTTAAAATAAATTTGTTATGTTAGTAAGATATAATATTTTTGTCTTTTACTATAGAGTAAAAGACCGTATCAGTAAATATAATCTCTATCCTAAATCTATTTTCTTATTTTTCAAATTATAATTGTAACGTTATAATTATAATATTAAAAAAAACAATACATTAATTGACAAATGTTTACGTAAACATGGGGGGAGGGGGTAAGAGCTTTGCTTAATTTTGCTGACAAGGGGGATGGGGGGGGGGTGAATAATTGTAATAAATCAGCTTACGTAATACTTGAACGGCCCCAAAGCCTATAGTTTGAAAAGTACACGACTTACGATTTTTGACGTCGACTTCTGGGACACCCTGTACATAAATTGCTTACCTAGCCTCAACGTTCGCCCTATCCTCGTTCTCGCACACCTGCGAGCTAGGAGTATCCCTACCGGATATGTTGGGCGTCCCTCTGCCCGACACGTTGGCGGATACCATGTCCGACAGGTTGTCATTCTCCAGCTCGATGCTGCTGTCCGCCGAATGGTTGCTGGCTGCTTCGGATGTTGCTTCCAAGATGTCCGAGGTGTTGCCGGTGGAACCCTCTTCGGCGAAGCACAAGGACTTGCCTCGGTCTTCTTCCGGTGGTCGCGGGGGACGGGATGGAGTGGAAGGCAGCGGAGGTGTCTCCTGTTGAAACATAGGTTACGTAACATTCAACTACGAGTTTCTGTCAAAATCATGAGACGGTTCGGATGAGAAGGTACATAATCCACATAATGTAAAAATTCGGGTTGCAAAAATTCCCATAAAGCTGAAAATTGGTATAGATCTTAAATACGCCCACTTGTGACTCTCCTAGTATATTTTGGGAACAACGCTCGGACACGTCCATTCTTATTTCTAGGGGGACGTATTTTCATCTATAGCCGTACAATACAGGGTGATCCAAAAATACGATATTGCGTTACACTTTATAATTTTTAAATGGAAACCCGCAATTTACTAGAGCCACACAGTGCGGCGGTGCATCTTGTTGGAAATGAATGTAATTTTCATAATAATTATTTCGTGCCTCTACTGTGTTTTCTAACATGTCCAAGTACGTCTCGCCCGTCAAGTTTCCATTAATAAAGAAAGGTGATTTCCGAAAATGTCGGCCCACACATTTATTTTTTTAGGATAGTGCGAGTGTATCGAAACAAATGTGGATTCGAGTCACTCCAATATGGACAATTATGTCTATTTACAGCACCATGTAAATAGAACGTACACTAATCCGAGAAACAAATATTAAATGCATTGTTGATTAAACGTTGAGACATTAATTCGCAACCTTCTATCAAAAACGGGTGAAATGTATCGTCTTTCAAAATTCTTTGTACTGTTGAGCGTGTAAATCCTGAATAAGTAGCCAGTCCATGAGTGCCTTGGGTGTTGTGACGTGCTACGTGTCCCAAAACTGCTATTTCCGGGGTTCCATTTCTAACTGGTCGATTTTCTCTATTAGTCTAATAATAGACGAAATTACCCCTGGTTTGCGAAATTGTAAAGTCTGACTTTATTGCTGCAAGTTGTTCAAGGGAGTATTTAAAACATTGACGCATAAAATGGGTAATCCAAGTTTTGTGGGAAAACTTTTTATTCGACAAAGAATGAGAAAACCCGTTTGTTGAGATTCAATCGAAAGTGTGGGCAGGAACGAAAAAACTTCATGTAAGATTTTTAGGTATTTATGAGACCTACAAAATGAGACCACACGTAAAAAGTTCCGATTAATAGCAAAAAAACTTATGGCCGAAAACCGAGGCAAACTGCAAGTTTTGGCACTTAATGGTAATGCGACGATGGTTTCTCGCAGATATTTGAAATTCTTCAAATTCGTACTTCTAAATAACCACAACAAAATTGGAGTAGATTTGTCAAGTAATATACAGGGTGACTTTGAAGTTGAGTCATTAATTTTCAGATAATGATTGTAGAAGGAAGATAAACCAGAATATGTGTGTAAAAATAAAAAAAAATTAAAAAAAATTTTTACCTTGTTTTATAAAGTATCCTCCCGACAAGTATTTCAGTGCGGACCTGTATTTGATCGTGAGGTCCCCTGTGAGGTCTTAAGTCACCTGATTCACGAGCCCGTTGTACTACATTAACAAAGGCACGAGGGGTTGGTTGCACTCGATTGGGAAACCGATCCGCATAAACATGTGCCATTTTTTATTTCGTTTAGAGCCACGCAACAGAAACTATTCACACGCTAACCGACAGATACTGACTGTATGTATAACTGAACTGAATAAAACACTTAATTGCAAAAACGTCGTTCCAAATTCTTTCGCTTTTTTGTTTCCGATGCGATGAACCGGTAAGGCGGATTATATCCGTTGTTGCCAAACACGAGTACATGATATTATTATTGAGACAGGGCGGTACTCAAACTTCCAAAGGGCTATAACTTTGTTACTTTAATTTTACCAGAAAAATGGTAAAGGAAAAAAACATTTCTTTTGATCAGATCTACTCACTGTTAAAATAAATGACTCAACTTCGAAGTCACCCTGTATATATACAGGGTGGCCAAACACGTGACGTCATAAAAAAAAAATGAGATTCCCCACATCGAGAGGAACCCAAATCACCCCCATATATATGGTCCGATTTTGTTTAGTTTAGGAGTTATGATTTTTTTTCGGATTTTTCGAGAATTTTTGAGTTCTGTGTTTATTTTTACCATAACTTCGTTAATAATTGTGATAAATGCCTGCTTTTTTCACGATTATGTAGCTAAGACCTAAGGCTTAACTATCATATAATCATTCAAGTCATGTAACTAATACTACTTTTTAATTTTTTTCAAAATCTTCGAACACAACAAAAAAGTAAAAAAGTGCAACAACTTTGAACGTTTATAAAAAATTGAAAAAACATGTTCTTACTATTCGTAAGTATCTTAAAAACTTCCTTACGGTATCAGCTATTTACCGTAAAAATTTCATCAACCTAGCTTTACTACATGCTACCGTAATTGTGGCTCAAATAGAACCGAACCCAAAATTGGATAACCCTCTGCTCAATAGAAATTGTTAGTTTCGAAAAAAAAATTTGCAAAAACCACAAAAACACGTTTGATTTTTACTGAACAGCAGATTATTATTCATGTATGTTATTTACAAGAGGTTTTCAAAATGTCTGCCTCTAACAGAAATGCACAGTGTACACCTACGTATGAAATTTTGTTTTAAATCTCTAAATGCTTGTGTGTTGTTTTTCAACACATGTGTCGCTTCTTGAATTTTGTTCCTCAATGAATTTTCATTTGCACATTCTTGGGCGAATGTTATGTCTTTAAAATATCCCCAAACAAAAAAATCAATGGGGTTGAGGTCAGGGGAGCGTGGAGGCCATCGTATCGGTCCGTTTCGTCCGATCCATCTGTCTGGGAACCTTTCGTTTAAGTAGTTTCGCACGATCGTTGCGTTGTGGCATGGTGCACCATCATTCTGGAACACCATGTTCCGTCTGGCTTCCAGGCTTGAATCTTCCAGCAATAATGGTAGGCTATTTTCAAGGAAGCTTTTGTAGGCTACCGAATCCAACCTTGACGGCAGTTCAAATGGACCGATAAATTCCATATTGAATATTCCTGACCACATGTTCACACTAAAACGGTGTTGAAATGTCGACGGCCTTGACTGGTGGGGGTTTTCAACAGCCCAAGTATGTAAATTATGGATATTGAATATCCCTGTTCTTTCAAAACGTGACTCGTCAGTCCATAAAATTTTATCAAAAAAATCGGGATCCTCTCGTTGTCTTCGCAGCATTGTCTCGCAGAAATCCACTCTTAACTGGTAATCTGAAGGCATCAACGCTTGAACTCTTTGAACATGATAGGCATGATAACCTTCTTCATGAAGAATATTCATGTATGTTATTTACAAGAGGTTTTCAAAATGTCTGCCTCTAACAGAAATGCACAGTGTACACCTACGTATGAAATTTTGTTTTAAATCTCTAAATGCTTGTGTGTTGTTTTTCAACACATGTGTCGCTTCTTGAATTTTGTTCCTCAATGAATTTTCATTTGCACATTCTTGGGCGAATGTTATGTCTTTAAAATATCCCCAAACAAAAAAATCAATGGGGTTGAGGTCAGGGGAGCGTGGAGGCCATCGTATCGGTCCGTTTCGTCCGATCCATCTGTCTGGGAACCTTTCGTTTAAGTAGTTTCGCACGATCGTTGCGTTGTGGCATGGTGCACCATCATTCTGGAACACCATGTTCCGTCTGGCTTCCAGGCTTGAATCTTCCAGCAATAATGGTAGGCTATTTTCAAGGAAGCTTTTGTAGGCTACCGAATCCAACCTTGACGGCAGTTCAAATGGACCGATAAATTCCATATTGAATATTCCTGACCACATGTTCACACTAAAACGGTGTTGAAATGTCGACGGCCTTGACTGGTGGGGGTTTTCAACAGCCCAAGTATGTAAATTATGGATATTGAATATCCCTGTTCTTTCAAAACGTGACTCGTCAGTCCATAAAATTTTATCAAAAAAATCGGGATCCTCTCGTTGTCTTCGCAGCATTGTCTCGCAGAAATCCACTCTTAACTGGTAATCTGAAGGCATCAACGCTTGAACTCTTTGAACATGATAGGCATGATAACCTTCTTCATGAAGAATATTTTGTATCGATGTTCGTGGTATTCTAAGGTTTTGTGCCATAGATCTCGTACTCGTTGAGGGATTCCGGCTAATTTCTTCAAGTACTACTTCTCTGCGATCTGGATCAGCTGTAGGATATCCTTCATTGCTTCCTCGTCCTGGAATGCGGCCTGCCATGAAAGTGTTATGTGTGTTAATAAAAACACGGTGGTCTGGGTAATGCTCAGGTTGTGGTCCGCCTCGGCGTATAAGTTGTTCCCGGTACAGCTGAGCTGCTAAAGCGCCGTTGCCTTGAGCAACGCCATAATAATAATGCATTTCTGCATATAATGCTGCAATAATTTACATACTTGGGCTGTTGAAAACCCCCACCAGTCAAGGCCGTCGACATTTCAACACCGTTTTAGTGTGAACATGTGGTCAGGAATATTCAATATGGAATTTATCGGTCCATTTGAACTGCCGTCAAGGTTGGATTCGGTAGCCTACAAAAGCTTCCTTGAAAATAGCCTACCATTATTGCTGGAAGATTCAAGCCTGGAAGCCAGACGGAACATGGTGTTCCAGAATGATGGTGCACCATGCCACAACGCAACGATCGTGCGAAACTACTTAAATGAAAGGTTCCCAGACAGATGGATCGGACGAAAGGGACCGATACGATGGCCTCCACGCTCCCCTGACCTCAACCCCATTGATTTTTTTGTTTGGGGATATTTTAAAGACATAACATTCGCCCAAAAATGTGCAAATGAAAATTCATTGAGGAACAAAATTCAAGAAGCGACACATGTGTTGAAAAACAACACACAAGCATTTAGAGATTTAAAACAAAATTTCATACGTAGGTGTACACTGTGCATTTCTGTTAGAGGCAGACATTTTGAAAACCTCTTGTAAATAACATACATGAATAATAATCTGCTGTTCAGTAAAAATCAAACGTGTTTTTGTGGTTTTTGCAAATTTTTTTTCCGAAACTAACAATTTCTATTGAGCAGAGGGTTATCCAATTTTGGGTTCGGTTCTATTTGAGCCACAATTACGGTAGCATGTAGTAAAGCTAGGTTGATGAAATTTTTACGGTAAATAGCTGATACCGTAAGGAAGTTTTTAAGATACTTACGAATAGTAAGAACATGTTTTTTCAATTTTTTATAAACGTTCAAAGTTGTTGCACTTTTTTACTTTTTTGTTATGTTCGAAGATTTTGAAAAAAATTAAAAAGTAGTATTAGTTACATGACTTGAATGATTATATGATAGTCAAGCCTTAGGTCTTAGCTACATAATCGTGAAAAAAGCAGGCATTTATCACAATTATTAACGAAGTTATGGTAAAAATAAACACAGAACTCAAAAATTCTCGAAAAATCCGAAAAAAAATCATAACTCCTAAACTAAACAAAATCGGACCATATATATGGGGGTGATTTGGGTTCCTCTCGATGTGGGGAATCTAATTTTTTTTTTATGACGTCACGTGTTTGGCCACCCTGTATATATATATTATTATCAGTAATAATAATAGGTTAGTCGAATTTTATTTTAAACACAAATAGCTTCTCGTCGATAGAAGATGGGTATAAACTTTATTATACAGAACTTACTAAAAACTTCATGGAAAATCTAGAAATTTCCATCTAAAATTTTAAAGTGTAACGCGGCGCCTTATTTTTGGATCGCGCTATATTGTACGGCTATAGGTAAAAAGACGTCCCCCTAGAAATCAAAATTACGTGTCCGAGCGTGTCTCCCAAAATATACCAGGTGGGTTACAAATGGGGGTGCGACCTTTTCGTTGGGCCACCCTGTATAAGTTATTTAAGAAATAAGCTCAATAAGGTATTTTGTATCACTCAAATTTTGAATCTAGATTAAGGTATGGAATCATGTTATTCGGAAATTTTAGTACCTTTAAGAAAATGTTTGTAATACAAAAGAGAATATTGCGAAATAATAGGTTTGAGGAGCAAATTCAAGCAATTCGGTATCATAACAGTTTTTGGAGTGCCTCATATTCTAAACTGGTGGGCAGTTGCTTTGCAGCATGGAAAATTTTACCCAAATTCAAATCTCGATATTTTCGGGGCCGAAGAGAGTAGCGGTATTCGGGAGGTTCTTGATCGACACTTTGAGGCTATGTAAGATTCTCAATTTTTGATCTTGGTCATTTTTCTATGCATCTTTTTGATCTTTGCACTATCCTAAAAAAAGTTATATCTAAAATTTTTCGAAAGTTGGCTTCAACTCATATTATCGAATTTTTAACTTCCAGCAATAAATGTCTTACGGCTCGACCTCGTATTTTTTTGGATCACCCTCTCCATGCAAATAGGACGTTTCTCCGGTTTCATCCTAACTACCTAACTACCTACACACAATTGCTAAGTAACAATAATACTGACTGTAGACTTTCCAATATAATTTATTTTCTCAAAAATGTCTCGTCTTTTTGAAAAAGAAGGAGTCAATTGTATAAAATTATTGTTTACTGAATGATGTAGCTTTAATTTATAATGTTGATCGGTCCTTAATCTGCAGTTTAACGCGTAGATATCAGGACACCGGGGAAAAATCCTACTGGCATGGAGGAGGTAATCCAAAAAAATACGAGATCGGGCCGAAATACATTTATTGCAGGAAGTAAGGCGATGGAGGATCCTTTCATCCAGAACCTTGAAAGAAAACTTACGGCGGCACAGTGGAATAATACGAGCAAACGAACTGTAAGACGAAACTTTAAATTCTAATTTGTTAAGGTATGTAAATGTTATAAAAAATTGCAAGGTACTTTTTTAAAGCAGCATAAAGCACCAATGGGCACAGCAGCGGGTAAACTGGCATTAGCAGTGGCAAAATTGCATGTTTGCTGATGAAACATGCTTCAACCTATACCACTCTGATGGTAGGGTCTTTGTTTGGAGGCAAGCTGGGGAACGATATGATGAAGAAAACATGGCCCCAATAGAGGCGTATGGTGGGGGGGACATTATTGTTTGGACTGGGTTTATGAACAATGATAAAACCGAACCCCTTTTATTTCAAACACGACAATCTATGCCGCAGGTTATAGGGACAACATTTTTAACAATATTGTTATGCTTTTTGCACAAGATTTTGGGGAGGATTTTGTCTTCATAAATGATAGCGCCAGACCGCACAGAGTTCGTACGGTTATGAACTTTTTGGCAGAAGACAATGTTACATTATTGCCTCTACCATCTAAGTCTCCAGACCTAAACATAATTGAGCATGTGTGTTCTTTTCTAAAATGTTTAGCGCAGTCAAGACAAAATGCTCCTTAAACAATGGAACAGCTGTCTAAGGCCATTCAGGAAGAGTGGGAAAATGTATCACAAGAATTTATTAATAACCTCCTGGAAAGTATGCCACGAAGATGCCAGGCTGTGATCGATGTGCGCGGTGGCCCTGCAAGGTACCAACAATATTGTCTTAAGACAATTTCTTGGACAAGATTTGGTTCAATTTCTTGAACAAGATCTTGAATGAAAAATTGTTTCCTGTCTAAAAATGCTGTTTTACATTCAAACAATTTATTGTTCAAGAAATAGTTTGGGATTCTGCGCGTTAAGATTCTGCCTGTCAAGAATCAATCTGTAAATGTCAAAGTTGTCAGTGTCACTCGCAAACTGTCACCGAATTGTCAAGAATTAAAAACAAGATTTTGAGTTGAGAAAAATGATTCTGATTTCGTTAACCCTATGCTTTTTACATTATCCGCTGGTCTGTACCATGAAGCTAGAAAGAAACATTGCCTTAGCAGGTACATCTTTGGGTGTCTATTTTGCGAAGTGGTGCACGGGCGAATTAAGAGACTCGCAAATAAACGAAAAAAATGGAAAGAGAAGTGGCTGAGGAGAGACGAAGGCCGCAGAAAGTTGAATATGTCGAGAGATTTATTTCTTGAGGACCCAAACTTATAGAACAACTTTTTAAGAATGGGCAATTAATGTTTTAATAAATTGCTGCCTGTGATTCTACCTGATACTGCAAAAGAAGATTAGACAATGTATAACTGCAGAAAATAGGCGATATTATCAGCATTGTGTCATGTGACAAAAAAATTATGATGGCTTTGCTTCTAGGTTGGCTGACACTGTGATATTTAGCTAGTGGTAATTCATTTTGAGATCTGCTTCTGAAGCTGTTGACATTAGAAACCTATTAAGCTAGTATTTCAGTACCACTGGAGAAGTATCTTTTTAAAATAGGGCTATTATAGGAATTCATTAAAAATGTACATAAATTTTGTCTTTTTTTTATTGCATCTCTTAACAATTTTGTATCTCTAAACGAACATCTTGCTTAATATCATCATTCGTGATTTTTTTTAATTGTGCTGCCACAAACTGACCCATGAGATCAGCTGCTGTGGCTATAGCAGCAGTTTCGCTTTCCTGCAGAGCTGCAGACAGGCCGCCAAGGCTAGCAGAGTCAACTCTGAGCGTCTGAATTTCATTTTTCTTCATTCTTTTGGCAGTGCTGCTACCACTTCTTGAATTATGGTATTGCTCGAATGTCATTTGTGCATGGCCCTTGTAGGATTTCAGGGTTTTCAGGTCTTTCTGTGATTGGTGATAAGATCCCATCATCTTGCTCACTGGACCAAGACATCCTTAAATAAATATCAGTTACTACAATGACCGAGTCTTAGATAATATTTTCTTACCTGCTTAAAAAGACAGCTGATGTTAACTAACGAAAATCAAAAATTCACTAACCAACGACGAGGCACACAACCAAAAGAAAAATTGAGGTTAGCTATCATCTTGTACAAGAAATTGTGTAGTCTAAAACAGTCTTAAAATAACTGTTTTGTAAGAAGTTCGTTGTTGTCATAAATAAATAATTTAGGTATTTAACAAGTCGTCTAATGTTTGTTTTCTAAAATGTTACATATTGTTAATGTTAATCAATAAATTCTTTGATGTTGTTAAAAAATTTAATAATGTATTGATTAATAATATAATAAAACATCTGACGACGCGTATGCCAATGCTGAATAAGAAATTCCATATAAAAGATGAATAGTAGTGTTGGCCAGCATCAAAGCATTTTGAAAAAGAAAAATTTTCAAGTTAAGCACTTCTTACCAAACCAAAAAATGCTTCACAATGTCAAAGTAGCAAATTTTTACTGCACGCCACTGGAGGCAATGACGTTCAATGAGTGGTTCAACCTTTTCTCGGGCACATTGTGCAAGAGTCTGAGAAAAAATACCCACTCTCGAAAGGAACCCCAAAAAAGTCCCTTTTTAGGGATAAATGTAACACTTTTTTAAAATTCGATAATTTGATTTACAGCCAACTTACGAAAAATTTGAGAAACTACTTTTTTTTAGGATAGTCCAGAGATCAAAAAGATGCATAGAAAAATTTCCAACATCTAAAATTGAGAATCTGACAAAGCCCCCGAAGTTTTCAACTATATTTATCCTAAGCATATATTAGCGTTATTTGGAAAAGGTCCTCTTTACAATTGCTTCAAACTCGTTAACTATTTACCAGCAGTTGTGAAGAAGATTTTAAAACATTTGAGAAAATATAATATATTACTAAATCCAGCACCATATACAATCGATAACTTTTTTGGAGCAACACTTTATCGTTAATTTTATTTGATTGACGCTATTTGTACCACAAGTGGTTTACAACTATAATATAGCACTTCTATTTGCAAAGAAAGATTACTGTTATTATTGCTATAGTTTAATGAGCGTTTACGGGCTATGACTTTAAAGTATCCTTTGAAAATACAGACGCGTGCAAGATTTTGCTAGTAGAGAAACCGAGTTGAATTAAAAAGAAAACAAAACAAAACTATCAGGACATGTTCGGTTACCTTTGGTGACGATGCCTCAAAAATATCTCCATTCTTCAATGGAACAGTTAGATCAACAACTTTTTCTTCTGGTAACATACCAATAGGATCCAACTGAATTTGATCAATGGGGAAGATCAGTACCATGTTAGAATTGGTAGGTTTTACGTCATTGGTAGATGTACTTGCTTTCAAATCAGTTGATATTGATCTCGTTAAATTGTTCCTATGCCCTAAAACAAATCAATTGAATAATTACAAGAGCCTAGCTTCAATGAAATCAATATGGGAATTCTGATTTCCTGGTCCTGAAGCAAATGCTATCAAAGATTTTTTGTTTTTTGTTAGGGCTCACGGTACACGTCCATTGCCAGAACGGGAAACGAAGAGAAGCGAAAATCTTCCGCTGGGATTCTTTCACGCAATCTCCTCGTCACTTCTCAATGGACGATCAGCCTCAGAGAGTTTATTCCACTATAAGACATGCAGAAACGCAAATAGCGATGTAGCATTTTCGGTCAAAAACCTCTATGAATTTCAAGTTAATCAGTAGGCTTAGCTAGATCTAGAAAATTCCAATTTATAGTTGGTTAATATAAAATAGGGTCAAATCGTCAGTCGTTCCTGCAATTGTAGGACGTCTTTATGGTCTCTTTGATCGCCATAGTCTTGCCTCTCATTCAGAAAGGCTGGGCTATTTCTAGATTTCACCTGTTCCGTGTCAGCGTCAGCGCTCTCCTATTGTAAAGTTATATTTCCTTTCTGAATTCTCGGAAATTTCAGGCTGATAAAACAGATGATATAAATCGAAAGCAAATTGATACAAATAGATATTTGTGACACGGAACAGTAGAAAACTATGAAATCAAGCAGGCCAAAAAGGCGACCTACTATTATTATTGTAGGAACCATTGACGATACGGTCCTTAAATAAATAGATTTTGTGTGAGATTAGCTAGTTCGTTGTCAAGGGAAGGGCTGGCTTCCGGCAATATCAGCTGTAAAACAAAGCTGGAGGAGTGTGTGGTGGTTCTCCGCAATGCCTACCCACGCTGAAGATTAAAATCCCATAAGAAAATGGACGGGGTAGCACCCAAACCAAAACAACTAAACGTAAGTTACAATATGAAGGGGTACTACTTCACAAACTGGTGTTAGGCACCTAATATCCCAGAATCTGGAGATTAAACAAATGGCGCTTACACCACAATCTCAGGAGGAAAGTGACTGACACAAAACACCTAACTTTATAAAGGAAGGTTCAATGAGTGGCCTTGAAGAAGATATGTTCGATAGGAAATCCAGTAACGGAGGAAAAGCAGTTTTTTTTTCAACACAATACTAAGAAAAAAAATATAATACGTGCGAAATTATACAATCAATAAACTCTGAAATTTACCAAAATAAAATCATTGAAAAGGGTTTGACCAAGGGATGGGCTGTCTACCATTAATAAAGAGAAATTCAAATTATTAGTAAGTGAACAAAATAGTGCTAGACACAGAATACAATGTTTAACCTTGAGAGCTCAGGATAATCGACGCGCACCTGAAATTATGAGATATACCAAATGGTAGTATAATTATCATGAAAATATTTTCTTAGAAAATTATTAGAAATATTTATGGTATATTTTTATCAAAGCAAACCTGAGCATTCAGGAAATTTCTGGTTTTGCACGCGAAAGCAAGAAAGCCGCCACAAAAGCGATATTTTCCGAGTTCCAGGACAAGTTATTTTAATTCCCATGCCTCTAGCTAAGAAGAACATGAGATATGTTTTTGGATGTTATACAGAGTGTCCCAGAAGTCGACGACAAGTCGGAAACGGGGGATAGGTCAAGTTATCAGAACAATATAAAAAAATTGAGTCGTGTACTTTTCAAATTATAGTCTTTAAAAAAACGAAACGATCAGAAAATGATGATCTTTTACTTCCGATTACTACAAATTTAAATTTTTTTTAGACTGAGTGGCAGACAGTGTCATTCTACGTAGTGACAGCAAGGCAAATAAATAGTAGCGCCACTTTTATTAATTCGTGAATTAAATTATTAAATTCACAATAAATATTCAAATTCCCTTCCTTCCGCAGCAATGCAAGCTTGATATCTTAAAAATGATCATCAAACGGACGAATCTTTCGTATTAACAAATTCAACTGATCGGGTTGCCCACGAAATTGTAACAGTCCGCCCTATTTATCCGCTGGTACCACATGTCTCTGTAAATGATTAATGGTACGTCTTCGAATAAATACAGCAATTGATTTTGTAAAATTACCACGTAATCTCAATTCAGGTGAAAGGTCGCAGGCGAAACCAGATAAAAATGCCCCCAAAGGTATCCAAATTATGATCAATCCAAATGAAGGTACATTGGGTCAAATCACGATAGCCAAATTTTCAGATCGATAGGTCGTCCCCTGGGGACCCCTAACCTCAAAAACTTTACGAAAATAATGTTTAATGAACGCAATTTTGCACACAAAAAATTGAAAATTTACCGTCGCTACATTGTTATATCCTACATAACCTTTTTTGTATAGATTTGTGCAAAGTATAGGTTCACCAAAAAAAAAAAATATATATTTTTCGAATGCTTGGCAGGTTAATGAAAATTGTATATCAATGCTTTCTTGCGTTCTTTGCAGCTTCACTAACAAAAAAGACATTAGCTTCAATGAAAATATGGTCAAAGCAGGACATCTAGTCAGACAGCCCAAATATAAATATAATCGTAATGTTATTGACGAAATGGGTAAAAACCAGAATAAGACTGTTTTAAGGATACCCCCTTATCACTGCGAATTAAATCCCATTGAAATGATTTGGGAAAATATAAAAAAACTATGCGGCATCAAAAAGTAGAACATTCAAATTTTCTGACATGAAAAATTTCTTTTACGACGCTGCCAACAGAGTGACGGCAAACCATTAGAAAGATTGCATCCGTCACGTTCAAGAGACAATCGAAACAAAGATGTGGGATCTGATAATATGATCGATATTCAAAATGAACCTGTAATAATTAATATTAACCATTCGGACGATGATTCAAGTACTTCCAGCGAATAAAGAATTCTGAAAATCTCGCTTTTGGGCATGTTGTTTTCTGTAAGCGTAAATGGACTACGAAAGGGGTATAGTGTCCCCTAGGTGCGACCTGTCGATCTAAAAATTTTGCTAAATTCATTTGACTCAATTTTTGCTAAGTTTGGATTGACCCAGTTATGGATATGTAGTTTCACTCACAACCTTAGGAGAGATGCATGTCGCGGGGTCATAGTAGGTAACATTTACTTTGTAATTCGATGCAGTGGAGGCAGAGTTGAGAGTCAATTAAAAAAGTTTGAGATTATTCTCAATGTTCGTTTTTGTATATCTTAAAACATTCTGGTAATTTTTGGTCTTAGTGAACAATTTCCTGGAATGATCAAAATCTGTCTGCTAGTTTTCAAATAGGTGATAATAAAATAAGAAATGAGGGATCTAAAGATGTTCATAACCTAAGGCCCACTTTCTGACTTACTTCAATGAGAGTCAAACAGCTCTTGTGCATTAGAAAGTTCGAACTAGTATCTACAGGGTGTCCCAGAAATAACAGGCCATTGTGGCAAGGGAGGTAGATTGGCTTCAGATTAATCACATTGAAACAAAATGTATTAATTTTTTTGGCATACCGTGCTAGTTTTCAATGAAATGAATACTCGGTTGTCTCAACCAACTATTAATGGTAGCTCAGGAAAAAGCTCATAAGTTAGAAGTTCTTAATAGCCATAACAGGCAAAAAGGAGCAAAAAGTAGTGATTTTTTGAAAAAAATTTAGGTGGCAATATCTCGAAAACTAGAAAACGTTTACTAAGGTCATGTTGATTTTATCTGATTGTTCAGAAGCCAATCTACCTCCCGTGTCACTCTGGCGTGTTAATTCTGGGACACCCTTGTATATGGGAAAATTAAAAATAGTGACGTGAATGCATTTTTTACCAAGATCTGGATAGTCAACAATGTGGATCGACGTAACTACATGCGTCGCTCGGAATTCAAAAACGTACCTAAGGAAAACAAAGTCGATATCTTCAGAGGAACATCATCGCCGTTTACATTATTATGGTTGTGATTAGATTTAGGCGAGTTGTCCCTTGAAGACAAAGAAAGTGTAGCTAGCTGCTCTTCAATTTCCGGATCCTTCATAAAATTGTCGTTCTGACTTTCTGTGGCGTGAATCTTTTGCAATAATGAGACAAAATTAGTAAGCTCTTGTTCAGCGAACATCATCATGTGACGCATGATCACCGGAAATGAATCGACGGGCGGTTCCTCTTTATCCAAATCGAAAAAAAGCAGCTGCATGAAGTCTAACATTTTGTTCTTGTTCAGCTCACCAAAAACATCCGAAAATCTAAAATGAATAAATAATATGTCACGGCAAAATCAAATTATATATACAAGGTATGTCGCAAAGTAAACAGGACTTGTGAAAGATATCTGATACAAGTAGCGCCATCTGTTATCGGATAGGTACTTCATTCATTGATGCCTTGTCAAAATTTCATGACAATCGAGCCACTTCACGCGGAGTTATTGCGCTCAAAGTGACAGTACCTGTTTAGCATCGGTCGAAAAATGAGCATCGAACAATGAGTCAATATTAAGTTCTGTGTTAAACTTGGTAAAACATTTACTGAAACGCATCACATGTTGATGCAAGTGTATGGTGATGATTATTTATCTCGTAGCCGAGTCCACGAGTGGTTTACATAGTTCAAAAAAGGTCGAGAGTCGCTGGAAGACGACGAAAATGTTGGCCAGCCAAAATTTGTGATTACGCCAGAAACCGTCGAAAAAGTGCGTGAATTGTGTTTTTTTTTTGTTTCAGATTTATTCAGCATTAATGCTACAATGTCCATAATATCGATATTACACAGTATATCACAAAATATATTATGACTTCAAGACTACATATTTTTATACAAAATTTCACTACTATGAATTCTGGTTTTCCAGGAGATATTTTTTTAATTTCCCTTTGAACATTTTCAAACTGACACACATCTTGATATCATTACTTAATTTATTAAATTCGTACAATCCCTTTTGAAATACTGACTTGCTCGTTATATTGCTACTGCAGTTTTGTAAATGAAAGTTTACACTTCCTCTAGTCGAATAATTGTGGCACTCATTGTTCAATACAATAAAATTTTCTAAGTGATTTGATAGAAGATGATTTTTCAATTTGAATATGAAAATGAAAACCAAGTAGGCTATGAAATTTTTGATATTTAACAATTATCGTAGTTATTTCAGCATAAAATTTATTCTAGTATATTTATTTTTATTTTAGATGATTCTCATAGCTTCATTTTGTAATTCATATTTGTAATTTTGAAAATACAGTTTCATTTGCAGTGAAGTGTTGTACACCTTTTTTTTAGAATAAACGCTTAGGCTATGCGAAATTCTATAAAAGTAATTTATTTTCTTGGATATTTTTGAAATAATATATTCATAGTGCCCTTCAAATTTTAATCTACTGTCTACGTATATGCCCAAATATTTAAATGATTCGATTGACACAATTTTTTCATGATTAATTGTAAGATTTATCGTATTTTGATCTAGAGGTTTTCCTTTTAGCATATATTTTGTTTTGTTTGTGTTTAGTTTAAGTTTATTCACGTTTTAACCAATTTGTTACGTTTTTCATATCATTATTTAACAGCTCTATTGCAGTTTCAATGTCTTTACTTGATATATACAGTAATGGACAAAAGTATATAGACAAATAGGAATATAAATTTTAGAAAACGAATTCATATATCATTGCTCCATAAACAAATGCGTTATTAGTAGAAAAACTAAATTCCTTGTTTTTACATTACCTGCAATGAACACAATACAAGTCTGAATATAAGCACTTTTTTATGAGGGACAAAAATATGTAGACAAATTCTTTTCAACATTAGATTAGTACAGTTTCGTGTCAGAAGAGGATTAGTTTGTGTTCATCAAGTATTGTGGAATAATAAGACCATGCCGCGTGGTCCAGAAATTTCTTTCGATGTGAAAACTAAGACCATTGAGTTAGACAAAGATGGTCAACGTCAAGTCGACATTGCCAAAAATTTGAAGCTGAAGCGTAAATCAGTTTGGGCAATATTTAACAAATATAAACAAAAAGGTATCTTGGAAGCCTCTAAGAGAAGTGGTCGGCCTAGAAAACTAAATCAGTTAGATTAACAAAAGTAATTTCGTCCAAAGATCCGTTTAAAACCCCAAGACAAATAAAAGCCGAAATCGAGACAAAAGGAATTGTCAGTGTTTCTACGAAAACTGTAAGTAGAAGATTAATGGATTTGAAGTTATTTACACGTCATCCGAGTAAGAAGCCACTAATCTCGACGAAAAACCGTAAGGACCGATTACAATTTGCACGGTTGCATCTTGATTGGAGCATCTGTGACTGGAAGAGGGTATGTTTCAGTGACGAATCCAAGTTCAATATGTTTGGATCAGATGGTGCCCATTACGCTAGACGTCGTAGTGGACAAAGATTGAACCCCAAGTACGCTTTGCCCGCTGTCAATCATGGAGGCGGGTCTGTTATGGTTTGGGGGTAGTTTTCGGGGTTTTGGATGGGACCTTTACATAGAATAGATGGCGTTATGGATAAGTTTGTATACACAGACATACTAAAGTATGTCATGTTACCCTATATCGAAGACAATATGCCCTTAAGATCAATCTTCCAGCAAGATAATGACCCGAAGCACACTTCAAATCTCGGAAATAAATTCTTTCTGGATGAAAAAATACCAGTTTTCAAATGGCCTTCACAGTTTCCCGATATAAACCCCATTGAAAATCTATGGGAATACTTAGATAAGCAAATACGAGATAGTTGGGGCCTCGGTTGGCCGCGTTGGTCAGAGTGTCGTGCTACTGATCAGTCGGCCGGCCGGGCCGCGAGTTCGAATCTCGCCTTCGCCATGGATGTTGTGACGTCGTGTGTTTGTCCATAATTAGAGAAATATAAGTAACACACATCTGTGGCAAATGGATAACTTCCAATGCCAAAAAAAAAAAATACGCGATAAAAATTGTTCAAACAAGGATGAACTTTTTGCCGCTTTAGTGCAACAGAGAGACAGATTCATGAATCTTATATCAAGAAACTTCTACAATCTATGCTGATACGATGCCAGGCGGTGATTGATAATAATGGTTATGCTACAAAATATTAACACAAACATGGTTGGTTTTGTATAATTCAATGAACTTTGCTTCTTTTTTCTGTAATTGTTTTGCTTTGTCTATATATTTTTGACCTTCATAGTTCCAGTTTTTTTCAGTTAATTTTGTATTGAAGGGAGTCTAATAAATTTATTTATGTATAAGTGTATAATTATTATGCTATAATGAATTAGGTATACAGGTTGGTGTATTAATAAAACAAGTTAAAAAAGAAATAGATCACAATATTAATTTGTCTATATACTTTTGTCCATTACTGTATATTAATGCATCATCAGCAAATAGTTGAATTTTGCAGTGTTGTAAAATATCAGGAATATGGTTAATATATAAAATAAAAAGTAATGGACCCATTTGCTACCCTGTGGCACACCTACCGAAATGTTTTTTATGTTTGATAATGTATTGCCAATTTTAGTTCTTTGACTTCTATTGATTAAATAATTTTGTAAGAAGTTGAATACTGAACCTTGAAATCCAAAGCAAAGCAATTTCGTGATGATGAATTACTCCTATAGAGTTTCCCATAATCTTAGTATGTATTCCAAAAAAATTGTGTATAACACTATAATTCTTCCCCATTTTTTATATTGTTCAACCATCTTGTTTACAGCAAATGAAAACACATTTTCAAAACTACAAAATCTACAAAATAAAGTTATGAGAATCATTTTAAACAAAAACAAATATGCTAGGATTAAGTCTATGTTAGAAGAACTGCAGTGGTTGGATGTGAAAAATTTCATATATTATTCAGTTCTCGTTGTCATATTCTAATTAAAATATCGTTTATTACCATCGCATTTAGAGAACTTCACAAAATTAAATAGTGATTATCATAACTACGAAACTAGAGGCAGTATATATTTTCATCTGCAAAATTGTAATAGTAGCATAAATAGTAAATCTACATTTCAAAAGGGAGTATTTGAATTTAATAAATTTAATAATGATATTAAACAGAGTTCGAATTTGAAAATGTTTAAGGTCGAATTAAACAATCACTTTATGATTAATCAAAATGCATAGTGATGTAATTTTAATTTTAATAGACAAGAATGTAAAATTACAGAAAATGGATTGAAGAAAACTATGTAACCGAATCATTATACAAAATTGACATTGTAGCATTAATGCTAAATAAATCTTCAACAACAACAACAAGGCCAAAAAAGACAAAAACTTTCTGTACGAAACGTGGTTTTCAATACGATTCCGGAACCAAGCGTTAAAGTGCCGAAGGGAAGCACCCAAGCGAGCCAAATCCGAAAAAAACCGTTTGGAAAAGTCCAAAGTGAAGACAATGTAAATTTGTTGCTACGATACGAAGGAAATTATTCACAAATAAATCGTTCCACTGGCCCAAACGGTTAATGTTGTGTTTTATCTTGGTGTTATGAGACGTTCGCTGACGCGTATTTGTTGTGTTCGGTCAGAATATTGTGAAGAAGGAAGCTGGCGCTTATTGCACAATAATGCACCATTTCATCGATCGACGCGACGCTTGTGTCCGATTTTTGACAAAAAATGGCATTTTAACCATCAACCACTCCCGATATTCTCCTGATATGGTACCGTGCGACTATTTTCAGTTCAGTAAACTACATTTGACCTTGAAAGGACAGCGGTACTCCGAGGCCATCCAAAAGGCATTGACGACCATTTTGAAGGTTTGAAGGACATCCTGGTCAATGTGCTAAAATCATCATTCGAGAACCTTTTGGTCCGTGCAAATCGCTGTATTGCCTCTAAGGGAGACTATTTTGAATAAAATAAATTCGATTTTCCGAAACAAAAAATGTTTTTTTCTCTTTGTCCTGTTTACTTTGCGTCAGACCTTGCAATATTCATACTAATATACTTCGCATTCTATCTTGTTTCTTATTGAAAGTGGTGGATAATTTTAACTTTTCAATCAGTTTCATCAAATAAATTTGTTTAATCTGACAAATGGATGTTTATCCTTTAGTTATTAATAATGTATTACTTTGGATCCAGTGGTTCAAACTTGCTCAACGCCAAACTTCGTAAAATCTGACCAACTTGAATAAGGTTATGTCTTGCTATTTCTGTGACCTGAGAGGTGCAGATTCCGTACAGTTCAGGATCGATAATCATTGGACAGACGTACTCATTAAAGATTAGTTCTGTGGTAACAGCATTCGCCTGAAAAATAATAGCTTTGTTAGGAAATATTATTCCACTCTGTTGGAACTGCTAGACTTCTCGTATCATATGATCACAAAAGAAGGAAATGAAATGTGTGCTTTAAATACATTTTTGGAATTGAATTATTGTAACTTCTATTAAATTTGATAAAAACATAAAATATGTTATTAAAATTATCGAATAAATGTCGAATATACAGTTAAGCCTATAAAAACCAACAACTGTGACAAGTGGTGTAAGTAGTAATTTCTTTTTTTTTGGTGTGATTGTCAATTGATGTTTTTGTGTAAATAAAAAATGTGAATATGAACAAAGTATAATATTATACTTCAAACTAAAAAAGAATTGCAAATGCAACGAAGGCAAAAAATATGAATTAAGTGCTCATCACGACCCGGTGATTCACAAGTGTTGACCAAAAATGAAACATCATACACAGGACAGCATTTTAAGGGGGGTCTTCTAGGTAATATTTTTTTCTTGAGGTCTTCATTAAAAAGTGTTGAAGTTTAAAAATAAAAAACAATTTTTTTTAATACCCTCAAAACTGCCAACTGGAATGAACTAAAATTTGGTATGTGGATGTCCACATTTGCACCAGTGGCGGAGATACAGAGGATTAGGGGCATTATTTCCCAAATAAAAATAGTACGCCACTGCTTTTTTTCTAATTTTACCTTCAATTTGCTACAAATAATTACTCTTCGGCTTTTTTCCTAGAGAGCGCTGTTTTCGTAAAAATAAAACAAATTAGATCATTCATGAAGAGCCGAGATACAATTAGTTTCAAAATAAAATAGGAGGCCTTGATACCAACTTGACGTTTCTTGGGAGATAGTTTGTCAAAATTATGTGTTATACGGTTGTTGTTGTAACTACTATCGTTTTTTTTTTGTAAAACTCAAGTTTGTTTTTTCCATTTTTGAGTGTTGTGAAATGGAATTTAGCAATGATTAGTACGCCGATATTATTTTTCTGTACGGATTCTGTTCAACGTAGATTTCCTAACAGACGACAACCCCAAAGACTTCGGCAATACAGAATTGCCAAACTTCCCGGAGTTAACGGCCATGGTGTCCAGCATACTGTTCAAGAGGAACTGGAAGTGATTAATTTGGCGTTGGATGATCCTAGTACTAGGTGGATTGCAGCCCAATTACCATGTCCCCAAAGTCTTGCGTAGAGAATTTTAAATCGGCAAAATGTTCAATGTCTGCAACACGGCGACGAAGTGCAACGGCGAAATGTTTGTAAGTGGTTACTGCAAATGCTTGTTCCGGAAGTTGTTGTATCCAGTATACAACTTCTTCCCGTTCAAGTGATTGTACATGCGTTAAGGAATACCTCAGTACCGACTGCCGGGTGGCGGTTCAAGTCCGCCAACGGGCCACTTTAGGTCTATTTAATATCATTAACACGTAAAAAGTAGGTGGTAAACAAGGACCAGGCGGTACCACCCGCTAGCTTTTCCCAGGGTGTCTTATAAATGTCCGCATGTTTCCACACCTAAGCTATGAAGTCGGTTATCTTCCAAAACAAAGAAATTAATGATGATGGATCCCTCGAGCACTAAGAACTCCGGACGTAAACTCACTCCACTCTCGGAATGTCCGGGTGGAGGGTGGGCTCGAGGGAACAACATCGAAGATAACATTTGTTTTTAGAACATCTGCGGGATTAACAGCAAAATTGATGCTACCTGTAATCCAATCGTCCCGCCGTGCTTTTCTTGGCGGAGACAAAAATCTCAGAGTCTGCACCGATTAACCATCTTAACTTCCCAAACTACGAGGTGCACTCCAATCTGAGAAAGAACGGGGGAGTTGTGGCTTTTATCCGCAGCAGTCTTTCCTGCTCCAGAGATGCTTCTTTGGAATCAGTCCGGAAGGACATTCTGTGGTCTCGCCTCAACTCCAAAACATCACCTAAATTTATCTGCTGCCTTTATCGCTCTCACTCGGACATAACTGGGATGACCTACTCGAATACCTCGCCGTCCAGATCGACTTCTTGAACGTCAATCACCCCGCTTCAGAGGTAGTTCTTCTCGGTGATTTCAATGCCCATAATGAGCTCTGGTTAGGCTCAAACAAGACAAATGCAGCAGGTCGTGCAGTCGAAGCGAAGAGAATTATATAGAAAATATGTTAATGATGTTCCGTTAGTAACGAGAGTATGAATGTGGTATCAACACGACGGTGCCCCACCGCAAGTTCGTCGTAACAACCGCATGATTATATAATCAGTTTAGACAACGATGGATTGGCAGAAACGGACCCGTACATTGGCCTTCGAGCTCTCTTGTATTTAAATCCCCTGGACGTCTTTTTGTGGGGCGCTTTTAAACAACTAATGTATGCTGAACAGATTAATACTACTGATCCGTTACAAGAAAAAATAGATAATGCGTTTCATCAAATTCAAGCGACAACAAATTTTGCGGCAATACGTTTTTCTTTATTAAGATGCCTCACTTGTATCCGTCAGAATGGTTGTCTTTTTGAGCATTTATTGAAATAAAGCTTTGATTATCTTTTTTTAATTTTACGAAAACGATGCACTCTAGGAAAAAACACAAGAGTAATTATTTGTAGCAAATTAAATTCGAAAAATTGCTCGTTTCGAAAAAAAAAACAGAGGCATACTATTTTTATTTTGAAAAAATGCCATGAATTCCTTGTATCTCCACCAATGGTGCACGTTAATTTTAGGTAAATCCAAATACCAAATTTTAGTTCATTCAAGTTGACGGTTTTCAAGATATTAGAAAAAATGCTGTTTATTTTCAAACTTCAACACTCCATATGTTTTTAATGAAGCCGTCGAGGAAAAAATGTTACATAGAAGGCCCCCCTTAAGATGCGGTTCAGTGTGTGATGTTTCATTTTTGGTCACGACTTGTGAATCATATATACAGAATCGTCAGAAAAAGTCAAACTGGCTTACCTGCTTGGAATTGAATGATTTTTCTACGATTTTTGAAACACGACTAACAATCCAGGACAAGGGTTTCGGAAAACTGTAAACATTTTCCAACAAATTGTTCATGAAGATATTCGCGAAATGTATGAGCCTATTTGCTACTTCCATTCGAAATTCTTCAGCAGTTTGAAATACACTTTGTATTTCGTTTTCATTCGAGTTATACCTGCGAATAAGTATAATTTAATGTATAAGTCTAAAATCCAGTATTTTAAAAAAATAACATACCTCATCAAGCTCTTATCTGGATCAATATCCAAATAGAAGTCATTGCAAGACATCATTTGAATTATTGGTATTTCCAAAGTGGCACTTAAAAAGTATTTTGCTGGCTGCAGTATTTCATGGAATAAGAAATATAGCTGCTTGAATGAACAAACCCTCTGCTTCAGCACTCTGAAACAGCAAAATGATATTGTCCAAGGGATAGAAATGAACCATAATTTCAGTCAATTCTAACGGATACTCCTTACAGTTTTTGTCTCTATTTATTTATTTACTCATGTTTGGGTTGCAACAGAATGTGAATTCCAAAAACAGCACCCGCTGCTTACTATAGTGATGAATTAAAAGATACATAGATTACAAAATCTCCTTGCTGAAATGCCGCGTATAGCCCTTGGCCCGACTAACGCCCTGTGTTTCTATAAATATGTCTGGCAGCGGTGGACCTAACACCTTCAGCTCAATTTTTTCTTCAAATCTGTATTTCCAGAATCGTTTTACGCTGATAAGTCTGTAAACCACATCCATTGTCTTGCACTACCCTTCTACACAGCCACAGTCAGTCAGTGAGTCACTAGTCACTCAACGTAAGACCCAAAATAACTGAATAAAAAATTATTCGCATTCAAATTTTAATCCACGTCACGCGACAGGACCAATATGCCAATACTGAGGACCGACCGACCAATCAGATAACGTATTTCGCATTAGATCTGTACGGGTCTGCGTAAATTGCAGCAGATGCTTATACATAAATCGCGCATTTGATTTTGTAGAGAGAGACAAAAGCAAGCGCGTGCGGCTTGTATCGAAGTAGTGCAGAGACCCTTTTCAAGTGGCCCATGAATAATGTTACGCTGCGGTCGCGATGAAAATGACAAGTACATAATTGGTCGATTATAATGCTGCAAAACCGACTCGACGCCGTGTCTTGCGGGGGCAGGCCGCTATTGTTTCTATTTGTGTGATAACATGGAAAATAAATAATGATCAAATTACTACTGCTTTTTTCTATTAAGACAAAAGTTTTGGTAGTTCTGCAGCTCTGCAGAACTTAAGGGGCAGCCGCCCCTGGATGGTAGCAAGTACAGTGTTAAGGCTATTTTACTCCACAAAGGCAGCAAGAAACCATCGATTCTTGTTGTCCATTCCAAAAATGTCAGACACATACGAGACAATGAAAGAGCTACTTCAACTGAGTAACTACAGTTCATATAACTGGAAAATATGCTGTGACTTGAAAGTTGTCGCTATTCTGACTGGTCTGCAGGGTGGCTGCGATTGAAAAGTGAAAAAGGCTTTTGGGATCAAGACATGATGATCGAATATTGCTGGATGCAACTTCGTGAAGATTCCATACACCATAAGAGAAAACGTTTGAGAGTGTGAAGGCGTATTTTAGACCCTAAATGTAACTGTGTCAAATACTGTAAGATCGAATGTGTTCGCATTACGCCTCATAACTTCCACATATTTTGTCCGATTCAGGCAAACTTGCGCTTGTTATGTAGGTGACAAAATTATCTTTAAGTTTACATAATTTATGTTAGTATAGAAAAATGTTTTGCAAAAATCTCGCAAACGGTTCTTTGTAAAAATAAATGAGTTATTTCCGTTTTCAGCGACCTCAAATTAGTATTTCGTGTAAGCTAGCGTAAATAATCAAAATTCCAAACGTTTATCATAAACACAGCATTACAAAATTATTTAAATCCTGACTGAATTAAAGCAATCCAAATAACCTCATTTAAACAACCTGCAAATGGGGATATGAGTACATCATATAATTTAGGATCTACTATCACTATAATTACCGTATTGGATCTTCACAGTTGACCAACTGCAATTTTGCAAGTTCATACAGCAGAGCCAACATGTGTTTCACATCTTCTGGGAAGAGAAGGCTGCCATAAAGGCTTATAACTATGGTCTCCAAGGCAGCTGAATATCTGTGAGGATCTTCTGAGAGCTGTTCTCCATGAATGAGCCATTTTGCCAACTGTACTGGTCTGGACCTTAACAGTTGCAAAAAATTGCCTAGCTTGACAGCATTCTGTAAAAAATTGTAGGATGATAAGATATCTTCTTAACAAACATCTGATCTATAATTTTGTTGGGGTCAACAAAATGGCTGACAAAATTCAGCAAATTTCTTAGACGGATAGAAGTCGTTTGTAAGAGGTTTTTCAAATGTTGGTGGATGGTGTTTCGAGAAGGAACAGATCGATTCCGATGAATATTGAAGTGGCGACGAAACTCACGTTGTACAGCCGTGGCAGACTCATCATGTCGGATAAAACTATCGTACTCGAAAACGCGGTGCTCAACCATCCACTGCTCCATAATGTCTACTGGTAAAAATGCTAGAAACGCCCGAGTCGAACGGCACTCTCCCCACCACTCTCGCCCGAATAGGCTGAGAGTACTAGCTATTTCAAAAACATCCGTCCTCTGTGCCGAACCCTGTAGCACAGCACAATATTTAGAAGCATTATCGGTTAGGTTGTTATTGACTGAGCAGGTGCAAACAGAGTCAATGCCCTCGTTAATTTCCATAGTTGCATTCTGGAGGTCCTCGGGGCAAAAGAAGTAAAGCAGTTTAGTGTCATCCGCATATGACCGTAGATGTCAATTTTGAATAAACTTAGCAATATCGGCCACATAAATTGAAAATGACAAAGGGTCTAAAATTAAGCCCTAGGGCACACCAAAAGTAATAAAGTGCTCATTTGACAAAACTGAGACGCGCTGTGACCGTTAGGTATGATTTGAAAAACTGCACGCTATTTTATCAAAACCATAAAATTTCAGCTTGCTACACATTATTTAAGACAGGTGAAGTGGAAAAACTTATCTTTTAGTTAATAGTTATCGTTCGCCTTCTGAGAGTGTCACTTATTTTTTAGACTCCTTAGAAAATTTTCTCGGTTTTGTCAGTCTCAAAAATGATTATTTATTATTGATAGGAGATCTAAATATTAACATTTTAAATAATTCTGCATACACAAATCTCCTCAAAAATATAATTCACAGTTTTAACTTATCACAAAGGATCAGTGAGCCAACAAGATTCAATTTTTCCACAAGAAAGGCTAGCCTCATTGATATAATCTGTGCTAGTGAGGATCTTACCTCTGTTGATTCTAAATCATGGGGGTTTCTTAAAATCCCTCAGATCATAATTTAATTTACTCAACCTTTCGAAAGTCAAAAATAAATAAATCACGAAAAAGTATTAGATATGGAGACTACAATAATATAGACAGAGATTCCTTCTTGAATTAAGGGTTTCTACTTGGGTGGGAGGATATTTACTATATAAACCAAATCGACCAAAAAAAAAAAATAGAAGTCTTTAATAAAAATATAGTAACTGTTCTGAATAAACATGTTCCGATAAAAACAAAACAAATAACCGAAAAACCTTATGTACCCTGGATAACTCAAAATACAAGAATTTTAATCAGACTAAGAGATAAAGCTCATAAAAATTTCAAAAATCCAAATCACAGGCTCATTTTTAATTTTATAAACAACTAAGTTACTCTCAACAAATAAAGGTAAGGAATTTTGTGACACTACCAAAAAGCTCTACATAACATGCAAGAAAACTCACTCAACTATACCCAAACACTTACAAAATGTAAATGACATACACAATTACTTCCAACAGACCGAGAATTTACCAGACACTGCTTCCCAAGAATTAATCAATACAAAAACAATGTAAACATTAACGATTCTCTTAACTTCCAACTGTTAGACAGGGCCAGTCTAATCAAAATTGTAACTAATATCTCATCAAATGCTATTGGAGAGGAAAGTTTGTCTATGAGAGACCTAAAGTTATGTATCCTATTTTGTACGAATGCCTTGCTGATTATAATCAACACATGTATTTTGGGGGTTATTATTTCCAGAAATATAGAAGAACGCGATTGTTAAACCCTTACCAAAAATAGCAGAACCTAAAGCATTTACAGTCTTGAGGCCTATTAGCATATTACCCGCTACATCCTAAATATTAGAAATGCATATTTATAATCAATTAGATTTTTGTGTGACACAAACGATATCATACTCGACAATCAATCCGGTTTTAAGAAAAACTTTAGCACAAGTACATCATTATTTAATATCTTGGATGATATCAGACACCATCAAGAACAGAAAAATAGTACGTGCATGGTTCTTCTCGATTTTAGTAAAGCGTTCGACACTCTGAATCATGAAATGTTACTAGCTAAGTTACATTACTAGCGGTTTTCGCAGAGCTCCGTAAATCTAATAAAAACATACTTAAGCAAACGTTCAAACTGTGTTATGTTAGCAAATGATTCCGCTATTTACAAAACCGATTTTAGACCTATAAAAAGAGGAGTTCCTCAAGGTTCAATCTTATATCCTTTGCTATTTTCAATCTACATATCTGCCATGGTCAAATCGGTAAAATTCGCAAAGATAAAACAATATGCAGATGACTCACAAATATATCTCCCTCTCAATAAAACCACAATCCATATTGCACAACAACAACTAAATTCAGATCTCCAAAGTATTGACAGATTTGCAAAGCATCACAATCTTAAACTAAACCCCTCAAAATCGCAAGTAATGGTTATGAATAAAAACAGTAATGTAAGAGAACATTTTGAACAAAATTTAGTAATTTCTATTAACAATGCCAGAATCCCCATGGTTCAGGAGACAAAAAATCTAGGCATTATATTTGATAGCTCGCTTGGCTTCGGCAGTCATATAAAGAACAGAACAAATTAGCTTACATGCGACTAAGAAATATAAAATTAAAAAAACATTTATCAGCCAAACAAAAATATTTGTGTAATACCTTAATTTTATCACTTTTTGCATACAAATAGTTCAAAATAGATGCATGAGATTTGCGTTTGGAATTCCATATCGAAACCATATCACTCCTTATCTGAATAACTACAACAAATTTAACATGACGAATCGCAGAAAATATCACATGTATTCTTTTATCTATAGGGTTATAAAAACAGGTCAACCGCCCTATTTAAGAGAAAGATTTGTGCTTTTGCCTCGTCCCCAGAGGAGCAGAAATAATCTCAATTTTATCGTACCTAGGCATAGAACGCATTCCTTTCGACGATCGTTTGCTTATGTGGCGGTTCACTTATGGAATAATTTACGAACTTCAGTTAAAAGCTCATCGTCAAAAACATTCTCAAAACTGACAAAAACGTTGTTACAGAATCATAAGATTTGCAAATAAATAATTTTCTCCAAGATCTTTGACAGAACGCTTAACTGACTTATTGGTCTAAGATCCGAGAAATCGGCACTGCTCGTCTCCAAGATTTAGGAAAGTAGCCTAGACACAAATTGATCATATGGCTCAAGTAAGGTAGTATAATCGGGGCAGACAGCTTAAAACATGAAAATACATATTGTCAATACCCTTTGCATTTGTGTTAAGACCACTGACAACAGTTGTGGTAGTGCTAGGCTCAACCAGAGTGAACGAAAATCTCCGACTGTCGAACTTGTTATTATTATAAAATTTAAGTGTTGCTTCGTCTGACTAAGCAGAATAAAACACCATTTGTCAAAGATCAAAATGACGGATTTGGTATGATGGGATTGCAGAAATATGTCTTGATTGAGCAAATCTAAATAGCGATTCGAATATAGCGGCTATCTTTGCAAAAACGTGTTGATCGCACTTAAAAAGTTTCAGGTGTTTCTAAGATCGCTAATAGCAAATTAATAACTGCCAGCTATAAAGCCCTAGCCCTATCTGAGACAGTATTAAAATCTTTAAAAACTATTCAAAGCTACATCTTAAAAATAATTTTTATAAAAAACAGAAGATATCCTACTTGTCAACCTTATAGTGAAAAAAAACTCTTGCTGTAAGACCATTGTATATTTTAGATGTCTGCTCCTTTATGTATAAAACTTCTTCAATAAGAGAATATGTTAGTCATCCTTACTCAACAAGAAACAATGCTGATTGAAATCTAATAATACCTAATAGTTTCACAAACATAAACTTAAGATAAGATCAATTGACTGTATTGGTCCCACAATCTACAAAATTTTGCCTGGGACACTGAGAATGGTAAATAATCTTTAGTTAGTAGGTAATTTGTGGTGGCAAACCTTGATAGGTTCATAGCTCTCTGTTAGCTAAAAATGCAAATAATTTTTTTTAGGAACCTAAATTTTGAATTGGATGACTTTTTCCTTGTTTAAGTGGGTACAAACTGATACGGCATAAAGTTATATAGACATAATGTTCAAATAATTATTTGACCTGGATTTATTTTGTTTTATTTATTTTATTATAAATTTATTAGGTTACATTACACATTATCTAAGATTGGTGCATATGGATATTTAGTTATCTAGGCACCGCATAAGAAAAACTATATATATATACAGGGTGACTTTGAAGTTAGGTCATTAATTTTCAGATAATGATTGTAGAAGGAAGATAAACCAAAATATGTGTGTAAAAATAAAAAAAAATTAAAAAAAAAAATTACCTTGTTTTATAAAGTATCCTCCCGACAAGTATTTCAGTGCGGACCTGTATTTGATCGTGAGGTCTTGGAGCACCGGCATGCCGTCCATATGTGAGGTCTTAAGTCAAATGATTCACGAACCCGTTGTACTACATTAACAAAGGCACGAGGGGTTGGTTGCACTCGATTGGGAAACCGATCCGCAAACATGTGCCATTTTTTATTTCGTTTGAGCCACGCAATAGCCACCACATCCACTACCGACTGACACTGGCTGTATACAACTGAATGAAATAATTGTAAAAACATCGTTCCAAATTCTTTCGCTTTTTTGTTTCCGATGCGATGAACCGATAAGGCGAATTATATCCGTTGTCGCCAAACACGAGCACATAATATTATTATTGAGACAGGGCGGTACTCAAACTTCCAAAGGGCTATAACTTTGTTACTTTAATTTTACCAGAAAAATGGTAAAGGAAAAAAACATTTCTTTTGATCAGATCTACTCACTGTTAAAATAAATGACTCAACTTCGAAGTATATATACAGGGTGACTTCGAAGTTGAGTCATTTATTTTAACAGTGTGTAGATCTGATCAAAAGAAATGTTTTTTTCCTTTACCATTTTTCTGGTAAAATTAAAGTAACAAAGTTATAGCCCTTTGGAAGTTTGAGTACCGCCCTGTCTCAATAATATCATGTGTTCGTGTTTGGCAACAACGGTTCATCGCATCGGAAACAAAAAAGCGAAAGAATTTGGAACGATGTTTTTACGATTACAATTCAGTTCAGTTATACATACAGTCAGTTTCAGTCGCGTGTGTGTGTGTGTTGCGTGGCTCAAACGAAATAAAAAATGGCACATGTTTATGCGGATCGGTTTCCCAATCGAGTGCAACCAACCCCTCGTGCCTTTGTTAATGTAGTACAACGGGCTCGTGAATCACGTGACTTAAGACCTCACAAGGGACCTCACGATCAAATACAGGTCCGCACTGAAATACTTGTCGGAAGGATACAAGGTAAAAATTTTTTTTTATTTTTACACACATATTTTGGTTTATCTTCCTTCTACAATCATTATCTGAAAATTAATGACTCAACTTCAAAGTCACCCTGTATATATATAGGCAAACATGTCAATTTCCCAATTAACAATTGATTGTATTTCTTGCCCAACTGGTTGTTGGCAATGGCAATGACTACTGCTCGTATATATATATATATATATAAAACCATTATATTTATGGCCATGATGTTGTAATATATTGAATTGAATTTGATTATAACAATTTTTGCACAAAAGTAGCAGGTTTTCTGCGAAGCTTGCGCGGCGGGCGGATCGCTTTGAGGTAGTGATGCTAGCTGGTGACATGTGACATCCTTACTCAGTCTCACACTCCAACAAGATAATTCTCCAAATAAAAAGCGTCTGAGCAGCATAACTTTGTCATTTTTAAAGATATTCAAAAAAATATTCAGTGCTGTATTTCACTTTGCTTAAGACTATCGTTTTAAGAGTGTTTCAAAAAGAGGAAACTTCCTCGTTGTCTATGAACATATGCGGAAAACCACATTGTAAATAAAAAAAAAATATATACAACGAAATGGCTAGTCACAGCTAACTCCAGCATTAATTTGTTAATATAACTGATTATTACTTTTTTAATGCATGCAATAAATGACAGTTAATTGACGTCTGAGGGTATGAATTAGGTTAGTAATCACTTCCTTTTTTTACAGTTTGTCTAAAAATGTACCTGATAATGAATCTCTATCATTGGAATAACCTATTTGTTAATCATTAATAAGAAGCTGTGCACATGCAGTATTTTTAATACCATTATGCACTATTGTGCATTATTATTAGCATTAGAACTAATACCTATCAAGTTCAATTTTGAGAGTCAAGTTCAAATAGGTACAAAGTGAAATTCACTCTTACAAGAACAGTTTCTCATGGTGCTGACCGACTCTCGTATAATTTGCATTGTATTAACTCTCTCTTGGACGGATGCGGACACGAGTAAATGTTCTCGTAACCGGACAAAAAACAAAATAAAAAAAAGCCTTGTCTTATTTTTTTCTGTTGAGATTATCGCTATTGCACTTCTCGCGTGAATTATGAACTTCCCCGAGTTGGTCGGGTTTACCGTTCTCATTCTTTGGGTACACGCTTTCGATTAATTTTTATACAGAATTAGTCTGACGTCTATGCGGAAAAGCAGTGGGCGACAAATCCATGGGAAACATGGCTCCAAACAGAAAAGTTCTGGCAATTAAACAAAAAGTTGAGATTGTTGAAGTTCACTATAAGAAGTTGGGTGTAAGGAATTTATCCAAGCGTTTCAATATTGGAAAAATACAAGCTGCAGATATAATTAAACATAATGAACTCCTTCCAAAGAAATGGATGTCGAACAGCAATTTGAAGGGAAAAAAGAGCGTTTTTGACGGGTGATGGTACCAAAATTGACAAATTGTGTTACGACTGGTTTATAGCAGCTTGTCATAAGGGGATTCCTTTGACAGGTATGTATGCATGTCTTGTTGAAAATCAGGGAGAAACAGAGTCTTTGGAGCTTCTTTCTAAATTAGAAATACGATTTCAAGATACCATTTAAAAAAAAAGGAGGAGACAAACAACAATATATGTTTTGTGTTACTACATATATGTATGTACATACATAAACTGTTTTGTTTCAATTTTAAATTTTTTTTTATTGTATTCTTGAACAGATACAGTCAGGATTGTTGGTGTCCATCCAAAGAGATTTCACCGTATTTATAATATATTAGCCAGCATGCCATCCAAACAACTATTTCATGCAATGTTATAATTTCTGGCTTAAGCTTAAGCCAGTACAAGGCTAGTAACAAATTATATCAAGGGGGCCAGGGGCAGACCTAGAAAGAAAATATGGGAGGGTGGGGCAAGGAAAATTAAATATGTGATGATTTAAAACTAAAACTGAACAACAAGGGGGCGGCTGCATCCATGCTGGATGTTGGCGATTGAAAACTGAAGAGTGGCTACGACAGTGCTCTCTCCCCATAAGAGATACTAAAATAAAGCATTAGTTTGGGATGGCAGAAAATATGCAAGGCCCCCCATAACATTTGCTACTCTTTTTAAGCTGCCACTGGAAATATGAATTACTTCAGCTGATGGTGAAAGCAAAAAATGAGGGTAAGGTCATAGAAATACACAAATATCTTAAATGAGAAATATCTGAAACATGGACATTTTCAAGAAGAGCAGGAGAGGACAAATTTGCATTGCTTATAGCTAAACTTCCTTAGTGAAAATAGCACTATAAGAAGTTCAATATATGCCACTTCATTCTTATTGTATTGACAATTCTACCCTAGAAATTTATCAAACCATGTTTACAAGCATGCAAGAGATGGTGATACATAGAAATATTCTATAAACAATGATGACAAATACAACAGTAACAACAATTTTTCACTTACTGGGAATCCAATCACTTGTTTGGCATCTATAAACTGGGAGTTAAGCAGATGGTCTACTTTTTGATAATTTTGTGTCGATATGTCTCTTTGATAAAGTAGCAACTTCTGTTTATTAGTGAGCCATGCTGATCGTATGATCAACGCTGTTTTATTCCTTACTGCATCGTTTAGCTCCTGGATGATGGTTCTTTCATTCCTGACCAGCAGTTTTTCCTGCCTCAAGCTCAACACCAAATTGAAAACATTCACTTCTTTATTCTCTATGGGCCCATTCTTCATTGTTGCAGCTTAACTGTGAGATTTGTTATACAATTGCTTTAGGCGTAAAATGCTGAACAGTTTCCAATGAATCACAGCGCAGTTTTGCATGAAAGTAGTGCTTAAAGGAAAATGTGTATGTGGGAGGTCATTTTAAGAATACTCCCCCAAATTTGGAATTCTCCAGAAAGATTACTCACTTGCTACGTTCTATATAGAACATATGTTGAATATTTTGGGATCACATCTATTTTCTTTAAATTGTAGGATAACTATGCTCCTAATTAAGGAAAATTATACGGATGTTTTTTTTCACGTACCATGGATATCAAAATAAGATATGACAACCACAAAACATAACTCGCTACGACAACTGACAGCAATGACGTAGCGTCTTATAACTGTTGCCAGATCTACAGAAATTTAACCAGCCATCCGATATTTAGGCTTCAGTTGTCAATGTTTGGCTCGGATGTTATGTAAAATCTGCTTCAGAGATGGCGATAGTGGAGGTTTAAGTTGTAACGGCTTGGCCACGGGGACGGGCGGTGCGAACGACGATGCGGCGGGCGGGGCGACCATTCGCGCGGCAGTTTACCGGCCACGGGCAGTCACGTTCGCCGCCGCGACCAGTACGAGGATGTCTTTTAAGTTTTGCATATAGAAACATAGTAGACCGCGCGGATCGAACGTCAGTACTGAATCTTAACCTCACTCTTTAGTAAACTTAAATTCAAAGTTTCACAACAATACGTGCAGTGTTCTCACTACAGTGTCACCAAGTCATTAGAAAAATGGAACTCAACCGAGAACATTTTCACGCCATAATTTATTACAACTTTCAGAGACAATTATCGCAACAAGAATGCCTTGCTGAGTTATTGTCTGTTTTCGGCAACGAAGCGCCACATCAGTCGACAATTTCCCGTTGGTATGGAGAATTCAAACGTAGACGGGTGAGTCTTAGCGACGATCCCAGGGTGGGTGCACGAAAAACGGCAGTCACCCAGGAAAACGTCGATGCTGTGCGCAAACTCATCATTAAAGATAGACATGTGACATATCGCGAGATTGAGGCGTCCTCGAAGATCTCGAAGACCTCAATTCAAAAAAATTTACACGAAGAATTAGGAGTAAGAAAATTAGTTTCTCGTTGGATACCCCACCTGTTGACTAAAGAGCAGAAAGCAGCCAGGGTTAATTGTTGTCAAAAAACGCTTGACCGTTTCAATTCCGGAAATTCAAAAAATGTGTACAGCATTGTTAGTGGTGATGAATCGTGGAGTTATGAACCAGAAAATAAACGACAGTCGGCTGTTTGGGTGTTCCAAGGTAAAGAAAAGCCAACAAAAGTCATCCGTTCTCGAAGTGTTTTGGAAAAGATGGTCGCGACATTTGTGTCACAAGCGGGTCATATTGCAACATTTCCTCTTAACGAGCAAAGAACTGTTACTGCGGATTGGTATACCACCATTTGTTTGCCAAAAGTCATCACCGAGCTTCGAAAAATCAACCCTGAAAGAAGAATAATCCTCCACCAAAACGTGGAATTATTGGGCCATCCTCTATATAGTTACGATCTAAGTCCTAACGATTTCTTTACTTTCCCGAAAATTAAACACAGACTGCGTGGTCAAAGGTTACAGTCACCAGAAGAAGCAGTTGACGCATTCAAAAATGCCGTTTTTTATCTGCCGGCAAACGAGTGGAATAACTGCTTCGAGCGCATGCACGTATTAATCTTCGTGGAGAATACTTCGAAAAACAATAAAGTCATTTAAAACTACCTACCGTGTTGTTTTATTTCCATACGAAATGTTTGAATTTGTTTAGAAGAAAAAACGTAATCCATCCTTTTTGCATAAAAATAACATTTATCTTCCGGAATAGTTTGCGATTCATATCGGCAAGGTAAACTAGTGTATTTTGCTTCAAAGTGCCTTTTGAACTAACTTTGTATATTGCTCAATAAACTAGTAGTGATGGCCAGAAAACATGTTTTGGGGTAAACAATTAGAAATTCTCAAAAACTACTCGACCAATCTACTCCAATTTTGTTGTGGTTATTTAGAAGTACGAATTTGAAGAATTTCAAATGTCTGCGAGAAACCGTCGTCGCATTACCAACACGTGCCAAAACCTGCAGTTTGCCTCGGTTTTCGGTCATAACTTTTTTCCTATTAGTCGGACCTTTTTACGTATTGTCTCATTTTGTAGGTCTCATAAATACTTAAAAATCTTATAAGGAGAGTTTTTTCGTCCCTGCCAATTATTTCGATTGAATCCCAAAAAACACGTTTTCTCATTCTTTGTTTTCCCACAAAAATTGGTGCACCTTTTTTACGAGCGATGTTTTGAATACCCCCTTGAGCAACTTGCAGCAATAAAACCAGACTTTAGCATTATTTCGCAAACCAGGGGTATTTTCATCTAATATGATTAGACTAATAAATAGTGCTTCGCTGCAACACCAACCCCGAACAAAATCGGTCAATCTTTACACAAATTACTATTGAGCAACAAACAGAACATAAATCACTTTTTAAGTGCAATCTGTATAGCTAATATATTGCTTAGACTTAGATTTGTCACAAGTCACAATACTCGTATATACGTATAAATCGTAAGAATTGTGCTGTAAACGTTAAGTGATGTCGAAGAGGGACAGTGTGAATAATAAAGGATACCGAAAAATCGCAATGCTCAGTTCCTATAGCTATAACGTATAGTTAGTATGCCTCTGTCGCCATGATGTGTCAGAAAGCAACACAATGGTGTTAGATTACAAAAGCAAGTGTCAGACGTCTAGGGGGGGGACGCGCGCCCCCCTCTAAATTAATTTGCCACTGTACCCAGTAAAACTTTTCGAGTATACCAGAATGAGTGTCGAAACCTTCGATTAAATTCTAATTAATATACAACCAGAATTGCGAAAAAAGTGAATACATATATAATTTTAGGTGCCGCCAAAAAATTGTTTTTGACACTAAATATAAAGCATGACATTTAATCAGTTGAGCATATTTTGGGGAATGATAGAACCCATTATTATGAACAACTTTCCCAAAAAAACATGATGGTCGCAAACGGAATTTTTTAATAACTAAATTTTTTCGGAACTATCATTGCCCAAAATATGATTAGTTATTAAATGTCACCCTGTATATTAATATTTCACGAAATTAAAATACTTTACAATAATTGTGTTATTCATCTGATGTGGGTGGCCAGACTTCCAAATAGCTGGCCTAGAAAGTATTTCAGTAATAAAAGCCTCGGTCCATTTTTCAAGGCGAAGAAAACTAAACTCGTTTGATCACTACACTATTCGCCGCGACTGCCGCTCGACTCCGTGGCTTGCGCCATACGGATTCATGCCTTTGTTTCAATCACCCGCCGCGCCGCCAGTCGCCAGCGCGGTTCGCTCGGTACATTTCGCCACTCGCTTCGCCATTCGCCGTTGCGCGTGGCTTGATAAGTATGTACATTTCTATGCATTTATTTCAGTCGCTGGACGCTTCGCCGTTCGCACCGCGCGAGTATTCGCTGTCTTGTTGCCAGGCCGTAAGTTGTATGTGTTGATGATAATTCCACTGGATTCTTGTCTCAAATACACTTACTTGAGATTGAAAGCTATATTAGTTGCGCATCCACTTTTTCTTATACATTCTGGAAATTACATATGCAAATTTGCGGAATTTAAAAAATGAGAGAAATAAGAAATAATTATATTCACTGTACACTGTCGAATTGCAAGTCATATACATGCTAGCAGTAATTACACACAACGTGGGCGCGGTGATGATTTCCCATAATTCTCCTCAAAGCTTTCGAAAACACAAAAAAAAACGTAATGTACTCGTATAACTTTGAACATAGCATGTCTTCAGAAAAGAAAACATAGATAACCCGTCGGGTACAGCTAATAGATATGTCATTAGCAGCATATTGAGTAATGATTTTCTCACACAGGAAATATTACTGATTTTATTATACACATGCAGACCAATACACACAATCATTCAGATGCGATCTTGCTATTCAACCAAATAACCAATTGTCTTCTCACCTTCTCAGAGATGAAAACTATAAGACCTCTCGGCTTCACAAAATATATGCAACCAACAATGCGTGTAGTTGAGCCATTCTTCCATAGATGGACGCTCACAACGATCCTAGTGAGAAAACGTGGAATGACTGTTTGCACCCTAAAAACTACCTAGTTTTCAAAATGACAGGTTTTTTACATAATACCCGTGCGGGGGCCCGAGCAAGACTTCAAGAACTGAAGACGCAATAAACGAAGTTGATGCTAGCATTTGTCACAATCCTCGTTTATCGATTCGCAAGAGCAGCAACCTTAAGCCTTACTAAATGCCATCCCTACAAAATTCAAATTGTGCAGGCAATAACGGAAAATTACATTTTAGGAAAAAAAAACTTGTGCCAGACTGTCTTTGAGAGATTTCGCATATTGGATATGGTGCAAACTGCAATGACGAGATTCCACGAGTGTGGTGAGACGTGATGGAGGTCATCTCGAGGACAGGATTTTAAAAAAATGATATCCGCATATATGGTCTTTCAATTGAAATAAATATAGTTTTGGTAAAATGCAACGTTTTATTGTTATTCAATTTCAAAATCCAAACTCTGTCGTGAGACACCCTCTACTACAGAAGTGTAGGTTGGATTGGTTGACTTCGTGTGCCGTTTTGTTCCCTCAGGTTACACCCGTATCCACATGTATGGGCATGTGTGTCTACTTTTGTAGTTGCGTATGTGCATTCATTTAGGGCCTGATAAAGCCAATTAGCGGAAATATGTATTGTTCAAGTTACCTATTATATTTTCTGCTTGAATCCACTTTCCTTCTTGCGGATTTTGCCGTCATTTTTCTATTTGTTAGAGTGATTTGAATGATGCAGCATTTATATACCTTTGCCTTGGGATGGCGTTATTGTACTATTTAAAATCAATGTTGCCTTACTTCTATAATCATGACATCCTGTATTTTGCTACCAAATGTCATTTCACTGGAATTACCGATTATATTCATATTTTCGCTGTGAAAACCATATAATCTTTACAAATACAATACATTAAAAAATAACATCATATTCATTAATTTATTGCAATGACACGATACATAACCATAAATACAGTCTAAAGAGATAAGTTCAATACTGTCATCAAACTCTTAAGTGACATAGTACAGTACTGTACAGAACAATCTTATTTCCATCACGGAAACACTTGAGTATACATTAATAAACATCTTTGTTTGAAGTCCTTAAAAAAATAAACTTTATCATTAATAATAGCAGATGATGGTATTAAGTGTCACTTTTCCATAACTTTATAGTTTTATCATTCTCCAAAGCCGCTGATGCAATTATATTTTCTGTCGGGTGGCAGGTTGTGCAGAGGACAACATCTGAAATAGAAAGTTTATGTTAGAAAGCACACAGTGTTGCCCAACGAAAAGGTCGCACCCCCATTTGGAGTCTCCTGGCATTTTTTGAGAAAAACGCTCTGACACGGTAATTTTGATTCCTAGGAAGATGTCTTTTCAACTATAGCCGGACGAGGGATGTCTTTTAAGTTTTGCATATGGAAATAAAACAACACGGTAAGTAGTTTTAAATGACTTTATTGTTTTTCGAAGTATTCTCCACGAAGTTTAATACACATCTGCATGCGTTCGAACCAATTTTCGAAGCACTTATTCCACTCGCTTGCTGGTAGATCCAAAACGGCATTTTTGAGTGCGTCAACTGCTTCTTCTGGTGACTGGAACCTTTGACCACGCAGTCCGTTTTTAATTTTCGGGAAAGTAAAGAAATCGTTAGGACTTAGATCGGGACTATATGGAGGATGGTCCAATAATTCCACGTTTTCTTCCGTTAAATACAGCCTTGTTTTTTGGGCTGTGTGCGAGCTTGCATTTTCTTGGTGGAGGATGATTCTTCTTTCAGGGTTGATTTTTCGAAGCTCGGTGATGACTTTTGGCAAACAAATGGTGGTATACCAATACGAAGTAACAGTTCTTTGCTCATTAAGAGGAATTGTTGCAATATGACCCGCTTTTGACACAAATGTCGCGACCATCTTTTTCGAAACACTTCGAGAACGGATGACTTTTGTTGGCTTTTCTTCACCTTGGAACACCCAAACAGCCGACTGTCGTTTATTTTCTGGTTCATAACAGTAAATCCACGATTCATCACCACCAACAATCCTGTACACATTTTTTGAGTTTCCGGAATTGAAACGGTCAAGCGTTTTTTGGACACCAATTAACCCTGGCTGCTTTCTGCTCTTCAGTCAACAGGTGGGGTATCCAACGAGAAACTAATTTTCTTACTCCTCAATCTCGCGATATGTCACATGTCTATCTTCAATGATTACTTTGCGCACAGCATCGACGTTTTCCTGGGTGACTGCCGTTTTTGGTGCACCCACCCTGGGATCGTCGCTAAGGCCCGTATCGTCAGTCGTCCCTACAATTGTAAGGCGCGTTTATGGCCTCCTCGATTGTCATTCTCCTTTCTCTCCTTCAAACATTTCTAGATTACACTTGTCCCGTGTCAGCGTCAGCGCTCTCCTATTGTGAAGATATGTTTTCTTTTTAAATTGTAGGAAATTTCAAGCTGATAAAACATGATATAACTCAAAAGCAAGCACAATTTGATGCAAATAGATGTTTGTGACATAACCTCAAAATAGAGTTCTGACACGGAGAAGCAGAAAACTATGACAATCAAGGAGGCCATAAAGGCGCCCTACAATTGTAGGGACGACTGACGATACGGGCCTTAGACACACCCGTCCACGTTTAAAGTCTCCATACCAACGGGAAATTGTCGACTGATGTGGCGCTTGGTTGACGAAAACAGACAGTAACTCAGCAAGGCATTCTTGTTGCGATAATAAATGAAGGGTCGGCCGGAACAACGTGCTATATAACATTTTTCTATAAAATAAGATTTCCGTCAAACAACGTAGTATGTGCCTATTGGGACCGGTTGACAACATAGACCCACCTGTTTACTCGCATCAATCACTGTGACGCGAATTTTTAAAGCGCGCCATTTCAGTCTTCCGCGTAACAAGGTTTTATGTACGTAAACAAAAAGAATATCTATGGTTTATGAACCATTCCAGTGGATCGATGTCATTGCTAAAGCCAAAGTTAAAAATCCTTTTAAAGTTGTCTGGATGCACCAAGCCTTCTTTGAGAATTTAACAGCTTTGGAATATTGTATATGGAAATACCCCAAATGTAAAATTACACAAGGATTGTGGCTGCAACTTACTGCTGATTCTTCAGCTAGTTTGAGAATGAGAAAATCTGATATTATGCAGCCCTGGTATTCATTTCCCATAAGCAATCGTAAAAGAAGAGAAACAATGACCTTTGCCACTGATATCATATCATCTGAAAAATTATCTATAATGTATATATCTCAACCTTCTTCCAATCAAAGATGAAAAATTAAAAAACCTTGAGGATACGAGTGATTATATTCCGCTTAAGTATGTAACATTTTATGAGAAATTAACTGCAACCCAGTAATATTTATTTAAGTTTCAGTTTTGGTTTCGAAACACGTTGATGAACTTAGAACGTATTTTTTTGTTATTAAAAATATGTTACTGTGTACTTTGGTTCCCTTAATAAATAGAACTGCTGAAAATACTTGTTTTGCTTATAGTCATTTAAAGCCTCCCTGTAACAACGTTTTAAGTAACGTGATCATACAACCTTGTTACATGCGTTTTCCATAAAAATGGTTCCCATAGCTGCAAAATGGGTATCACATTTGTAAATTACAATAACCTTGTATAACCATTGTTCCTTTAATATGCTGGCCAACTATAGACGCAGTCATTTGAACAAAATGGTTCAAATTTGTTTTTCTTAATTTCGGCCACTGAGCTTTTTTGTTACATACAACGTTGTTCCGGCCGACCCTTCAATTGTCTCTGAAAGTTGTAATAAATTATGGTGCGAAAATGTTCTCGGTTGAGTTCCATTTTGATGATGACTTGGTGACACCTAAAAATTCACTGTAGTGAGAACACTGCACGTATTGTTGTGAAACTTTGAATTTCAGTTTATTAAAGAGTGAGGTTAAGATTCATTACTGACGTTCTATCCGCGCGGCCTACTATGTTTCTATATGCAAAAGACATCCCTCGTACAATAAAGGATGATCTAAAAATAAAATATTGCGCTACACGTTGGATTTGTAAATGGAAACTCCCATTTTTCTTTTAATTTTTAGATTTTGCGAGAAGTTTTTAGTAACTTTTGTATAAAATAGTGTATACCTTATCTTCGATCGTTATGAAGCTGAGTTTATAATAAAATTCGCCTAACTTAATACTATTAATATCGGAATGCATGGCAAAAAATAATAGTCATGTATACCAGAGCAAGATCATTTAATTAGCATCAGTCAGTGTCATCGTATGTCATAGAAACTCTTTGTCTTTCATTTCAAATTGTTAAGTTGTGTTAAATCTTGAACAATGACTTATTCCATTCAAGAAATGGTTGAAATAACAAAATGGGAGCATTGCAAAAGCTACTGTCCGGCTATTTAATGTGTTAAACAAATTATTTTTAACTATGCAATAATCAGTATTATAAACTTTGGAATTTGTATCTTGCCTGTTGTGAATAGAGTATAGTGATGCCCATATACACTGTTATCAGCTCATGTTTCATTTTCTACCTTCTCAGCTAAGAACATATTTATCCAATAACGCTTCTGTTGTCATTAAATTTGAGCTGTGGTTATATACTTTCACTGTTGTAACATATTTTTGTCAGAATCAGTCAAAATAAATTGAGTCAGGTAAATTATTAGCCTTACTATTATTATTAGGACAGATATTGTAAGATTTATCAAGTCCCAAAGGTTAATGAGGGCAGGATATACTGAAAGAAGAGACAATGATGCACTGACCAAAAGGATTACTGAATGGAAGCCGACGACAGCTAGAACAAGACCAAAAGTAAGATGGGAAGACCAATTATGCACAGACATTGAAACCCTTAGGTGCTAAGACGGTCCCTGACTGTCGTACGCGGGGGTACTACCCGGCAGATCTCGTCTTCTAGTTCATTATCCAGCGTATCCTTGAATATATTGACAGTTGTTACACTGACGGTTTTTCACTAGGAGAGTTAGATGAGTATTCCACACGATTTGAAATGAAAGAACCAGGCAGTTTCCTTATGGAAAATGGCATTCGCTTAATTTGTCGAAATTTCGCATAGATGTACTTTTCAACATGGCGATCAAAAAGTCGCAATGGGGCCAACACCCTGATACCTCTCCTTTACCTTCTACGGAACCCAGAAACCTCACAGTAGGCATTATTGTTAGATATGGAAAAACACGTATTAAAATAATATTATCAGAGAAGAACTGTTAAATAATGATGAAAAACATAATTATTTGGTTGAATGTGAATACACTCAAAGACAAACAAAACAAAATGTATGCTTATAGGAAAGTCTAGATGAAAATACGATTAATCATGAAAAAATTGAGTCAATGGAAACATTTAAAGATTTGGGCATATACATAGTAAACTAAAATTTGAAGTGCACTATGAATATACTATTTCAAAAATATCCAAAAAGATTAATTAATTTTATTGAATTTTGCATAATTTTGCGTTTATTCTAAAAAAAATGTGTATAACACTATCATTCTTCCTCATTTGTTATAAAGTTCGACTATTTTATTCAGACAACTGTATTTTCAAAATTACAAAATAAAGCTATGAGAATTACCTTAATTAAATAAATATACCAGAATAAATTTTATGCTGAAAGAACAATGGTTTAATATAAAAATTGCAGAACCTACTTGGTTTTCATTTTAATATTCAAGTGAAAAAATCATCTTCTACCAAATCACTTGGAAAATTTTATTGAATTGACCATGAGTAAAATAGTTATTCTTTCAGAGCGAGTATATACTTTTATTTACAAAATTGTAGTAGCAATATAACAAACAAATCAGTATTTCAAAAAGGATTGCACGAATTTAATAAATTAAATAATGATATCAAGATATGTGGCAGTTTGAAAATGTTTAAAGGAGAGTTGAAAAAACATTTCAAGGAAAACCAAAAATCATAATCAAATTCTGTATAAAAATATGTAGACATGAAGATGTGATATACTGTTCAACATTGATATTGTAGCATTAATGCTAAATAAATCCACAACAAACAAAGAAGTAAAACATACTGTTGTCAGGATTTCTCAAAGCCTGTCCAACGGTGATCATGGATTTGACCTTAGCAGTGACCTTGAAGGTTATGGTCAAGGTCAGGTAGATTTTTATAAGTCGACCGTCCTACCAGGAAAATGGACCAAGCGATACGAGGGGACTTCCTGCCTGTTGTCTATGCAATGAACATAGACATGTACAAAGGGTACTTACTATAAAGGTTTTGCAATACAGCTTTATTTATTAACTTATTTTCCTCTCAGCAGTAATGCTTTCCTCTGTTACTGACATTCGCGGCCTTCCTTCCTTCTCAGCGTCCTCCAGACTGGAATTGCCCCTTAGGAATTATCTGTACCACCTGAACATACTAGTACGATGAGGACAATCATTCTTTAATGCAAGCGTCATTTCTTCTAAGCAGTGGTCTATGCTTAAACCACCGGTAAAGTTATACCGTAAAACTGCCCTTATCTCACTACGTGACCACCATGCCATAGTCCTCACCTTACGCTGTCAATACGAATGAACAACTAAATCAACAGACATGCTGCTGGCGGCTACTATGCACTCATGGACACCTCCCAACATGCAGCCTCCTGCGTCCGTTTGTTAAGTCATATTGCAAAACTTTTATAGTACCCTTTGTATAGTAGGGTGACTTTGGGGCCTAAAAAGTCTGCCAGACAGTTAAAGCAAGACCCATTACCGGTCAGTTAGTCAAAATAAGACACATCACTGCCAAGGCCAGGCAGCAGCGGTGGCCGCAGTAGTAGACTCTTCGGTCTCCTGATCAGTCGCCGTGCGCTGTGCGGGTTCGAGTCCCGTCCCAGGGGAAATTTTTCTCTTGGCTATGGATGTTGTGATTGTCCGTAAGTGGTAGACGGTCTCTGACTGTCGAACGCGGAGGTACCACCCGGCGGATCTCCTAGGCGGAGCCAGAATGTGTGCAGTTCCCTCGCCAGAGTCCGTGTGGCGTTCCCCCCTTTCCCATGTATCCCCCTATAGCCCCACGGTACCCAATGGGTGCTTAGGCCTTAGGCATTCGTGGTAGTTGGAGTATATAAAAAAAATAGGATGTTTCACTTTTAAAATTGACTTGACTTTGGCAATAACGGTCGAGTTCAAATCCATGTTCATTATTGGCCACTCTGGATTAAATCTAACAAAAGTACATGCCACTTCTCTGTCAACATTACAAATTATTACTTTATCCGTGTTAAAATTATTCTCTCTATTTTTTTATTTCACCTCAGATATTACTAGCTTGAGACCCAGTGAATTGTGATCAAAACAGCAGTCCATCAGTTTCAACAATGAGATCCAAATAGTTGCAAAATCTATAGAACAAAATAATTATAAATTAGATTGTTTCTACTTGACATGAATTATTAATTACCATGTCACAACAAGTGTGACAGATATAAACATTATATCCATCAAGTTTCAACAACGGTTCAACTGTTCCATAGTATTTTGTAAATTACGACTATCATTCTCACAAAAACCTTTATGATTACCTGTGTGTCCTTGCAGTTTCTGTACAATGTCTTTAGTTTGAAGGTTCCAAATATACACCATGTTATCCTCTGATCCGCTCACGATCCATTTACCTCCAGTCACTGAGAAATTGGCGAAAATACAATACTTTTCATTTTTGTGTCCTGTATATGTTTTCAGACATTTGCCTTTTGCATAATCCCATAATTTCAATGTGTTATCTAACGTTGCTGCAAGGATATACTTTCCATTTGGAGAAAATTTCACAAAAGATACTGGTGGGTTGTCATCATCAATAAGTGTTTTCAGGCATTGCCCTGAAGCTGTGTCCCATATGCGGCTGAAACAAGAAGATATATCAAATACAAGGGGTTGGTAAAATTAGTGCTTCGATATATCAGTGCAAAAAAAGGACCATTGTCACCGGAAGCAACTGGCGACCGCAACCCGTGTCAATGTTCCTGTAAATGTAAATAAGTTTTGAGATTCGAGGACTACAACTACTACTACGAGCCCCTTCCCACTTCAGTTGGCCCCACTATTGAAATCTTAGTCCCTAATCAAATTTGCCGCATAAAAATAACACATGTTGCAATTACAGCATATTAACCTATTTTCATTTCAATGCAAAATAAGTCTATAACGCATAGGTGGTTGTGAAAAATAAAAGCCATGACAATTGTTTTTATAAATCACAGCTGTCAGAATATGTTTAAAATAGCTTTGGGTAGTTGAGGTTTTCAAGATGGGTAGAGGAAAGGATATTAGTGAGAAAATTCGGTTACTGATAATTAAATTTTTTAATTCTGGGAGATCAAACTCAGAAATTGCACCTTTGTTAGACTTATCGCGGTACAGTGTGAGAATTATTGTTAGAAGATATAATGTAACTGGTTCAGTTAATATTAAGCCACAATATGTGAAAAAAAGTAATATCACAAATGCCGACCGAATAGCATTAAGAAGAATAATCGTGAAAAACAGGCGTGCTAATTATTTACAATTAAGGGCTCTGTGGAGTGACGCTGCTGGAAGGAGAATTTCGAAAATAATAATAATAATGTACCACTTTTGAAATGGGTTTCTAGCAGTCCAGATCTGTCACCTATTGAAACTTTGTGGCACGAGATGAAAAAGGTACTACGACAACATCTTGCTCGTACAATCACCGAACTGAGACAAAAGCTTCACGAAATATGGGATTGTTTTACACCAAATTTTTTCCAAAACTTGGTTAACACTATGCCCCAAAGAATTTCAGCCGTAATAAAAAATAAAGGTGATGTTACCCAATGGTAATCTTTCAATTGTTGCTTTGTTAACTTCGCGCATTTATTCGCAAATTGTTTATTTGTTCAGATGATCTATTAGTTATAGGTCTAAGTGATTTCAAATCTGTATTTTTTACGACTAGAGTGTATCTAAAATGTTTTTGAGAAAATAAATTGTTTTAGAAGTAAATAGTTTCGTCATGTTTAGTTTATAAAGGCATATTTTGGTGCAAATCCTGAAGTGGGCCAACTGAACTGAACTGGGAAGTGGGAAGGGGGGCTCCTAATATGTTATTTTTTCTAGATTTCTATTGCTGTTTTCATCTCATTTGATGCTTTGACAGATATGGAGGTGAAAACGGCTATGACTCTCAATCAAGGACGAGGGGGCTTGGCGCGGGATTCATATTCAGGAAGATATTCGTCTCGGGGGGCACATATTTATAGACGTACAAGTACAAATTATGGATAATATGGGTAGATATATAAGAGAAGCTATGGTGATGAAAATAGTACCTACATGAAAGCGTGAACCAAACACCCTGGTTTTCACAGATATTCAAGGAGTCTAAATTTAAACGCGATGATGACTACAGAAAACTTCTAATAACCCAAAGTGAAAATGATTGGAAACAATATACAAAATCAAGATGAGTATCAGTGTGTAGCTGTTATCGGAAGGGAAAACAAAAAAATACTATGACAATAAGATTGATAGCAATAAAATTAAATCTAAAATGAAGTGGAAAACATTAAAGTTTCTCCAAATAGAAATACTGTCTTATCCACGATGGGGTAGTGACAGAAAAAAAATAATTATAGCAGAAAGAATGAGCACTTATTTTGTAGACAGTACAAATCAAATAGTGAAGACGATTGATGACGGTGATCCCAACTTATGTTCAATACAAGCATATCATAATTCATCAATGAATCAATTTAGGACAGAAAACATCGACAATCTTTCTTTAAAAACTTTCGCATCCAGTTTCTTTATACGGTCTGGCAACAGGTTATAAAAAACTATCCCATAATAGTTTGTGCCGTTCCTGATGGTTTGGAGACGGCTATGAGGTACTAAGATTTTATCCATATTTCTGGTTCTATAACTGTGGACATCACTGTGGGTAGTATATTGGCTCAGGTTAGTCTTTATATACATCAGACATGTGAATATGTAAAGAGAAGGTACTGTCATGATTTTCAATTCTATAAAAGCTTCCTTGCAAGGTTCCGTGTATTTGAGGCCAGCAATGTACCGCAAGCAACTTTTGACGAATCGGCCGAGTGACCCCAGTTTAACAATGCGTATGAAATTCTTGATTGAAAGTAGGAATAATATGTTAGAAGAAGAACTGACTGAGAGACATTTTGTTTCAAGTTCCTTATCAAATATATATATATATATTGCTAGTGCATCGAGAACATGGATTACGTGAGTTTCCCACCACAAGTGTTCATCAATGTAGACTCCTAGTAACTTCACGGACTTTAGTGTATTAGTGTCGTGCTGCCTCAAGCTAAGAATAATCATCTGAGACTTGGTTTCATTGATGGTCAACTTATTAGCGGTTAACCAGTTTGCTAGTTTTCTTTTATGAGCCTCAGAGTCGAATATCAATGAGGCTAAAGAGGCATTGCTATTCATCAAGGTAGTGTCATCAGCGAATAGGATTAAGTTATTATTCACATTATAGTTAGTCATATCATTGACATAAATAAAAAATAAAATAGGTCCCAATACCGAGCCTTGCGGTACCCCGTGAGCAGCGACTAACTGTGAGGATGATGAACCTTTAAAGTATACAAATTGGCGTCGATTACTCAAGTAAGATTTAATCATTGCAGTGGATGCTTCATGAAAGTTATAAAAAGGGAGCTTTTCCAACAGGATGTCGTGTTGAACACAATCAAAAGCTTTGGACAAGTCCAACAAACATGCTGCGCCATATAGGTTGTTTTCAAAAGTCTCGTTCACAAACTGAATAAAACTGTTAATAGTTGATGTGGTGGAACTATTTTTCCTAAAACCAAACTGTGTTGAGCAAAATAACTTATTAGCCTCAAAGTATTCATGAATTTGATCTTTCAACAATAATTCCAAAATTTTCGCAAAAATAGGTATTAAGGAAATGGGCCTGTAGTTGCATAACTCTTCGGTATCCCCTTGTTTGAAAATGGGTATAATTTTAGATAGTTTGAAAAAATCCGGAAAAGTATTACTTTCTATACACTGATTGAATAACTTGGTTAGAGGATATATGATGAGATTTTGCAGGGTTTTGACAATCCTGACAGTAAAGCCATATGGGTCAGTACTCTTTGAGTTTTTTAGTTTATTTATGGTAGTTCTCACATCATGATATGAAACTTCCCTGAATCGAAAGTGTGAACTATGAGTAGGATGATTCATATAATGCGATGGAGAAACATCGGATGGGGTAATTTTATTTAAAAGTTTTTGTGGGATATTGAATAAAAAAAAGAATTTGCTTACACTTCGGGTTATTTGAGTTACTTGATAAGCATTGAATAATAAATCAGTTACTACTTTATAAAGAAGAGTCTACTCATAGTATTAAGTAAACTCATTCAGTTTCAAGCGATTACTTGAAACATAAGACTTCACTTATGTTTTTCCTTTCTTTTTAGTTGAATAAGAGGAATGCCTTAAAATCAGTACGAATTAACTTAATGTCGGTTAAGGTATTTCCAACATATACTTTTATCAAAGAAGCATACTTTTAATAATGGCAAACCTAATAAATGTTCGTAATACTAAAAACTACAGAGAAAAAAGCATTAGTCCTGGCAAATCTAAAGTTTTATTGCGTTTTGAAAGCGAAACTGTAGACTATTTATCAGCACATTTTTTACCGCAGTTGGATGAAACCAGAGGAGGTGCGCTTACCTAACGGCAAAGAATGGAAATATTTCTGCAGAATGTTAGTGATACTGGATTTCAAACAGGTATCGCTAAAGATTTCGGCGTTCACCATTCTACAGTATGTAAAACTATAGATTATGTTGCTGACAGTATATTTGAAAAAGGCCATCAGTTTATAACGTTCCAGTCTGACCTGGGGGCATGGAAGAAATAAGAAGAAAATGGTCGAATAGATTTGTACATCTACTGGCATTAGACTGTACTCATGTTCAAATAAAAAAACCTTGACGAATATGTCAATAGAAAAGGATTTGCGAGTATAAATATTCAAGTAACTTGTAAGGCAAATGAAGTGATTACAAGTGTAGATAGGCAGTGGTATGGAAGCGTTCACGATTCCAGAATTTGGAGACAAAGTTCAATATATAAAATTATGGCTAGATTCCGAGGTAATTTTGGCCTTCTCGCAGATAGTGGTTATGGAAGTGCTCCATGGTTATTGTGTCCATTTAAAAACCCTCAAAACAGAAGAGAGGAATTATTCAATATTTCCCATTCCAAGTCACAATTGAAAGAGCATTTGGGCAGCTGAAACAGATATTTCCCATTTTAAATCATAAATTGAAAGTATCTTTGGCAAAAGTTCCAAAAATTATTGTTTCCTGCGCTGTACTGCATAACCTTTGCAAATATCTACGGGATGACCTTGCGATCGAAGAAAATGAAGAGGAAGTAAATATCGTTCGTCAAAAAGGTGCGGAAAAACGTCAAGCAATAGTGGACACATGTACAACCATATTGTTTAAAATGATTCTAGTTTTAACTTAAATGTGCCATCATGTATGGTGTTATTTATTCGTTATTTTGTCACCTAATTGGCGCGGTGAATTTTTGTGTAATACCATGAACAGAATGTGCTTGATTTATGATAATATTGAAATAAGTAACGAGTTTCTGTTGTAGTATTTAATTTAATGAATCCTTGAAAACAAAATAAAAAAAAATGTTCTATGAATTCTCGTAACTTGTTCATAATACCGCCAGTATTTTCTTCTTTCTCAGAACTATTTGTAGGATAAGGGTTTTGCACAGCATATGTCAGTTTTTCTATCATGGGTTGTTCTCTTTTCACCTGACGTCTAGCAACATTTCAGTATCTTCAGTATCTTGCTTGAATTTTTACTTCCTTGAACACTTGTCTATCGTTTCTGTAGGTAAATGAGGTAACTGTGAACTCACGCTAGTTGATCCATTATTTTCGGAAGTCTGTTTTTCCGTTGTGACTTCCAATGGAACAACCCCCAGGAACTTTTACGGAAAGTGGATTTTTTCATAATTCAGTATTTTAAAGAATTCATTTTCCCACCCACGTATTTTAATTTTTTTGTTATCAGTCTTGTTTTTATCAGTTGTTTCTTTACATCAGTTTTCATGTTATTGAGATTTTTTTTTCAATTCTCACTTGTACCAGAAGTCTTGAAAATTCGCCTTTGATATTCGTCCATGCTGTTTCTTTAGCTTGAACAATCGACGGAATCATTGATTCATTCAAAAGAACTCTATGATTAATAATAACCTGGCGAATATAAGTATCTGACCACCAAACTGGACGGGTAATTCATCCTCACTCGACGACATCATTATAGCAATACCTCTAAATCTTAATCGACAACTAACATTGTACACACCGTATCAAAAAGATACAGATACAACCGTTAACACCGATATCCAAGTAAATACTTATAATTATAAGGAATAAGTAAAGACTTATAAGAAAAAATTTAAATGTAGGAGATTTTTCCAGTATTAACTTTTAAGAATAAACTTATTTTTCTTCAAATGAGAAATACCTTGTGCTTATAAGTATCAACTTTATCCTTATAAGATTTTACTTCTAATAATTGCCTTGAGGTTGATGTTGGTTGTAGCCTAAGGGTAAATCGCAAATATACTATGTTATCTTTCACTTACCATAATCCATCATAACTACTGCTAACAATAAGAGATCCATCTCTGTTGAAATGTACAGCACTGACAGGGTCAGAGTGTGCTGGCAGTGTCTTTAAACATTTGCCAGTTCTGACATCCCAAATCCTTACAGACTCGTCAAAGGACCCAGATACTATGAGGTTTGATTGCGGATTAAAGTTACAGCAAAATACATAATTACTGTGCCCTTTGAGAGTTTTTAAGCATTTACCAGAAGATAATTCCCAGATTTTAAGTGTTTTATCATCACTGGCAGATACTGAAATATAAGAAAGTGATTGTTTGATGTTAGTACTCTTTTATGTATGTGATTTGAGCGATGTGACAAGTGCCATTCAGCAATGTGAGACATATGGGTGTCTTTCTGACCCTGTTTGAAGAGATTTATTTATTTATTTATTTGCTTAAAGTCTCACAAAACACCCTAGAGTAATTAGAATGCAAGACAACTTAAAACTAGAGTAAAACAACGCGAGGCAACAATGAAATATAACTTTTAAATGAGCCAAGACTAGAACTGGAAGACTATAAAAAAAAGTTATCACATTTATGATACTAAGATACAAATCAGTTTCAATAAAATTCATCACAGGTAAAACAATATAAAATAATAAAACAACCACCAATAGCCTATGATATGTTAATGACAATAAGTTTTGAAATGAATTCACGTCTGTATTAAAGAAGTCAATATCAGTTTTTTTTTAAATAGCTCATTGCAAAGCATTAACATTTGACTCATGGGATGGTCCAGAGGGTACTTAATATTAAAAAATTTATCTCTCTTGTAACTAAGAATCACCTTGGGAACAACAATAGCTACAAAATTCAGAAGATTACATTTATGAAATTTAATATTATTTATTAAGTAGTATATAAAAATAATAGACTGCTGTATCCTGCGACGGGTAAGCTTATGAAATTGATACGAGTCAAGCATACTTCGATAAGAAACCATATATGGATAGATGTTCTTGTCTCTAACATAAATGGATCTAAGAAATCTCTTTTGTATGCGCTCAATACGCTCACTATGACAACCAGCCAGTGGAGACCAAAGACACAACATGCTAGCATAAACGGCCGTTCAGTGGAATATATATAAAAATGAATCCCTATTTCGCGTGGTCACGCCATAACTTGAGAACGAATTTACCGATTTCGTTCATCTTTTTTTAAAAAGTTTCCAAACGCTGTATAGAAAGTTCTTACGAAAAGAAAAGTCAAGAAAATTGCGTAGAAAATTAGGAAATCATTGAAAATCTAATAATTATTTAAGCTACGCGCGTTTGACAGTTTGCTTGAGCATAGAGCATGCTCAGCAGAGGAAATATCTCAAGTACCAAAAGAGACAGGCACTCCTCTCCGCCATCTTTATTCCAACAGCTATTGACAGTTAGTTATGTGAGAGAAAATTGCTTACGAAAACACGGTGCTTACATTTTTGGACTTACATTTCTTTACCATCCGTACTTTGTGATGGCCGCTTCAGAAGAAACTGCAATGTTTGCCTGTTATCTTTGTCAGTTAACTCTATGAATAAAAATGGCGGATGAAAATATGTTTCTTTTGCTTAATTGACTTTCACTACTCATTTTGAACTTGACAGCTTGCACGCAGCAAATTTATATTACAATAATTGCTTCCAAAAAACGTCATTTGGCGCATAAAATTCATTCGACAATTTTATGCCTACTTTCAAGGTAAGTTGATGGGTGAATCGCAGAGCTGCCAATGTATTTTGCTAGCCTCATGGCGGTACAAACACTTCGCTATACAATTCCATATATTTACCCTTTTATTATTCATTATCCATCCCAGTTTATACAGTTCATAGCTAAGATAGGACAACGTCTGTCGGGTCAGCTAGTGTAAAATGATTTTCAAAATGATTGAAGCACATTTTGTTGAAGCACATTTTGTATGCTTAGATTAATATGAGGCTTACCTAAAAGACGGCTATCACTGGACCATGCTACATCACTTATACCGAGCTTATGACCGGATATCGTCTTTTCAAACTTCCCATCATAAGCACCCCATACCTTAATGAGTTTATCAGCAGCTGAAATGCAAACATGATACAAATAAAGACTTAATTACATCACTGGTCCTAATTACCATTATAAAATCCATACTTAATATATCATCACTATGGATTTAAAGGATCTTGGATCTGTATTCAAAATTCTATAAAACTACTTAATTGGCAGAAGTCAAAAAAAATCAAAAGTGGATCTACATTGTCAAGCACAAAAAATATTTCTGTTGGTGCACCACAAGGTAGTAAACTAGGCCCACAATTATTTATTCTATACAGTAATGACATTTGTAATATTATTGTAAAATTCGGATATTTGCAGATGATACATTAATTAATACATATATCAGGTAAAAATACAGACACTGCTTTAAGAATGCTAAATTCTGACTTGTTAAAAATTATAGCTTGGTTAAATGCAAATAAACTAAAAGTGAATGCTTCTAGAACAAAATGTATGCTAATAGGGAAAAACCTAAATGAAAATACCAGTACAGTTAGGATAAATGGTGAAATAATAGAAAATGTGAATCAGTTAAATATTTTGGTATATACATTGATAGTAAACTTGAGTTTGAGGATCACTATGAATACATTATTTCAAAAATTGATAAAAAACAAATTAATTTTATAGGGCTTCATAGTTTTAGTACATGTTCCAAAAAAAACATTTCATAATACAATTATTCAACAGCATTTATTATATTGTTCACTGCCAATGAAGCTGTATTTTCAAAATTACAAGTCCTGCAAAATAAAGCTATGAGAATCATATTGAATAAAAATAAGTACACCAAAATAAAATGTATGTTACAAGAATTGCAGTGGTTGACTATAAAAAATGTCAGATCATATTTGGTTCTTATTTTTTTTTTAAATCATCTTTTGCCATAACATTTAGAACACTGCATAGAATTGCATAATCATTACCACAATTATTATAGAAGAGGAAATATAGATTTTCATTTACAAAATTGCAATATAACTAGCAAATCAATATTTCAGAAAGGATTACATGAATTTAATGAACTAAATAATGATATAAAGTCTACTTGTAACTTGAAGATGTTTAAAAGAAAATTAAAGGAATATTTCATGGACAGTGACAATTCTCAGCGATGCAAATTTTGTAAATGTTGTAGTTTTTTAAATGAATGTAATTGTAGCAATCGTGCTAAGTAAATCTTAAACAAATAAACAAAAAATCAGAACTGAGTTGGGCTCTATCTACATTAAAAGCATATGTGAGCCACCCTTAAGAACTGCACTTAAAATGTAATTACATTTATACATAGATATCCACAATACCTTGCTTCTTATCTACAAAAGGCTCTCTGCCTTCTCACAATATATTTCTTTTCAAGTGCAAGAATATTTGTATTTTAAAATAATCAATCTGTGCAAATGATTCTAAGAGTAGGATGGATTTATTTAGCTCTCATGGCTACATATCAACATGTTTCATACATTTTTAAGAAAACAAGTGTAATTTTTTTTTTAGTTTTATATGAATAATACATGTAATTCAAATTTAGTTCATTAAGCCATTTTGGAAACAATCTATTCTTTATCTTATAGACAAAAGTCATTACAACTTTTAGCATCTAACCAATTCAACTGATTTAATATGCCTCTTATTCTTGTTTGTCTTCCATTATCTAAAATTATGTGTATGCATTTATTTTGTTATATCTGTAGCCTATCAATTATTAAAAAATTAGCTGCATATAAAATTGTAGAACAATATGGGAAGTAAGGCAGAATGATTGCGTTCTGAATCAAGTTCTTAGAATAAGAACTTATTGCATCAGATGTTCACCTAAGGAACTAATTTTGTTGATTACTTTCCAAAAAGAAGTTAAGAAAATCAATCAACCACAACTCCAAAATACTTAAAAATATTTACAATTTTGATAACATCATTATCCATTTTCACTCTCAATTTTGTCTCTGTTTGCCTTATATCAAATATTTAGTTTTTGCTATGTGTAATTTAAATTTATTTAATTTTAACCATTCTGTGACAAAATGAAGTTCTTTGTTCAACATTTCTATTTCATAATCAAATTTTTTTGTCTTAATGTATATCTGCAAAAATTTGGATGTTACACTTATCTAAACATTTGGTAAATCATTTTTGTAGAAAATCAATAGTAAAGATCCTAAAATACTTCCCTTTGCCAAAACAAGCAACATCTCAGCTATTAAGGAGAGATACTGTAGTTAGCAGGAAAAAAAAGAGGAATAGTAAAAATAATTTTAATGATCATTGGCTCAAGTGCTCTGATAATCCAATGGGGAAAAATTTAAAAATGATTAATAAATGTAAAGGCAACAAAATTTAGGGCATCATCAAAATAACAACTGCCAAACTAGCAGCAGGCATAGATATGTGGAATGGTAATACAATCACTAGGAGATATTATTAACAAATTATAAGCAATTCATTCCTAAATGGAAGTATCCAGATGAACTCAAAATACCTGAAGCTTTGCTATTTTTCAAAAACAAAGGTGCTAAAGATGTAATTTCGAATTACAGAAACATATGCCTCCATAACTGATTAGCAATGGTCTTTGAAATGTGCTTTTATATCGGGCAGAGTGAATTTTTGGAATGCAATAAGTTTTTGATCAAAGTTCGAAGAGTGCATTAGATAATGTGAATTGATATATGAAGAATTGATCATAAACAGGCAACTGCTATAATCTTTGGCTTAACCAGAGCTTCCAACACTACTGATCATGAATTGCTACTGGAAAAACTTTGCTGACGTAAGTACAGGGCATTGCAAATGAGTGGGTATCATATTTGAACAACAGATCAAAAATGGTTGCCACACAACACAGAGCCAATGCAGGTAGGGACAAGAATCCTGGTGTAACCCTCAATAGTAACAAAACTGAATACATTTGTACCTGAAAAACGTGAATCAGGTATACCCAACAGTATCTTATTGCCTTGTGTTCTGGCGAAACTCTACTGCCACCTGATGATAACTCAAAAATCTTTTTATAAATCCCTACTACAATGAACACCACATAACTGCCCAATATTTCCAAATTTTATCAGCATGTGAAGGAAATTAAATGTATGTAAATAAATACTCACACGAGCTTGCTAGCCATTCCCCATTGGGGCTGAACTTGACAGAAGAAACTGCCTTTGTGTGCCCAGCAAGTGTAAATTTGAGGGTATAGTTAGGTTTCTGAAATAAAAATCCACAACTAATAAAAACACCGGCACTTTAAATATTGATACATAAAAACATAACCCAAATAGGTAACGAAAACAATAATATTTAAACTTACAAGATTGCTGCTGGATTTGCTTGAGGTGCCTGTAGGCGTCAACGAACTGCTGTTCTGGATGTTACTTTGAGACATGCCCCCAGAACCGTGGACTGGAGGCGCTCCACCTAATGGCATCATTGTTGTATTGCTCCTACAACGCATATTAGGTATTTACACCATGTTAATAGTATAAGCTGTAATACCACAGAATAAAAAGCGTGATACTTACATTTAAGGGTAAACCGAATTTGTAATATATATTCAATAAAATCAGAAAAATTACAACTGACACTACGACACTACAAAAATATTACCACGTTGTCGCCATACGCGTGCGTGACGCCATTTTCAATGTCAACATGTCAAGCATGTACTGTCAAAAATGACATATGACATGGACATTTGCAAGAGCCAGATGTAAAATAATCAAATCCAAGCGAATAACCAAAATTTCTGTGTTATGTTATGGTTCAAGATGACACACGGGTTGATGACGTCAGTTACACGAATCGCTTGAACGCGTTGGTTTTAACCGCGGTTTTGTTGCAAGTTGTTTATTTTAGAAACGCGCGTATATAATCTCTGATTATTTTTATTATCACTTAATAATCGGTGCTTTTTCGTCTACAACTGTATATGGAAAGTTTAAATAAGAAACCTTTCATAATATTCATGGGAGAAATGTTTTTTTCAGATTTTTTTTTTAATGATGGAACCATGGCTTTGTAGCTATGATATTTTTCAATTCTATAAATTTTTCCGCATGTCAAAGAAAACATTTATTGATTCAGCAGAAATGAAAAAAGAAATTAGCAAAACCGTATACAGGTGGATATCATCTAGTGAGTTTATATCGCCATATTTTAATATTCTTGTGGTATATGGCTACACAGGATACTTTGTTAAGCATAGGAACTACATTTAAAGTGTCCCCAACAACCGTAATGAGTATAACTAATAAGGTGCTCCACTTTATGGTAAAACTGAAGTCAGCCTGTATCATTTTTCTCAAAAATGAAGCTGAAGTACAATAACAATATCCAATACCCGGCAAAATTTTAACTTGTCACATTTCAAATAATAACCAGAAATATAAAACTACTCTTGAGTTGGGTAAATACCACAATTTTGCGGTGATAACTATGACATCTAACAGCTGATTCGTGACGTCACGGATCTTATAACCAAACTGATAACTACACTCGCTTGAACGGATTGGTAAATACCAACCCAAAATGGTAAATACCATTTCCATTTGGTTATCCGCTTGAATTTGATTAATGTATGGGATAACAATAAAAAATGGTTGAGTTCTACCAGGGAAGAATGTTATGTTCTGTGACTAGAGCAATCTAAAAATGAAATAACATGTATGAGGGGTATTGAGAAAATACTATTTCACTTGTAAGGCCGATATACATATGCTCTTCGTATTGAATGATTCAAATGTTTGTTGATGTTTGTCGTGACTTTGCACAGTGACTAGGATGAACCCATGACTCTAATTTTAAGTGACTGCTGCATATATTCAGCTAAATTTGACCAATAGCCTGGGTGAGCCATAATGAACCAGTAGACAGCAGCCAACAACACTCCGACAAAACCCCCAGAGGCATATATTACTCCTTTGCAGCAGAGGGAAGGCTCAAATAAACAACTGATACTAGAGGGGTGTAAGACAGACACAAGTTGTACACTTGTAAAAATTCACTATACACTTGACATTATTTAGCAAAACAACATCTCTTGTAAGTAACAGTTACAGAAAATTATTTTATATGTAGGGATGTTACAAAAGCACTACAATTGCTATGTAGCATCCTCGTAACTAAAACGTTGAGCAAGAATGAGACATCGACGCTTAGGCAACCGGAATTACGCACTCTTCGAGAAACCTCGACCACTATCTAGCCGGCTCGCGCTCTGCCTAGAAGGCTACCGGAATCATCGGCCCGAATATATATACGAGGGTGGTCTGAATAGTTTTCGACTTCAACCTGAAGATGACAGCACTCTTAAACAAAAGCTGGTGAATTTCGTTGTTCATCTGTTGATAGTTACTCACAAAAGCTTCAGGCTATTTTGGACGTGCAGTTGTTATGTAACAGTCGTTTGAGTGAGTTTATATGAGTGTTTTTGTGAAAATGGACAAAATCGAGTATCGAGCTGTCATTAAATATTAGTGTTTGAAAGGCAATACGTCTACCCAAATCAAAGATGAGTTGGATTCTTTATATTGGGACTCTGCACCATCATTTACCACACTGAAATTTTTGGACAGCTGAATTTGAACGCGGCAGTAAGAGCGTGGGAGACGATGAACGTTCTGGACGTCCTAAACCTGCAACTACCAACAAAAACATCGCCAAAGTTTACCAAATGGTGTTAGACGTAGGTGGTAGACGGTACCACAAGGAGGATCTCGTAAGCGGGGCCAGAATGTGTGCATATTGCATGAAGACGCGTTTCCTCATCAGAGTTCGTGTATAGCCCCACGGTACCCTATGGGTGTTTAGGCCTTAGGCCCTTCATGGTAGTTGGAGTATAAAAAAAATAGATGACCGCCGAATTAAAGTGAGAGAGATAGCAGAGGTAATGAACGTGTCAAAAGAACGTCTTTGTCACATATTAAATCAACATTTAGGCATGAGAAAGCTGCCCGCGTGTTGGGTACCACATTTGCAAATGTTGATTGTGTTCGAACATTTCCAACGCTCTGTTGGCGTGGTTTAGGCGCAATAAATCCGAGTTTTGGCGCCGATTAATTACTGTAGTTGAAACTTGGATACACCATTGTACGCCCGAAAGAAAAATACAGGGTGACTTTGAAGTTGAGTCATTAATTTTCAGATAATGATTGTAGAAGGAAGATAAACCAAAATATGTGTGTAAAAATAAAAAAAATAAAAAAAAAATTACCTTGTTTTATAAAGTATCATCCCGACAAGTATTTCAGTGCGGACCTGTATTTGATCGTGAGGTCTTGGAGCACCGGCATGCCGTCCATATGTGAGGTCTTAAGTCAAATGATTCACGGACCCGTTGTACTACATTAACAAAGGCACGAGGGGTTGGTTGCACTGGATTGGGAAACCGATCCGCATAAACATGTGCCATTTTTTATTTCGTTTGAGCCACGCAACAGACACCACTATCCACTACCGACTGACACTGACTGTATACAACTGAATGAAATAATTGTAAAAACATCGTTCCAAATTCTTTCGCTTTTTTGTTTCCGATGCGATGAACCGATAAGGCGAATTATATCCGTTGTCGCCAAACACGAGCACATAATATTATTATTGAGACAGGGCGGTACTCAAACTTCCAAAGGGCTATAACTTTGTTACTTTAATTTTACCAGAAAAATGGTAAAGGAAAAAAACATTTCTTTTGATCAGATCTACTGACTGTTAAAATAAATGACGCAACTTCGAAGTCACCCTGTATAGACCATACAGTGGATTTTTTTGGCTGGAAAAGTGATGGCGACTTTTTTTTTGGGATAGCTATGGAGTTGTTATTTCAATCGATTATCTTCAAAAAGAAAAAACCACAACAGCAGCATAACATGGCCGGAAATACGCCGTCCAGACCTGGTTTTTTGTATGGTGCAAACGAATCTACTGCCCATACCGTCCTTTCGAAAATGACAATCTCCCTAGCTATGCGCCAGTTCTCCCCTGAGGGCCTGCGCAACTGCAGAGATTCCAATCTTGCTTTAATGTCTTTGCATAGGACCCTGTGTATTCTCGCAGTAGCAGGAATGTCATTTATGGACTGACAGAAGGTCCTCCAGGATTCTCTCTATTCTCCTTTTTGTACTCCGCAATGCCTTTTTGTAGTCTTCCCATAGAGGAGAACTTCTCCTGTGCTTAACTCTTCTAAGAAGTTTGTGCACCGCTCGTTTTCTAACCTCTAGTTCTTTGAACCAGAAGGTTGCCTGGCCCTTACCTTGAACTTTGCGTAACGGGCAGTTTTCCTCATATGTCAGAGCCCCTACAAAGTCTGTATGGTACCGCTCCAAGCTTACTACCAGCCAGAACCGCGGAGTATCGTGCGTATTGGACGTCAGGTCGTTGCATCAAGAGCTCGAATGCATCAGGACAATGTGTGAACTAGAAGAACTAACATTGGCTATTGCAAAGCACTAATGCTTGTGGGATATTCATGAAAAGGACTACCATAATAGAGATCTCAAGGAGTTGGCGTGAGAGCAAGTTTTCAAAAATGTTATACAGGATTGGAACTCGTGCACAAATCACTTATGCCATTATGAAGTTCATCGAAAGATTGTATTGACTTTCCTGTAGAAATCAAAAAATTTATCCGGATATGCTCGTACCTTTGCTCTTTTTAGATAAAATGGGCTTTAGATTCTCCGACTGTTTAACGGATGCACCCAATCTTCGTTCTACATTGCCAACCATTCACAGAGCCGCCACTGAACGTACTGGTAGTATAATATTCACTTCAACAAATTGAACGTTTGCGCTAGGCTTACGGAATTCCGAATTGGAATTCCTGATTAGGAAACCGTATACTGAAAACGAATGTATACGCCCAGCCTAACCAGTGCCGGATGCTCCGCTATTCGATTTTCGTCCGCCGGCGCGCATGACGTCACCCAGAGAGTGACTCTCATTTAGATTGATATGGATAACGTACATATTTTCAGCTACAGGCCAAACGGCTGGACGAATTTTCGTATATGAGGTGTCGTTAGATTCGTCTTAGCGGTGCAAGTGACACTAGCTACATGCTATAGCTTAAACGGCTTTCTAGCTCCACAATAAAACGCGTATCGCCACTTTACTGTAAAAACCAGATTTTTCCACATTACCTATAGAGTAGAGTAGAGTATGTTCTGTGGAGTAGGATTTACATGCTCGTGACGTTAATACTGCACTACATTTATTCATCCATTTTTATAAATTTATCAACCCACACAGGGTATATAAAGCATGTACAACTAATACAACAAGTCACAAAACCACCAACAAATCGCACCATATAGTATTAACCACGATACGACAATCCTGCCGCTGGTAACCACAAGCCGACAACTCTCAAGGTGACGTCACGAAGCTCCGCCCACATGCGCAATCCTGTCTGCAGTATATGTGTATCGTGCGGAATACCATAGCCCAGTCGTAATATATTATTGTAAGTGTTGTAATAAATTAGTGTGAGTAATAAATTAGACTTTAAATGATAAAAACGATGTTTTCGCGAAAGTATGATGCCACCTAAATGGGAAAGACCGGCAGGATCGACAAATTATTTGTAACTTGTAAGGCCCCAGATATGGAGCGGCATAATCTTAGGATGACATTTCCATTGCAAGGGTATATCAGGTTTGAGTGCAGACGAGTAGCAACGAGATGCATATCCTCCTTCCTATTACAGCGATGCCAAGAATTTGATAATAAAAATGGCTTTGCTAACGTTCCAGCTGATTTGGCGAACGTGATGTACACGCCATAATGTAGTTTCATTAGCGTTGTTTTCATCAACGTAAGTAGGCCCATATATCAAAGCAATACGCTGAACATTTTGATTTAGAATATAGCCCTATTTTTTTGTTCGTCAACAAAACTGAATTATAGGTTAATAGTTAGTACAAAGGTATGGGAAAGATAATTGTCGGGGATTTATAATATTATACAGAAGGTCCAAGATGAGGATCTTATGCATGGGGATCTCAATATTTGTGGGAGACAGCTTAGGTTAAATTAGAAAAAAAGTTGTGTTGAGTTCCACACCACATATTAAGCCCACAACGTTCTTGATGTCTGGATTCTTGAGCTGTTGCGATTAAAGATACCATTATTAGTGACCATATTCTCAACGGACCATATTATTTCTCAGTGCATTAATATAATGTATGAAAATGATATAGAAAACACCAAACCAGTTATAGGACATCATGAATACTGAAAAGTAAAAAATAAATAAAACAACATGTGAGATGAAGGAGATTCAGTTTCGTTCAGAGATTTCCAATTATGAAGAAAATATTGCCAAATATATAGTTCGTTTTATTATAAGCTAAATAAAAGCTTGTCTTAGAAACAATATTATTTTTATTTTATTTCAAACCAGCCGCACCTCCAGTACCTACGTCCGATTTCAATGTTTTATTCTACATTAAAAAAGTAGTCCCTCAAAACATATCCTTTACCCTGTGTGGTATTGACTGCCACGTATCAATATCCATAAAATTTATCTATCATTCGTGCATTTCATTAACCATTCAAGAAAATTGGTAACCCCACTTTCATTACATAAAACTCTTGTTATTCCCTCGGGATTTAGGCTTACGTAAGCATCCTTCAATATTATAGCTAAATCCCGTCAGATTTGGGGGAGCTACAACAACATGCAGTTCTTAGTTTGCTTACAGTTTTATCTGATCTTGGCTCACATCCTTTCTAAAAATGCTTCCAGTGAAATCGGACAGTTACAAAATGTTAAACCGCATAGAGATAAAAATGTTAGTTATATAGTGGAAAATTTTAAGAAAACGTGGGCTGTGGAAGAATGGAAACAAACCGGGTATTTCAAGGAAGAAGATATTTTGGATATCAACATACACTGGTTACAGTTCGATGCTCCTTATGATATGAGTTTTTATTTGGTGGGTACAGCATACCTGATAATATCTGTAATTGGTGTGGCTGGAAACTTACTGGTAATTTTTCTGTTTGCAAGGTAAGTACCTTATTGCAGCTACAGATAATATTTTTATCATATTATATTGGGATACTGAGAAAACGTAAATCTAATATAATCAACACATTTTTAGTTACCCTACTACAATCGTTAAAACATGGACATTAGGGTGTCTATTTTTCAAACGCCCTTCAATTTCTTTCCATTTGACTTTATCAACTGAAAAAAATATTATTGCGACCGGGGAATGATAACCGCCGACATTCGGTCAAACTTCGAATTTGTAAGTTAATAGGGAAACCATGTAAGGATTTCAAAACCACAGCAGAAAGAAAAGAAAAATGGCGCTGGACGCGTCCGCACACCAAGTTTTCAAAACAAGGCATCCTGATCGGAAAGCAATTAATATTAAACGATGGTTGAATGAGTGGCCTTGTAAATGGTCCAAATATCCCTATAACTATAGTACGTACGTAAATCACAATGTGGCGCTGCCAATGGGCAGAACCAACTGTACGAGGGTTCAAACATATTTTATGAGGAAATTTCTAAGGTAGTCGTTAATAATACTATAACATTAGTGTCCAAAAGAATTCAACACAATACTGAGTCGCTGAGAAAGAAAGATATAATACGTGTGAAATTATACAATCAATAAGCTGTGAAATTTGCCAAAAGGTTTGGCCTAGGAATCGGTACTGTAGGCAGGTATATCCTGACTGTGAAAAGGAAACTTTGAAAAGAAAATTTAGTAAATAATTTTCTTTTAATGGTAAATGTTGAATACGAATTAGGTTTTGAAATCCGCACATGGTTGCCCTGTTAACTTTCAAATGCAAAGTTTGACTGAGGGTATCGTTGCCCGATCGCAATAATATATATTTTTTGAGTTGTTTGAGGAAAAAAATTAGAGAGTATGCGTACCTATCTCAATTCTAACAAAACATTGTTTGCTCTCATAGGCTTGGACACCCTAATGGAGATGTTCAGCAAGGAAACCACATGAAAATTTTACATTATTCGTTAATATTTGTAAAGAACTTAGACTACCAATAACTTGATAAGCAAAAAAAATAATGACAAGTTTCTGTTCATTTTGTAAATGTTGGACCCCCTTGCCATGAATCCCTATCACTTAATAAGCATACGAGGGTACATACACCTATAAAAATTTTCACTATCAAAAATGTAGGAAACCCGATAGAATATTCAACAATCCTACCTACCGTGTCAAATCGGGGTGTCAGTTTTCAACTTTCAGTCATGAATTGTTTCCGTTTTAGTTAATCTAGTATATATATATTCTTGATTACAGATGCAAGTCATTGAGAACTCCAGCAAATTATCTTATTGTCAATCTGGCGGTCACCGATGGGTTAATGAGTCTCAAGTCAGTGGTGGTGGTTTATAATTGTTATTACAAGGGACCCGCCTTTGGAGATATAGGTAATAGAGGAAAAACATGTAATCGGCATTTTCCTGCGACTGAACTTTAATACTGAAAATGAAGTGAATTAAGCCGTTCCATAAAAGACGTGCTAGTAACCGAAAAAATAGTCGTAAAAACCCTTATGTGTCTAGTATCAAAAAAGCTTATAAAAAAATTGAATCCAAACTTGCACAAATATACAGGATGATGCATTTGAAATTTTTGAGAAAAACTACAAATTGCGTTATTGACCGTATGATATTCAAATATTAAATTTCTAAAACGAGTGACCGCTGCATCTCTGATCTTCCTCAGGATCTGCCAGAAGCCGGGCAACGGATTTACAAACATATTACAGTTGTGTGTACTTAATTTTTATACTTCACAACTCTGAACAAAAGGCATATGGCTCAAATAACATAATAGGAACTTAACTGAATTAAAATAAATGTTATGAAAATGACATGTACATACAAAAAGTAAGGTTATTTTTGTAAAACAAAGGCAGAAACTCGCCAGAAATTTTAATCTGGCCAATCAGACAACGTCAGTTGTGAATAAACCGCCATTTTTGAGGGTGCAACATGGTTGTCATACTGTGCACCTGCAACTCTGCTGTTTCCTATTCTCCGATATGAGTTACCCTCCCCCTGCTTGTAATGGAGGCGGATTCCATGTTCTCCTGTTTCCCCTCAAAGCCCGGCGTCTCCAGTGTTGCCAGATCGAACGCTACGTTGCCAGTCTAATTACTTAATTTACCTTGTTGCATAAAAAAGTAACGATTATTTCTGTTCTGTTTTAGGATGTCGCATCTATGCGTTTTTTGGTGGTCTCACGGGAACCACTTCAATTATAACATTAAGTGTTATATCCTTCGACAGATATTTTGTCATAAGGTTTCCTTTGAAACGGACTTTTTCCAAAGCACGCATAAAAATCTGTCTAGCTGTAGCCTGGATATACGGGAGCATTTTTTCTATCGTGCCAGCTTTGGACATTGGATTTGGAAAGTACGCTTATGAAGGTAAGGATGCATTGAATCAACAATGGTATATAGGTTCAAATCAAGTGATTAGTGTTAGCATCAAGGTTTGAGTAAAAGGGTAATAATGGTGGCAGAACTTCATGATGGTTCAAACTGCATCTTCGCGTAATATGGGAAACTTTTCTACTTTGGATTTCTTGCATAATCTTATTTAAAAAGTCCCTTTTGTCAGCATTTTTAAAGCAATTTTTTAAATTAAATTCCAATAACTGTTCTTTTCGCTCCAGTATAATGTTTTTAGGTCTCTTTTTTATACCGAAACACCCGCCCAGGTGGAGGCCTAAATGCCAGGACACCGCGGATGCTATGCGGATCCCAAAGAAATTTTGTTACCCTCCTCTTGTAGATTGTTCCACAATCTCAACACCCTAGGGACAAAGGACCGGTCGTATCAGTCGGTTCTGGATGTACAAAGTGCGACACGGTCAGGATGGGAGGCCAAAGTCAGGCGGGTCCGTCTGACATCCCTCCAAGGAAAGGTATAGAAGAATGCTCTGAGCCCCTCCCAGTCGAAATGTTTGACCGGAACCTAACCTCCACAGCACCGTGGTTTGAGTTACCCAGGGGGGACAGGACAGCAGTGCTGTAAGGGGCAGGATGTGTGGTCAGAAAGAGATCCAGCACGCTCCTGGCACGTGACGAGACTCGGGGGAAGAAGTAGAGCTCGTTACCAGCTGGGTCAGCCCTTGAGTAAGAGCGAACGCTTCAACTGCAGGACCTGCTGCATCGGTCTTATTTGAGCCCATCCAAAGCACATTATCGGCATTGAAATCGCCGAGGAGAACTTCCTCTGAATCGGGGTGACTGATGTTCCGGAAGTCGATCTTGACAGCGAGGTATCAAGTACAATACAGCAAATACATTTGGAGGACCTTTTGGAGTTGAGGCGCAGCCACAGAATGCCCAGCGGGAAAGACTGCTGTGGACAAAAGCCACAACTCCCCCGTTTTCCTCAGATTGGATTGCACCTCGTAATTTGGGAAGCTAAGATGGTTAATCGGTGCAGACTCTGAAATTTTTATCTCCGCCAAGAAAAGCGTGGCAGGACGATTGGATGAACATCATCAATGTTGCTGTTAATTCTGCAGATGTCCGTGAAACAAATTTTATCTTCGATGTTGTTCCATCGAGTTCATCCTCCACTCGGACATTCCGAGAATGGAGTGAGTGAGTACTCGAGGGATCCATCATAATTCATTTCTCTCAATAAAACAAGTCCTTTGGAACTCTTCTGTAAAGTTGATAGTTTCTGAGACAAAAACGATACAATATTTGAAAAAGTACGAAATAGGGTGAAGTCGGGTAATTTGTACCACCAAACATATATTATGAAATAAGTCCTTAATGACTTGTTTGAATTGAACGAAATTTCAAAGTATAATAATTTGACACGTTTCTGTAAAAATTCACAACTTAAGACTGACGTGAATACTCAGGCTTTAGAATATTAAGCTTTTTAAAAAAAATCTTGCAAACGGTACAATCTGTCGAACCGGTTCGTTAAGTTCTACCTCGCGGTTTTCAAAGTGTATCATAACAAAATGCATAAGATTTTCATTGTTAGTGGAATAATAATAATAATAATAATAATATTTATTTACTCTAAAATACAGGGAACATGAAACGAGTAAATAAATATAATATATCCATAGGAGGACAACGCCTGTGCATGGATCATATGTATGTTGAATTGCAAAATATAATAAAATAGAGAGAAAAAAGAAATTATTGGTAAGAATGGTAGAGCATTTATTGTGTAATATTTGAGATTATTTTATTAATTTGATTTCTTCCAATCGTGTTAATAAATTTTTTTAATTGTTTTTTGAAGCCTAATGTATTGCGTAATTGTTTTAAATTATTTGGTAAATGTTCGTACAATTTTGGAGCTATATACAGGTGACATCGTTTCATTAGGGATTTGTTTGGTTTAGGAACAGTTTTTGCGCGTAATTTATATCTGGTTTTGTGATTATGTTTAATTATGTCGTGTTCACTAATAGTTTTGTGATAATGAGTGATGGTATGTAAGAAGTAAAGTTGTTTAGTATCATATACTTGTGCATCATTATATGTCATTAGTTGGGTATAATTTTGATTTGCCTAACATTGATTTTAAAATTCTTCTTTGAAGTACATCTAAATCGTTAAAGTATGTCTTGCATGCAGCACCCCACACTACTATACCATATGTTATGTGTGGCTCGACTAAAGCTTGATATATTATTCGTAGATAATATTCAGTTAATATACCGGTGAGAAATTTTATTTTATATGCTATGAATCTAATTTTCTTTAGTATGTGAGAAATATGTACATTCCATCTCAAGTGGGGATCTAGATAAATTCCTAGGTATTTTGTATCATTAACTCTATTGATTTTTATATTTTTATCATTTACCTTACACCGAAGGTGGTTATATTTTGGTAGATGATTAGATAGTGATGAAAATGGTAAAAAATGAGTTTTAGTAAAGTTAATTGTTAATTTTCGGTTATTAAACCACTGAATAATTTTGCAAAAGTCATTTTGGATAATATCTTTTAAGACGTTCCAATCCTTACCTTTATAGAGTATAGCAGTATCGTCTGCAAAACTGACTATTTTACCAGTACTGTTAATTTTGAATATATCGTTTAAATAAATATTGAATAACAGAGGACCCAAAATTGTACCTTGTGGAACACCACATTTAACAAACATTTCTTTACTATACGAGCTTAATAATTTTACTGATTGCGGTCTATTTGATAAATAATTTTCCATTAAAGTATACATCTTTCCACGAAAACCTATTCTTTCTAAGATTTCCAAAAGTATATTGTGGTTAACTGTGTCAAACGCTTTTTGTAAGTCCACAAATACGCATATCGATGGTACTTTTCCATCTATATTTTGGGTTATTTCATCTACTATACTTAATACCCCATCTGTTGTAGATTTGCCCGCTATAAAACCATATTGATTTGAATTTAGAATTTTGAATTTATTAAGAAAATTAATCATTTTATTAAGGAGTAATTTCTCAAAAACTTTAGCTAAACTTGATATAAGTGAAATAGGTCGATAGTTAGTGACGTCCGTATTATCATTAGATTTATAGATAGGTATGATGATTGCTGTCTTGAAAGCTGATGGAAATACTCCAGATTGGAAGGATTTGTTAATGATATAAGCAAGTGGTTCTGTTATTTGTTTGGCCAGTATCTTTAGATGTTCAGCTCTAATTTCGTCAACTCCAGGGCTTTTTTTATTTTTTAGAGTCATAATGGCATTGAAAACATCCTGATAGTCTACTTCAGTTAATACAAATGAATTATTCAGTCTTGTTTCATGCAGATGAATATCAGCATTTTGTTTGATATTATTTGCTAAGTTTCCTCCTATATTCGTGAAGAATTCTATGAACTCATCACATATTTGCTGAATATTGTCTGTTTTCTGTCCTGTTTTTGTTTTTATTTCATTAATATTGTTTTTTGAATAGGATGACTTATTGAATAAATCATTGACAGTGGACCATAGGTGTCCAGAGTCATGTGAATTATTATTCAATTGTTTTATATAGTAATTCTTTTTTGCTTTTCTCAAAAGTTCTATAAATTTGTTTTTATACTGATTATAATGATCTATATTTTCTTTTGTGGGTAAATATTTCATGATTTTATACAGTCTTTCTTTTTCGTTTGCAGATTTTATTAGTCCTTTGGTCATCCAATCATTTCTGCTTTTTTCCTTGTGACTTATTTTAACCTTATTAGTACTAACTTCAATTACTTTTTGAATTTTGTGTATTAATAAATTTGTAGCTTCGTCTAAAGAATTTGTTAAAAAAATTTCGTCCCACGATTCCGTTTGTGCGTTAAATATTAATTTTGAGTTGTCAGTGAAATATTTGTATTCAAGGTTTCTTTCATTTTTTGCCCTTGGGCAGTTCTGGTTTTTATTTTGTGAAGATATCAATAATACAGTGGAATAATGATCTGTAATATCGGTTTCATAGATAATAGGCATGTAAGAAAAAATATTGGAAATATCCTTTATAAAGCAGTGATCAATGCAGGTTTTACTGGTGGGTCGGGTTACTTTATTTATGTATGATAAAAAACCATTACTTGATAAAATGTTTAAATATTCTTTCACCATAGAATTTTCCTCTAAAATGTTTATATTGATGTCGCCTATAAATATTTGATTATGAAGGTGATTGTTTTCATTGATTTTTAATAGTTCATCTATGTCTCTTATAAATGTATTAGGATCTGAAGATGGTGGTCGGTAAATACAAGTAATTTTGACTCTACGATTTTCAATTTGCATTGTTAGATTGATACCTTTTAGTTCATTGTTGATTGTAAATATGGTATGGTTATAAGGCAGATTGTTTCGTACATACACCATCACTCCATCGTTTTGATTATGGTTACCAAAATTATACAATGTATCGTACCCTTCTAAATGAAACAGAGTCACATCGCCCACTTGCCATGTTTCGGATAGAATGATTATATCTATATCACTTTGTATTCTTTTCAAAATTAATTTAAAGTAGTCAAAGTTATGTTTTATACTTCTGATGTTCATATGATAAATTCTAACAGATATTTCAGGATTTTGTAAAAAAGAATCTAGCTCGCTAGTATCATGAGCAGTATTAGTACTAATACGTTGAATTTGAAAGTTATTTACATAGTCGTGTGTCATAAATGATGCAATATTCTAAAATTTTGGCTAAAATTTCTTCTTTTTTAAAAAAGGATTTTCAAGTTGTACTGCTGTTGATAATATAGAAAAGTTGGACATTTTTTATCTAATGGTGAGTGGTTGGTACTATAATTTTTGTTATATCTATAGTTTGAAAATTTGCAATTACAACATACAACCGGTTCATGCTTACAACAGTCAGTATCGTGTACATCCTCTTTGCTGCAGTTGGTACAGGTCTTGTTATTGCGGCATTTTTTCTCGGTGTGATTGA